GCAGATATCTCTTATTCTCTGCATATAACACAGAGATGTTCAATGGGCAAGGGAGTCCACAACTATATTTGGGTTTTGATGGCACGCTGGGGAACACATTTCCCCAAATGCTTGTAGCCAGGAGAAGTAGCTTGGCAGGATCAGATGCAGAAACAAAATTTAATGTAACCTAAATTTATGCTTAATCAAATTTTATGGGGAACACACCTGGCTCCTGGACCCCCAGGTATTTTTAGTGGCACAATTATTTGCTTTCATAGTTATGAGCATGTCTACTTGTTGATTTCCCACGCCACCAACTAGTGATCACTCCATGATTTGTATACATTCAAAGACAGTCCAGATAAAATAAGTAAAGTAATAAAACTATTTTAAAAGGTGTGGTTTTATAAATTCTGAAAAGAGATCAAAACTTTCACTTCATAAGGGATGAGTGGCTGCATGGTATAGCTACAGATTGGCTTAACTCTTGACTTCAGAGATGGAAGGAAATCATACATGTACAGTTAGTCCTCAACTTATGATCATATTTGAGCCCAAAGGTTCCGTTACTAAGTGAGGCAGTTATTAAGTGAGCTTTGCCCTTTCTACAACATTTTTTTGCCCCACTTTGCGAATCATTGCAGTTAAATTAGCAACATGGTTGTTAAGTGAATCTAGCTTCCCCGTTGACTTTACTTGCCAAAAGGTTGCAAAAGGTGATCATGTGACCCAGGGACACTGCAACCGTCATAAATATGAGTCAGTTGGAATTTTGATCACATCACCATGGGGATGCCGCAACAGTCATAAGTGTGAAAAATGGCCACAAGTCACTGTTTTCCGTGCCTTTGCAATTTTGAACAGTCAATAAACAAATTGTTGTAAGTTGAGGACTACCTGTACAGGAGAACAAGGCTTCCCCATTTTGGCAACCTGCAATGACAGAATAATAGATTACAGATTAACAGAGCTGGAAGGGACCTTGTAGGTCATCTAGTCCAACTCCCCATCCAAGCAGGAGAGCCTACACCATTTCTGACAAATGGCCGTCCAATCTCTTATTGAAAGCCTCCAGTGATGAAGCTCCCACAACTCCCGAAAGCAAGCTCTTGCACTGATTGATTGTTCTCACTGTCAGAAAATCTCTCCTTATTTCCAGGTTAAATCTCTCCTTATTCAGTTTTCATCCATTATTCCTTATCTGGCCTTTGGGTGCCTTGGAAAATAGCTTGACCCCCTCCTCTCTGTGGCAGCCCCTCAAATATTGGAAGACTGCTATCATGTCTCCCCTAGTCCTTCTTTTCATTAAACTAGACATACCCAGTTCCTGCAATCGTTCTTCCTATGTTTTAGTCTCCAGTCCCCTAATCATCCTGGTTGCTCTTTTCTGCACTTTTTCTAGAGTCTCAACATCTTTTTTATAGTGTGGTGACCAAAACTGGATGCGGTATTCTAGGTGTGGTCTTACTAAGGCTTTATAGAGTGATATTAGTACCTCGCTTGATCTTGATTGTATCCCTCTGTTAATGTAATTTAGGATTGTGTTGGTTTTTTTGGCTGCCACTGCACACTGCTGGCTCATATTTAGCTGATTGTCCGCTAAAACTCCAAGATCCCTCTCACAGTTACTGCTATTAAACCTGGTTTCACCCAGTCTATATGTGTACTTTTGGGTTTTCTTACCTAAGTGTCAAACTTTACTTTTTTCTACATTGAATTTCATTTTGTTAGATAGGGCCCAGTGTTCAAGTCTGTCAAGATCCATCTGGATCTTGAGCCTATCTTCTAGAGTGTTTAGCTATTCCTGCCAGCTTAGTATCATCTGCAAATTTGGTGAGTTCCTCTTCTATTCCCTCATCTAAGTCGTTTATGAAGATATTGAAGAGTACTGGGCCTAAGACGGAACCTTGTGGTACCCCACTGCTTACTTCCCTCCATGTAGACTCAGACCCATTAAGGAGTACTCGTTGAGTATGGTTTGTCAGTCAGTTGTGAATCCATCTGGTGGTGATGCTATCTATCCCACCTTTTTCTAGTTTACTAAGAAGTAGGTTGTGGTCTACTTTGTCGAATACCTTGTTGAAGTCTAAGTATATTATGTCCACAGTATTTCACTGGTCTACTAATTTAGTCACTGTGTTGAAGAATGAAATAAGATTAGTTTGGCATGATCTGTTTTTAACAAACCCGTGCTGACTGCTAGTTATTACTTTACTTGTTTCTAGATTTATTTATTTATTTGTTTGTTTCAATTTCTATACCACCCTTCTCCAAATAGGACTCAGGGCGGTGAACAGCCAAAGTAAAAAAAACAGGACATACAAAATTTAAAAACAATTTAAAATAATTAAATATTTTGGCCGTAAATTAAAACAATCCAATTTAAAATCAATTTAAAATTTAACTCAAGCCAGCCCAGCTAGTTGAAATAAATAGGTCTTCAGGGCCCGACAAAAAATCCGGAGGTCTGTTATTGTACGTATCTCTGGGGGGAGGTTGTTCTAGAGGGCGGGTGCCGCCACAGAGAAGGCTCTCCCCCTGGGGGTCGCCAGCCGACATTGTCTGGCGGACGGCACCCTGAGGAGGCCCACTCTGTGCGAGCGTACTGGCCGGTGGGAGGCTATTGGTGGCAGAAGGTGGTCTCGTAAATAGCCCAGCCCTAAGCCATGGAGCGCTTTAAAGGTGGTCACCAACACCTTGAAGCGCACCCGGAAGACCACCGGGAGCCAGTGCAGCTCACACAGGAGAGGTGTCACATGGGAGCGCCTCGTCGCCCCCATAATCCCCCGCGCGGCCGCGTTCTGGACCAGCTGGAGCCTCCGGGTGCACCCCAGGGGGAGCCCCATGTAGAGAGCGTTGCAGTAGATGTTGGCAGATCTGTTTTTTTTTTTTTTAATTATCTTTTCCAGTATCTTCCTGGGTATTGATGTTAGGCTGATTGGTCTTTAGTTTCCTGGGTCTGTTTTTTTTTTTTTTTTTCCTTTTTTGAAGATGGGAACCTCATCAGGTCATTTCCAGTCCTCTGGTAGTTCCTCCAGGATTTTTAGAACTGAAAAGGATCTTAAGGATCATATAGTCCAATGCCCTTGCTTAGTGAAAGATCTATTCCACCATCTCTAACAAAGGACCATTCGGTCTCTGCCTGAATACCTTAATGAAGGAGAACACAACATGTCATGATGCACCTGTTCCACCGGCTGCCATCTGTAGTGTAGAATGAATTCCTCTATGCGGGACTTTCTTTCTCTGTAACCTTAACTCACTGGTTCTCATCCTGTCCTCTATAGTAAGAGCAAAGAGCTCCGTTCCCTATTCTGTGTGCAATATTTAACATTCAACATTCCATACTTACTATGTGTGTCTCTGAATGTAGATATCCTTCCTTCCTTCCTTCCTTCCTTCCTTCCTTCCTTCCTTCCTTCCTTCCCTTCCTTCCTTCCCACCTTCCTTCATTCAAACTCCTTCCTTCCTTCCTTCCTTCCTTCCTTCCTTCCTTCCTTCCTTCCTTCCTTCCTTCCTCCTTCCTTCCCACCTTCCTTCATTCAAACTCCTTCCTTCCTTCCTTCTTTCCTTCCTTCCTTCCTTCTAACTGGAAGGCACATATTTTCTTTGTATTATTTAGTCTATGACCATACATTGTTAGACAAAATTAAACCAAACTAAATTAACATCCCTAGTCTGTGTCACTTCTGGCTTCCTCATAGTCTGGACTGCTTAATTTTGCAATTCTTCATTCAATGGGATTCTTACCTTAAAACTCCAAACGTCTAAATCTATTATGCATTTTGATTAGCCTTCAATTAGCATCCCAAACTCTTAATGTTCAACCAGGAAACAGTCAAAACAGACTGGGGAAGAGGTCACACCATATATGTTTTGGTCTGAGTTTTTTTTTTCTACACGCTGACCACAAAGCACCCTTTTGTTATCCATCTACATTTCCAGACTTTCTTAGGAACTAAAATAACACCACTTCCAACCAGTAGCATCTTAAGGTAATGTTTCAGGAAATAAACCATTCACAATTGATAGAAGAGAAAATAAAGAACTAATAATAATAGTGAATATATACACCTCTCTCTATATAAATATATAGAGGTGTGTGTATATAGATAGATAGATAGATAGATAGATAGATAGATAGATAGATAGATAGATAGATAGACTCTAGAAAGAGTGCAGAGAAGAGCAACAAAGATGATTAGGGGACTGGAGGCTAAAACATATGAAGAACGGTTGCAGGAACTGGGTACGTCTAGTTTAATGACGAGAAGGACCAGGGGATGACAGGATAGCAGTGTTCCAATATCTCAGGGACTGCCACAAAGAAGAGGGAGTCAAGCTATTCTCCAAAGCACCTGAGGGCAGGACAAGAAGCAATGGGTGGAAACTAATCAAGAAAAGAAGCAATTTAGAACTAAGGAGAAATTTCCTGACAGTTAGAACAATTAATAAGTGGAACAACCTGCCTGCAGAAGTTGTTGGAGAAGCTTCAACACTGGAAGTTTTTAAGAAGAGATTGGATAACCATTTGTCTGAAGTGGTGTAGGGTTTCCTGCCTAAGCAGGGGGTTGGACTAGAAGACCTCCAAGGTCCCTTCCAACTCTGTTATTCTATTTCTACCTCAGCCTCATTCAATATCAACCAAATCTTGCCATACAGAAAAAAAAAAAAGAAATGATTCAATCCAATTTGAAACAGAAACAAAAAAAAAAAAAGCTATTTCCCTTTTAAATAATTTGGCAAGCATATTTCTTTGCCAGAAAAAAACTATTCTATGCTTTATCTTCTAGAAACAAAGCAAAGCAAGCATCATAATTACTCGGAGAATAGCCCATCTGCTATAAACACAATTTAAACACATTTTATGCACATGCACGCAAGATAAAGAGAGAAATCTTGCTGATGTCATGGAATCCAAATTAAAGATAGCACCTTTTAAAACGCATAAATAACATTCGGTTGTGGCACTAAGTGCTCATTGAAGCACTTTTAAACAGGGTAGCCCAAGCACGGGATTTGAAATAGTAGAACGTTGTTTCTTTATGTGCAATAATTTCCCTCATGCCTCCAAATAACTGTTGAATAATTGGCTGGATCCTGTATACATTTCATGCTTCAGAACACAAAGTTAAAGTTAGACCGTTTTACAAAGGAATCAGAAGACTTTCTGTGTGTACATACACACATACATGATGATCTTGAGCACAAAGCACATGTCTTTTTCATGGCATTGTATATTCATTGGGTATACTGTACGAGTCAAAAAGAGGGCTGTGAAAATAGCCCTTGCATCCTGGACATAAACTGTTTCAACTCCTACCCTCAAAAAGACGCTATAGGGCACTGCACACCAGAACAACTAGACACAAGAACAGTTTTTCCCTGCATGCCATCACTCTGCTAAACAAATAATTCCCTCAACACTGTCGAACTAGTTACTAAGTCTGTACTACTATTAATCTTCTCATCGTTCCCACCATCCATCTCCTTCCACTTATGACTGTATGACCGTAACCTTGTTGCTGGTATCCTTAAGATTTATATTGACTGTTTCCCTATGACTTGTTGTGGTCCGCCAGCAGCCTGCGGAGCTAGCAGCCGAGTCAGACAGCGATGAGGCTGAGGAAGAACATGGGCCAGTCCTGGAGGCTGGGGAAGATCTGGATGAGGGCTCTGCGTCAGAGGCAGAGATGGGGCCAGGGCCATCAGAGAGTGAGGTGCAGACTCCAGAGCCTCCAGAGACTGATAGGAGTGAGACAGAGGACCAGGAGGAGCCTGTTCCTAATGCACGCATGACAAGAGCTGCCAGAAGGCAAGAGCAGCTCAAGCAAAGAGGACAACTCGGGAGTAGGGCCAAGAGATGATTGGCCCCTCCCATAAGGCTTAAAACAGACCAGCAACGGTATTTGGGCTTTGCCGGAAAACAATGTTGGTAGCTTCATCTTCTTCTTAGTCTACATCTTGTATTTATTTTTGTATCTGTGACTTCTGAACATTTGCCAAGAAAGGCCTTTGGCAGTTTGCCTAATTGGACTAAGGTTTGCGATAGGACTAGGGAATTTGTGTTGGGAGGAATTTGCTTTAATTTAGTTGAACGACGCTGGGAATGAAGTAATTCTCGACTATTTGAATAAAGTTTGTTTGTTTTTTCACTGGCTGATATTCCTACTACTTAATTTGGGCCTGGGTCACAACATGACTATCATTAAGTGTTGTACCTTATGATTCTTGACAAATGTATCTTTTCTTTTACGTACACTGAGAGCATATGCACCAAGACAAATTCCTTGTATGTCCAACCACACTTGGCCAATAAAGAATTCTATTCTGTTCTATTCAAAGATACAATTCATGCGCTGCAAGAACCCAAATTGAAAACAATTTCTTTGCATGCCTGAGATCGTGGTTCAAACTTTGCTATCTTTCTTGTAGGAAGAAAGAATGCTAGGGCTGAAGAAATAATGTTTCTTAAGTTGCAGGGTCCGTGATGCTCTCTGAGCTGGGTTGTTTCCTTAGAGACATTTCATGACCCAACTAGGTATCATTGTCAGGGTACTGTGTTGTGCTGTGCACTGATGATATTACCTAGTTGGATCATGGAACATCTGCAAGAAAACAACCAAGTTCAGAGTCTGTAGAGATTCTCAGTCATCCAGATCATGGTTGTCCCAAATCCTTCCATTCCCCACTATCCTGTCAGAGCTGAAGAAGCTTCTTGGATGAGAAGCGAAACAACTTCAAAAGAAAAAAACAACAACAAGAGAATCCAGTTGCCTCCCGAAAAAGCACCTTTGGGACAACCAAGCTCAAAAAGCACCAAGGACCCCACCGTTCAGCTCTGAGCTATTCTCTTGCATTGGCTGCTTAGTTTCATTAGGGAACTGCTGCTAAGCTTCCACAGAAGACAGTAACAAGCTTAGCTAAATAAGCTTTGGGAAAAGATTATAGTGGTAGAATTATTATTTTCACAGTTTCCCAGAAATTTATTTTGAAAGTGCATGGCTGGTCATATTTATAAGAGATCAAGTACTAAAAGTATGCTTAGGAGCAGACATAACCCACTGTTGCACTGCTAAAGGATCGGCTATCTTATTGGGATTTAGGTCAAAGGTGTGGGGGTTTTTTTTAAAAAAAAAAGATGAAAAATGAATTTTCACAGATGCATTTTACTGAACAAGCAAATAACGGCAAAATCAACGGTTCTGTTGATTAAAAAAAAAAGCTGGATCTGGTGAAGGTCTCCGATTGCAATTAGAAAGATGTGCTTAGGATCACAGAAGGTTTTTTGAAGAGTAATTCTGGACCTGCAAATTGGTCTCAGTGAAAGATACATAGAGGAAGCATTGTTCATGCTGCTGTCTGAGACTGTTGCCAGGACTTTCCTCCTCCTACTACTGATTTTTCTCCTAATAATAGAATAACAGCGTTGGAAAGGACCTTGAAAGTTTTCTAGTCTAATTCCCTACTCAAGCAGGGTACCCTATGTCAGAGTATGAATATTCATGGACTGGAATAGTTCAGCCAATGTGGACTGAATGGAGACATGGTAACAAGGTCAGCCAATGACTAGGCATAGCAACTAAGTCATCTAATTGGGAGCTGACACAGATTGGAGTCTTAGTCTGCAGCTTCTGAATCTGTGCAGAGAAACTGAAACTAGTCTGCTCTGCTGAAATGAAACTAACTGTACTGCTGCCTGTGTGTTTTGCCTGTAACTTCAACCTCGTTGAAAGAACTCTGCTATTGGTATTGTAAAATTTACTTCATCTGTTATTATGTATATAAAGAGAAGTTAATGAATCCTGCTGAATCAGTTATCTGTGTGTGCTTTTGATTTTTGGTTTGATTTTTGCAAGAAACTCTGACACCCTATATCATTCTGGACAAATGGCTGTCCAATCTCTTTTTTAAAAACCTCCAGTGATGGAGCATCCCACAGATTAATTGTTCTCACTGCCAGGAAATTTTTACAGAGATGTTAGTGCTCAACCACGGTGAGCAAAATACCATAGATTCCTAAGGAGTGTGCAAAGACACGTGCAAATTGCCCTCTTCGCTCTGTCCTGTTGCCCTCAAAAGATTGAGATTGCTACAACTAAATTTCTATGGAACACTTGCAGGACAAAGGGTTTTAAAATTTGGGGAAGCCAAACTGATCTAATTCTGTTTTAATTTATTTTAATTTTTATACTGTATGTATTTTAATTTTGGCTGTTCTCCGCCCTGAGTCCTTCAGGAGAAGGGCGGTATACAAATTTAATAAACCAAACCTAACCTAACCTAAAGCCTTAATAGCCAATATCACAGCATCTCCAGATGTTTCACCTATGAATGGTGGCTAAGCTAGCAAACAGAAATCCAGGCCCCTAGCATCTACTTACCCACCCTTTTCCTTTCCTTTCTGTTCCACATGAACTTTTTAGAAGACCATCTACAAAAGGGGAAAAATTCAACCTCAATCTTTATATAAAAAATATTCTTTAAAAAAAAAGAAAATCTTCCTAGAAAAATCACTTCTCACTGCATAAAATAACGCGAATTAATCATTTCTTCATCATAAAAACCCGACTTTCCGGCAGCATTTTATTTCCAGAGTCTCCGTGCTCCTTGTCAAAGAACAGAAGCAAAAGAGACAGGATCTCCCAACTCCCTTGCTTCATCCAAGTTTTCCGAAGAAGGTCCACGAGAGGTCCACAAGCAGCAATGGAGGATACAATTTTAAGGACCTTTGACGTTGCTGGGCCGAGCAGCAAAGCTTGCATAATAAGCACACTGGGAGGGGTCACATTGTCCATTGGCCCCTGGAGGTCCTGGGGGTCCCATAAGGCCAGGAGTGCCAGCTTCACCTTGAGCGCCTTGGACTCCAGGAACGCCATCCTTACCGTAGCCAGGTTCACCTGGGACACCTACAGAACAAAGCGGTGGGAATAAAGACAATTGCTGTGATGTGGACAAGCTTAGCAGACAAAATGACGGATACAGGTAGCCCTCGACTTACGATCCCATTAGAGCCCGAGATTTCTGTGGTTGAGTGAGACATTTGTTAAGTTTATGTAGTGTATATTGGGGGTGGAGACCCTTTGAGAACTGTACGCAATGAAATTTCATTTTAATGGTTGCCGATTAGTGTACATTCAAAGTGACAATAAAGTTATTCTAAGTCTATGTTCTAAGTCAGGGATGGCTAACCTTTTTGCCATCGCGTGCCAAAAGCAGGGGAGAGCAGGGGGGTTGCGCGCACGCATGCCCACAACCATAATTCAATGTGTCCCGCCCTCCCATGCATGTGAGTGCGACCCCCCTCGCTTCCCCCGCTATTGGCACGTGATGGCATGGTGAGACCGGAAGGCCCATTTTTTGCCTTCCCCAGGCTCCAGAGCCGTTCTAGAAGCCTGGGGAGGACGAAAATGGCCTCCCCCACCCCTCCGGAGGCCCTCAACAGCCCATTTCCTGACTTCCGGTGGGCCCGGAAGGCCCGGAAATCAGCTGGCCAGTGCGCGCAACTGACATGTACTTAACAACAGTTCCAGTGTCCCAAGGTCAAGCAAATGCCCTTCGTCACCTTCCCAGCCAGTTTCCAACAAGCAAGTCGATGGAGGAAGCGGGATTTGTTTAATGACTATATGATTCATTTATCAACTGCAATGATTGGCTTAATAACCGTGGCAAAAAAAGAAAAAAGGTTGTAAAATTGGGTGCGACTCTCGTAACAACCGCCTTGCTTAACGACAGGAATTCTGGTCTCAATTTTGGTCATACGTTGAGGACAACCTATATGGTGTAGAAAGTTAGCACCGAGCCCTCTTCTAGAAGAATGAAATATTTTGAGAAATATTTTTAAAAAAGGCAGAATATTATATTTCCCTAAATGAGAAATGGAGAAACATGGTTTTTTTTTAGAGGCAGGAAGCAGACTCACTCTTAATAGCCTCCACTCCCCCAGCAGATATTTTGTGCCCATTAAGAAAGACTGGGCCAGCTTATCTACAAAACAAAAGACTTTCAGCTCCAGGATGATGGGATTATCCTTCAGGATATACAATAATAGGATTAACCCATTACCATTTAGCAGAAGACACAGAGCTCACCACACTGCACCATCTCCTAAGGCAGCGATGGCTAACCTTTTTGCCATTGTGTGCCAAAAGCTGGGGGAGTGCGGGGTGGTCGCGTGTGTGTGTGCCCACACCCATAATTCTATGCACCCTGCCCCTCCATGCATATGTGCGTGACCCCCCATTCTCCCCCTGCTTTTGGCATGTGATGGCACGGTGGGCCCGGTAGGTCCGTTTTTTGCCCTCCCAAGGCTCCAGAGTCTTTCTAGGAGCCTGGGGAGGGCAAAAACAGCCTTCCCCACCTCCCCGGAGGCCCTCCAGAGGCCGGAAACAGCCCGTTTGCCGACTGCCATTGGGCCCAGAAGGCCCAAAAATCAGCTGGCCAGCGTGTGCATGCATGCTGGAACTGAGCTAGGGCAATGCTTGTGTGTCCACCAATATGGCTCCGCGTGCCATTGCATCATCTCAGAACTTCAACCAAACCTGGGAGCTCAAACAGCCTTGGTAGTACAAAAGAGCCTTGGTAGTACAGTGGTCTAAGGCACCCTGTTATTAAGCTGGTTATTAAGACCAGCTGCCTGCAATTACTGCAGGTTCGAATCTCGCCAAGGCTCAAGGTCGACTCAGCCTTCCATCCTTTCTAAGGTAGGTAAATTGAGGACCCGGTTTGTGGGAGCAATAAGCTGACTTTGTATAAATATACAAAAGAATGAAGGCTATTAATGCATTGTAAGCCGCCCTGAGTCTCTGGAGAAGGGCGGCATATAAATCAAATTTAAAAAAAAAAAAACACCTAGGATTTGGACTTTGCCCATAGAGCCAGCTATGATCCCTACATGGCCCTATGGGAGTCTGACAACAACCAATAGAATACATGTTCTTGCTCAGGAACAGGAAGTTCAAGTGCAAAGCCCAAAGAAGGTATAAAAACCTTCCACTCTCAACTCCATGTAGTCAGCTGCCCAGAGCCACATGTGGTTCTGCTTCATGATTAAACCTTCTTTCCAATCAGCCTCTATGTTTCCGGTGTCTTTCTCCCAACTTGGAACCGAACCAAATGGATATTTCTTCCCACAATGGCAAAATTGGCAATTCACGATATAGCGGCTACATGCATCGGCCTGTCAATCTACCTACAAAGCACAGCTTTTGGGAGGGGGGAAGAAAGTGCAATCAAAGGACCGAACCAACAGTGCCTCTGCCAGCAGGGAATTTTCTTCATCAAGAGAGAAGAGAATATTCTTGGCAGATTTTCACCCCATTTCTCAGGAACCTTCTTTTAAAACAAAACAAAACAAAACAAAAAAAAATGTGACAGCTTCTCTTTGTTTTAGCCACCTGCTTGACTTCAAACAACAGTGCCTTTTTTTAGCAGCACCACCTGCTAAAAATGTCCGAAGCAAAAGGTAGAGAGAATTGTTTTCATCCTCCTCCTAAAACCGCTGTTTCTACTTCTTAAGGGAAAATGTAGGCCTCTCAAAACGTTTCTCTTATGGAAAGAGGGAACGTCAAAAGGAAGCTTTGGGTGGGGCATTAGAACAGGGAAGTCGACCTCATGCCAAGGGATGAACACCTGAAGTGTACATGTAAGGTCGCTTTCGCAAATATTTATAGGAAAAGGGCTTAGAGGAGAGAGAGAGAGAAATCTGTGAAAATAGGATCCCTGATCGCGAGGCAGAGGGGAGCAAGGAATCTTTGAAGCTTATTGCAGAATACGGATAGTCAGTTTTAACACATTAACAGAGATGGAAGGGACCTTGTGGGTCATCTAGTCCAACCCCTTGCCCAAGCAGAAGACCCTACACCAGTGATGGCTAACCTTTTTGCCATCGCATGCCAAAAGCAGGGGGGAACGCATGGGGGGTGTCATGCATGTGTGCCCACACCCATAATTCAATGCCCCCCAGGGTCCCATTCCCCATGTATGCGAGCACAACCCCCCCACGCTCCCCACGCTTTTGGCATGTGATGGCCAGGTAGGCCCGTTTTTCACCCTCGCCAGGCTCCAGAAGCTTTCTTGGAGCTTAGGGAGGGCAAAAACAGCCTTCCCCACCCCCAGGAGTCCCTCTGGAGGCCAGAAACAGTCCATTTCCTGACTTCTGGTGAGCCTGGAAGGGTGATTTTTCGCCCTCCCCAGGCTCCAGAGGCTTTCTTGGAGCATGGGGAGGGTGAAAACAGCCTTCCCCACCTCCCCGGAGGCCCTCCAAAGGCCGGAAATGGCCCGTTTCCTGACTTCCGATGGGCACGGAAGACCCGAAAATTAGCTGGACAGCGCACGCATGGCATAGTGATAATTTTTGTATATTGTACATGATTCACTTTTCTTGTTTATACTGTAACTGCTATTCTAATAGCAACTCCTTCATAAAAATTATTGCATTGCATTCTTGGTTAAATTATCTTTCTATTGATATATAACTTTACAGTACTACTCCAAAAAAAAAAAAAAAAGTGGTGTTATTAGCTAGTTTTAGAAAATACACTTTTCCCAAAAGATTTCCACAGTTTTGGCCACTACTGTAAAATCCGTATTTGTAGAGAATAAGCAACCCACCTGCTACTCCTGGGGGACCAGTTTCACCCCTCTGGCCAATGCCAGCATCTCCCTTCTCTCCTTTCTCTCCTCTGACACCTGTTGGAGAAAATAAAATACATTTTAATTACAGTATTAAGACTTCTACTGTTTCACAGAGTGCAAATATAAAGATTCTTGACCATTCCCTTCTTATCAATACCGATAGCCATCATTTTTACTCTATATGTTGACAGCACCAAGTGTTCTGTCCCCGTCTCACACACGCACACAAACAGACAGCTGGGGGTTAAATAAACTAGAGCCTTGATAGTACAGGGGTTTAGTGCACCCTGTAATTAACACAGCTGCCTGCAATTTCTGCTGGTTCGAATCTCTCCAAGGCTCAAGGTTGACTCAGCCTTCCATCCTTTCTAAGGTAGGTGAAATGAGGACCCAGTTTGTGGGGGCAATAAGCTGACTTTGTATAAAACATACAAAAGAATGAAGGCTATTGCTTAACGCATTGTAAGCCGCCCTGAGTCTCCGGAGAAGGGCGGCATATAAATCAAATTAAAAAAAAAAAAAAACTGGCAGACAACCAATTCTTCCGATAAGAAGCTTGGCAGCAACCCAGTAGCTGCTTGCCAAGAACTTTACTCACAAACAAAATACACACAGTCAAGAATTGTCCAGTTCGTAAAATAAAACCAAGGCTGATAATGTTGTCTCCAAAGATACAATGTGACTCGATAGTAGTTAGTTTTGTCCATCACAGAGTCTGAATGGCCACCTCACCCCCCTTTTATACCCTGTGGGGTGTGGTCCAGTGACTCAGCTTAATCTCTGGCACGCCTTTTCTTCTGTTGCGCACGCTTATCTCTGCGACGCTGCCGAGGATCCAGCCAAGACTCATTTCCCTCATCACTGTCCACCTGTGGCTGCGTGGACGTGCTTGGCCCTGGCCCTATCTCTTGCCCTTCGGCGGGCACCGAAGGCATTGCCAGAGAGGAGGGTCCTGGAGAGGGAGGCCTTGCCAACTCCTCTCCTTCACTCTTGGAGTCCTCTCCTGCCGATGACACAGGCTCAGGTACCGGAGCCACAACACCAAGACTGTCACACAACATTTCACATTGCAAAAATTGTCCATAGTCCTTGAAAGACCTAAATCAGACGGAACATTTGGATCTAAAGATGCTTTCCAGCTAAGGAGCTACTCACCTTTTGGTCCCATAGGTCCCAATGGACCTTCTGAACCTGGTTGCCCAGGTCTGCCAGGTTCTCCAGGAGGGCCAACTCTACCTGGAAGGCCTTCCTTTCCAGGTGATCCAGGAGGCCCTGGTCTACCTTGAGGTGCTTTGATCTGGGAAGGCTGTAACTGGCTTATGAGGTAGGGCAGTCTAGCTGTAGGGAAGAAAATACACAAAGAGTCAGTACGAATGCTTCAAAACATGTTGAATTTGGTACTCAATGCATTATGATGCAAACTTGTTGTCCCAGTATTCGTTGTACTGTGACAACATTTAGTAGACTGCAACCTACTTCTTGGTAAGCTAGAAAAATGTGGGATAGACAGCATCATCACCAGAGGGATTTATCAGACATCCATGGAACTCTGTTACCTTCCCACCAATGGTTAAATCCAATTTTTTTTTACTACCGGTTCTGTGGGCGTGGCTTGGTGGGCATGGTGTGGCTTGGTGAGTGTGGCTTGGTGGGCGTGGCAGGAGAAGGATACTGCAAAATCTCCATTCCCTCTCCACTCCTGGGGGAAGGATATTGCAAAATCTCCATTCCCACCCCACTCTGGGGCCAGCCAAAGGTGGTATTTGCCGGTTCTCTGAACTACTCAAAATTTCTGCTACCGGTTCTCCGGTAGAGAGAAGGAGAACCTGTCAGAACCTGCTGGATTTCACCCCTGCTCCCCACCGAAGTGGTGCCTGCATTTATTTGCCTGCATTTGCATGCTTTCAAACTTCTAGGTTGGCAAGAGCTAGGGCAAGTAACAGGAGTTCACCCCATTGTGTGGCACTTGGGTCTCGAACCTGGTAAGCTCAGCATCTGTAACCAGATGCCCCTTCTATTTATTAAGTTTAACCTGTTTAGCCTAATAAAGATTTATTGAAAGCAAAGGGAGAAAGCAATGGAAGAGGATGATATGGTTAGTTAGATGAACATGAATTTGGGCAAATTCTGGGAGACAGTGGAGGACAGTTGGGCCTGTCATACTTTGATCCATTGGGTTGTTGAAGTGTTGGCCAAATTTAGTGACCGAACAAATAAAGATTTGGACTCAAGTGGATCTCACAGTGTCGTCTCTGGGCCTGACATCAAGATAAAACTCCAAACACATCTTAAAGTCCAGACTAAAACAATTTAAGAATTAGAAGCATGGAAAAGAGATGCATCTTTTCAGATATTCCAAATATCAAGAAAAATAAAGCCCAATCCCAAGGTAAGTCCCAAGCAATTCAAAACATGTCATAGTTGTAGAACAATGCAAGAGAAGGTTTCCTTCCATATGCCAGACCTGTGACAACAGGGCATCATCTAAAGAACACAGCAGAAACTTGGTATAAATATCTTCATAAATGTTTAATTTTCTCCTCAAATAACTTCTTTAATCACTCCTCTTGTCCTATACTCTTCCACAATTCATTGCAGCAGCTGTGGTGGAATGAAACTTTCTCTCTGTGTGTTTCTTTCTCTGCATTTCTCTCTCTCTCTCTCTCTCTCTCTCTCTCTCTCTCTCTCTCTCTCTCTCTGTGTGTGTGTGTGTGTGTGTGTGTATGTATGTGTGTGTGTCTCTCTCTGTCTCTGTCTCTCTCTTTCTCTCTCTGTCTGTCTCTCTCTCTCTGTTTCTGTCTCTGTCTCTCTGTCTGTCTCTCTGTCTGTCTCTCTTTCTCTCTCTCTCTGTTTCTCTCTCTCTGTGTCTCTCTCTCTGTCTCTGTCTCTGTCTGTCTCTGTCTCTCTCTCTTTCTGTTTCTGTCTCTCTGTCTCTATCTCTCTCTTTCTCTCTCTCTCTCTCTGTGTGTGTATGTGTGTGTGTGTCTCTGTCTCTGTCTCTCTCTTTCTCTCTCTGTCTGTCTCTCTCTCTGTCTCTGTCTCTGTCTCTCTGTCTGTCTCTCTGTCTGTCTCTCTCTGTTTCTGTCTCTGTCTCTCTGTCTGTCTCTCTGTCTGTCTCTCTGTCTGTCTCTCTGTCTGTCTCTTTCTCTCTCTTTCTGTCTCTTTCTCTCTGTTTCTCTCTCTCTCTCTCTGTCTCTCTCTCTGTCTCTGTCTCTGTCTGTCTCTGTCTCTCTCTGACTGTCTTTCTGTTTCTGTCTCTCTCTGTCTCTCTCTCTGTGTGTCTCTCTCTCTGTCTCTCTCTCTGTTTCTGTCTCTCTGTCTCTGTTTCTGTCTCTCTCTGTCTCTCTCTTTCTCTGTCTCTCTCTTTCCCTCCCTCCCTCATTCCCTCCTTCCCTCCCTCCTCTCTCTGATTTTCTTTTATCCCAGAACTAGTTTCTCCCTTCATCTTCTAATTTGAAATCAGACCAAGGTTTGGTCTTTGGAGATAGGGGCAGTTTTTATTTCCCTAGTTTTTAAACAAAAGAAGTTGCAAAGTTGTGTGCAGAAGGAGCAATGTGAAAAGGTTTTGCTTACAAGCTCACATTGATATCCTTAGGGGTAGTTGTGACACTTTTAGGAGTAATCTTCAGAGCACATAACAGTTGGGCTAGAAGCATACAGCTTGCTCTTTTAAAATGTTCAAAAGAGAACAAGAAGAAGAAGAAGAAAAAAGTGCTCACCACTATGAAGTAATAAATAATAATGTACCTTTTGTATTATGTGCCTCTTCTACCAAATGAAGACATTTTTATTTTCCTTGGGAAATTACTTTGAAAAATGCTTTAGCTTGCAGAATATTTTTAGCTGCTGCCACATAATAGTGTTAATTTTTTTTCTTTCTTTCATGCATATTTTACTGTTTTATATTTATTATTTACCACTCTGTAATCTACTGAAGAAAGGGACAGCAAGCAAATCTTCTACTTAACATTGAATTCTATAGAATAACTATAGAAAAGGAATGACTGTATGTATGTTAGAAATATTCAGCCCCCCAGAAACCCAAATTAATGAACTTGGCAATGTTGTAGACAGCAATTAGGTTCCAGAAAAAAAAAAAAGCGAACATAATTAAAAGCAATGCTCCTGCTAGTGTCTACCATCATTGATCCAACAGAGAAGAATATGCTTCTCAAAAGCAAAGTACCACTTTATCAGGACCTTGGAGGTCTTCTAGTCCAACCCCCTGCTCAGGCAGAAGACCCCATACCATTTCTGACAAGTGGCTGTCTAGTATCTTCTTAAAAGCCTCCAGTGATGAAGCACCCACAACTTCTGAGAGTAAGCAGTTCCACTGATTAATTGTTCTAACTGTTAAGAAAATTCTCCGTAGTTCAAGGTTGCTTCTCTTCCTTAATTAATTTCCATCCATTGGTTCTTATCTTACGTTCTGGTGCTTTGGAGAATAGGTTGACCCCCCCTTCTTTGTGGCAGCCCCCCAAATACTGGAATACTGCTATCATGTCATTCCTAGTCCTTATACAAACTTAATTCATGCAACCAAATCAAAGAGGCATGAAAGAATAGTGATGGGGAATCTTAATTACATTGATACTTGTTTGGAAACTGTTTTCCAAACAAGTATCAATGTAATTTGTTTTCTCCTGAAAAAGGAGAACAAAATAGATGGGGGAGGGGACTTTAAAAACAGAATTAGAAAGTTTCCAAAAAGTTTAAACAATGCAGTTTTTAAAAAACGCTTAAGAAATTTCAGCTACGAAAAAAGACAGTTGTAGGAGGTGAAAAGTCAACAAGAAAAGTATTGGCAGGCAAGAATTTAAAAATTCCAGAGAAGCTCAAAGTTGTTAAAGATACAATATTTGAAGGGGCTTAAGGGGCTTATTATTTTATCTATTATCTATATGTTTGCTAGGAGTTGAAAACAACATGACACATATCAAAAGGGTTTTATTTATTTATCAAATGTATATACACTACTGATCACTTTTGCAGTGACATTAGGTGATTTACATATATATATATGTGTGTGTGTGTGTGTGTGTGTGTGTGTGTGTGTGTGTAAAATACATGTAAAAAGAAAGCTAGAGACAAAATTAAAAAGCATAGTACCATTTAGATGTAAAGTGTAAAGGAGAAGTAGAAAAGTCCTTCCTTCCTTCCTTCCTTCCTTCCTTCCTTCCTTCCTTCCTTCCTTCCTTCCTTCCTTCCCTCCCTCCCTCCCTCCCTCCCTCCCTCCTTCCTTCCTTCCTTCCTTCCTTCCTTCCTTCCTTCCTTCCTTCCTTCCTTCCTTCCTTCCTCTTCTGATCCTCTCTAACATGTTGAAATCACTTGCCCACTTTTGGACTTCATAATACAAGTCCTTACCATCAAGTTGTTTTCCTAACTCTTCTTGGATGAGTCTTCGCAGTGTTTCTGTTGATGGAGGATCCCCCTAGGAGATTAAAAAAAATGCCTTAAAACACCAGAGTTTAAAATACTGATGTTTATGAATGAGTTTAAATCCTTTCTTAAGCAGATAAGAAAGTTTATTCATTCTTTCTAAAGCTAAAATGAGTAATACAGTAGCATTTTCAAAAAAAAAAACCCTTTAGGAGGCACATTCTAGCATTTTCAAAGACTTCATAGGGCCTTTAGTCACAAAACTTTGAAAGAATAGGAGTAACTATTGTGTAACAATTCTAAATGGTTCCAGTTTTAATACAGGAGAGGGTTAGGCATGTTGCATGTACAAAAAGAAGTTTGAATCATTCATGAAAGAAGCATGAGCTTATTCCTCAATATTTCTTTATCTTAATAGCATGAACTGTAAATGCTATAATAGATCCATTTAGTGATGGCAATAGTGGTTTTGAAGGCATTTTGGGATGCTGAAGCAAACCTGAAACCCAATGTTCATTTCTTCTAGAAGCTATTCTTCAAATTGGTCCTTCGCAGGAATTCCAAATACTCCAACCATAGCAAATTCTTCATGGCATCCTCAAGAATATATGAAAATAACTAGGCTGCCTATAATTGATAACAATGAATGGTTCACATTGAAATGGACATAAACTATTTGGTAATTATCCAACAATAGTTGTTTTTTTTTTAAATATGCAGCTGCATTTTTATATGTGATGAGTTAAAAAAAATAAAATACAGCTGATAAGATGCATACAGAAGCATTTGCAACCAGACAAGATTTCAACAAAAATATAATCAGGTCAGAGTTTGCATCATAACATCACCACCATTCTGTTATTTGGTTTCCTTGGGCCTCCCAGTGGCAGACATTTTGGGGTAGCCAACCCAAAGTACATTTCCCCCTAAACTCACTCTAGGCCCAGGAAATCCAGGTTGGCCTGGAGGACCAGGAGGCCCAACTTGTCCTGACTCTCCTGATGGTCCTGAGGGACCCATTAATCCTGTGTGTCCTTTGCGGCCAGGAACTCCTGGATCACCTGGTGGTCCCTTCACTCCTGCTGGCCCTTTTTCACCTTTAGTTCCAGGATCCCCCTGATGAAGAAAAAAAGATAGATTGGATTAAAAAATAAAGATGTGGAGACTCTAGAAAAAGTGCAGAGAAGAGCAACAAAGATGATTAGGGGACTGGAGGCTAAAACATATAAAGAACGGTTGCAGGAACTGGGTATGTCTAGTTTAATGAAAAGAAGGACTAGGGATGACATTTTAGCAGTGTTCCGATATCTCAGGGGCTGCCCCAAAGAAGAGGGAGTCAAGCTATTCTCCAAAGCACCTGAGAGTAGGACAAGAAGCAGTGGGTGGAAACCAATCAAGGAGAGAAGCAACTTAGAACTAAGGAGAAACTTCCTGACAGTTAGAACAATTAATAAGTAGAACAACTTGCCTCCAGAAGTTGTGAATGCTCCAACACTGGAAGTTTTTAAAAAGATTTTGGATAACCATTTGTCTGAAGTGGTTTAGGGTTTCCTGCCTGGGCAGGGGGTTGGACTAGAAGACCTCCAAGATCCCTTCCAATTCTGTTATTCTATTCTAAATGCAAACGGGACTATTGGCCTAAGAAGGTTGGGGACTTTTGCATTAGAGTGAATAGCCAATGTCATTGATAAACAAAAAACAAATCTGCTTTATTTATTGATTTGATTGACTGATTGATTGATTGCCACCCATCTTGCTTCAAAATGGTCTTCCTCCTTCTTACTTTCCTCTTCTCCTTCCGTTTTCCTGCAAGTTCAGGGTCCTTCCCCCCCCTTGCCCCGCCCCCAAATAGGAGCCTTGGTAGTATAGTGGTCTAAAGCACCCTGTTATTAAGACCAGCTGCCTGCAATTACTCCAGGTTCGAATCTCACCAGCCTCAAGGTTGACTCAGGCTTCCATCCTTTCTAAGGTAGGTAAATTGAGGACCCAGTTTGTGGGGGCAATAAGCTGACTTTGTATAAATATACAAAAGTATGAAGGCTATTGCTTAGCGCATTGTAAGCCGCCCTGAGTCTCTGGAGAAGGGCGGCATATAAATCAATTTTTTTTTTTAAAAAAAAAAAATCAACTGAGTGTTTATCCATTGGTTGCTAGGGAATTTATCGACTGGCTTCTTACCTGAGCCTAACATCATGGGCTGAGACAGAAACTGACCCAAAGTTACCAATTGGCTTTCATGCCTTAGATGGGACTAGAACTCACAGTCTCCTGGTTCCTGGCCTAGTGCCTTAACTACTAGACCAAACTGGCTCTCAAATTAAGCAAAAAAAAAATAAATGTGATAACTCTTCAGCAGAGACCAGGGGTGAAATGCTCCCGTTTCGGACCGGATCACATGATCCGGTAGCGATTGTGGCAGGAGAACTGGTAGCGATGGTGGCACAAGGCTCTGGCCCACCTGCCTGGGTGTCATTATTTCCTGCTTTTAAAAGGTAAAAAAAGGCTCTGACGATCACGCACCACAGCTGTGATAATCAGAGCCTCTTTTTTTTTTTTACTTTTAAAAGCATTTTTTTACAACCTATTCGCCCAAATAGGTTGTTAAAAAAATGCTTTAAAAAAGTAAAAAAAAAAAAAGTTGGCCACGCCCACCTAGTCACATTACCCCACCACCACCAAGCCACGCCCACAGAACCAGTACTAACAAATTTTACATTTCACCACTGGCAGAGACCCATTAAAAATGCTGAATGGACAGACCAGACCTTACTACTTTAGGTGTGTGTGTGTGTGTGTGTGTGTGTGTGTGTGTGTGTAGGGGGGGAATCAGGTAACAGAGTCACTCATCTCCCACAGAACTTTAACTTTCTTTAAATGCCTTCTCTGGATGAACAGAGAGTGCTTCATCTATTGCAAACAGGAGATGAGACTTTCAATTGAAAGTCAGATATACGTTCCAACCTAGGCTTCTTTAAGTAGCAAGAAGCAGAGTCTTAGTCCCGGTAAAACCCCTTTTATTTACACAACTGTGAATTACGTTCATTCACAGTCAGCAAGATTTGTCCAAACAGTTTTTCAGAGGAATATTTCTCAACACACCTTATCACATTTGGCAAGCTGCCAGATAACTAGTTTCCAACCAGGTAAATCTTGGCACAGAGTCTTTTAAAGTCACGAACAGAACTTTCCATTTTGGCGACGACCAACTGAACAAATTGTTTCCTGCAAAAGCCCCCTCCCCATTTGCTCCTCTTTTGTTTCCTATGGGAGGGGCCAATCACCTCCAAGGTGTGGCTTTACTCCCGAGTCGACCCTGCTTTCTTAGTTGTTCTTGTCTTCTGGCAGCTCTGCACATGCACACACTGGGAACAGGCTCCAGCTGTTCCTATGCCTCCCTGCTGTCTATCTCCCTCTCTGCCTCCAATGCAGAGCCCTCATCCAAGCTTTCCCCAGCCCCCAGGACTGGCCCATGTTCCTCCCCAACCTCCTCACTGTCCGACTCTGCTTCCAGCTCTCCAGGCTGCTGGTGGGCCACAACAATATACAAGAATCCTAGAAATTATGAAATTGTAGCTGGGGTAATGATGAACTGAATGAAATTGATTCAGAAATACGTTAAATATGACACCTCTCCTGCGCAAGCTGCACTGGCTCCCAGTGGTCTTCCAGGTGCGATTCAAGGTGTTGGTTACCACCTTTAAAGTGCTCCATGGCATTGGACCTGGGTACCTTCGAGACCGTCTTCTGCCACCAGTAGCCTCCCACCGGCCAGTCCACTCCCACAATTTGGTGCCATTGGCCAAATTATGTCGGCTGGCGACACCCAGGGGGAGGGCCTTCTCTGTGGGAGCCCCTGCCCTTTGGAATGAACTGCCCCCAGAAATGCGTAAGATCTCTGACCTCCATGTATTTCGCTGTGCCCTCAAAACCATGTTGTTCCACCAGGCCGGGCTATCAATGTAAAGATTTTAATTGGTTTTAAATATGAGATTTTAAATTTGGGGGTTTTATAATTGAGCCAATTATTTAATAATTTAAATTATTTTTAAATTTTGTCTGTCTTTGTGCTTTTAATCAGGCTGTACACCACCCTGAATCCTTCAGGAGAAGGGCGGTATAGAAATAAAATTATTATTATTATTATTAAATAGCAAGAATTTGTTTACCTATGAGTGAATACAATGAGATTACATGTTATCTGCTACTGAAGTGTCACAGAGAGCTGACATTTGACAGCTTGAGTTTAAAATTTTGGGATATGAATGAAGCTCTCATACTTACCCTGTCGCCTTTTTGTCCGTGTTCTCCTGGACTCCCTGAGGTGCCCTGAAAAGAGAGGAGGGGATCTAAAGACCAGTGATAAAGCTAATTCTTTGTGTATGTGTGTGTGTCTCATCTCTCTTTAACATACTCATGTGAAAGAGAAAACTAATTATATTGCGTGAATTATAATGGCGTTTGTAGTAGCAAGCAGAATTTTTTAAAAAAGAAAAGAAACAAAGGTGTTTGCCATTTGCAATCACTCTTAGCAGCACTAATAAATCAACCTTTTTGTGCGAGGAAGGCAGAAGTGGTATTCAACCGGTTCGGACTGATTCAGGTGAACCGGTAGTGGCAACTGCGGGTGGGCCCGCCCGCCCTGGCGTAATGCCATCCTATTTAGCCATGTTTTTGAGGCCGGGCACATGCGTGGAAGGCTTGGCACATGTGGGGAAGGCACACATGAGAGAGAAGCGAGCGTGCGCATACAGAAATCTGGTGGTAAGAATATGTGAAACTCACCGCTGGAGGAAGGAAGGTAGGTAGGAGGAAGGTAATGAAATACATACCTCTTTCCCTGGGACCCCCTTTTCACCTGGTTCTCCCTATGGAAAAGAAAGATAAACCAGATTATGCAGCATGGCAGATAATCTACAACACTATTTCTCAACCTTTATACTGTAACTTTAATGTGTTGGCTTCAACTCCCGAAATACACACATCTCATAGTGGCCAAGGTTGAGAAATATGTACAAATACTGCAAATGGCCAACTGCATGAAAAGGGGGCAATCAGAAACTTAATAGGTTTTTTAAAAAAATCAGTTTTTCTCTTTTTTAAATTTTTGGTATATATTTTTTAATTTGCTTTGTTCATCTATTTTTTCTTTCTTTCATTGACATGTATTTGTAAATGCACACACAATTATGTATACCAAGTAATAAATACTGTACAATGGAGATTTTAACGTTAAGCGATTCATTCTGTTGTGTCAATTCATTCTGTTCAACTATCAATTGTTCTGACAGTTAGAACAATTAATAAGTGGAAAAACTTGCCTGCAGAAGTTGTGAATGCCCCAACACTGGAAATTTTTAAGAAGATATGGGATAACCATTTGTCTGAAGTGGTGTAGGCTTTCCTTCCTGGGGAGGGGGTTGGACTAGAAGACCTCCAAGGTCCCTTCCAACTCTGTTATTCTGTTCTGTTCTGTTCTGTTCTGTTCTGTTCTGTTCTGTTCTGTTCTGCTCTGCTCTGCTCTGCTCTGCTCTGTTCTGTTTTTTTTTTTTTTTTAATTTGATTTATATGCTGCCCTTCTCCGGAGACTCAGGGCGGCTTACAATGCGTTAAGCAATAGCCTTCATACTTTTGTATATTTTTACAAAGTCAGCTTATTGCCCCCACAAACTGGGTCCTCAATTTACCTACCTTAGAAAGGATGGAAGGCTGAGTCAACCTTGAGCCTGGCAAGGTTCGAATTTACTAATTGCAGACAGCTGGAGTTAAATTACAATGCATTAGTCTGCTGAGCTATCCAGGCTCCTGTTCTATTCTATTCTATTCTATTCTATTCTATTCTATTCTATTCTATTCTATTCTATTCTATTCTATTCTATTCTATTCATTCATTTGTATTTCACATCTCTCTTGGAAATTTAGCTTCGGACTGAGCCTTTATTGCATAGCAAATAAAAATAAATATATTCCCCTTTCCAACAGAAAGGGAAGACCAATTTTGTCTTGGGTTGGGAACTAAGTAGGGCTAGAACTGTTTAGGAGGTATCCCAAGGTAGGTGAAAAATCAAAGGAATATCCTGGAAGATAGCAATGGTTAACTCCCTCAGCACCATTATGAAGGAAGCTATAAAAATATTCTTGCAGAGGCATCTGGAGTTAAACCCAACTCAGATTCCTCTTTCTTCTTCTTCCTAGTGTATTCCTGCAGGTGCATGGTCTGCTTTTTGGATCATTGAGTGCCACTTTGCACTGTCAGCTGCGTCTCCAGGGCGCAGGCTCGTGGCTTGCGTATCTTTGTTGATGGTGTCTTGCCTTCTCTACTTTGGATGCCTGCGAGGTTACCGGCCATGGACTTCTAGTTGGTAGGCAGTCTTGGCCATGGTGGAAGGTGCTGCTCTCTGGATATGTCCATACCAGCAGAGTCGGCCTTCTCTCAGATTCCTCTTTGCCTTACCTTAAAATGAGGACTTCCTAATTACTCTACATTTTGTATTTTAACACTAAGCATGAGCATCATCAGTTGGCTACTTACAGGAAGACCTCGTGGCCCAATGAAACCAGGAACGCCTGGACTGCCAGTTTCACCTTTGCTTCCCTTGGAGCCCTTGAGGTGAAAAAGAGAAGACATAAGGGCTAAAGGAAACTCTGATCACTCTCATTCCAAAAGAAGATGATGTTTAGAGCAGTGTTTCTCAAACTTGACCCTTTGAAGATGTATGGACTTCAACTCCCAGAATTCCTCAACCAGGCATACTGGTTGGGGAATTCTGGGAATTGAAGTCCATGCATCTTAAAATAGCCAAGTTTGGGAAACACTGGTTTAGAGTCAAGAGCCATCTTCTTCCCTAACTGACTTGCCAGAAGCAATCAAGTAGCAAAGTTTGCCTATGACCTCAGTGACTGTACAGCAAGCTACAAACCTATGTGTATGCCTTGTTACTTGCCTAAGAAATGCCGATGAGGTCTCCTAAGCAAAACTTGGAAGAAGAATGTTAATTTTAGGTAGTTCTTTGAGAACTATCTGTGTGCAAAAATGTGGAGTCTCTTGATTCTTGTGACCACTTGATGTGGACAAATCAGTGGTGAAATCCAAATTTTTTTACTACTGGTTCTGTGGGCGTGGCATGGCTTGGTAGGGCGTGGCTTGGTGGGTGTGGCAGGGGAAGGATACTGCAAAATCTCCATTCCCACCCCACTCCAGTGGAAGGATATTGCAAAATCCCCTCCCCACTCCTGGGGAAAGGATATTGCAAAATCCCCATTCCCACCCCACTCTGGGTCCAGCCAGAGGTGGTATTTGCCGGTTCGCCAAACTACTCAAAATTTCCGCTACCGGTTCTCCAGAACCTGTCAGAACCTGCTGGATTTCACCACTGGGACAAATCAATACATCAGACATTCTTCTGCTTTAGGAAGAATTTTAATTCAGGAAAAGGATGGATATTCTGAAAGTTTCCGGCTTCCTGTGGCTTCTACAGCCACAAACTGGTTTCAAAAGCAGTAATCAAAAATAGCGATGTTATTTTGAGATTATATTGCAAATATATACATCACCGACTCCCAAATAACTCTGGCAGGCTTGCTATGATATTGATATTAAAACCATCCAGACAACAGTATATTTTTTAAAATCTCAAAATGACTTTAAAAAGATACATTTTGAGCCTGGGACGAAAGGGAGGGAGAGCAGGTAAGACTGTGCTTCAATAGCAGTTCTTTCATAATATATGAAAAAATCACCGATTTTGTGACAAGATGGGATTGTCTATATGAGAAGAGATATTCTTGCAAATAGTTTGGGCCAAATGTATGTTAGCCTTAGCACATCAAAACGAGCACTTTGATTTGGCTTTGAAAAGCAACCAGGAACTGCTATACTTATCTTCACACATCAATAAGATTATAGACATCTTAAGAATGCTCTTTCTTGGAGTTTTGACAAGGGCAATTTGATTCCAATAAGAATCTGTCCAATTTTATCACAGTGTCTTGACCTCTAACTTTCCATAAATCCCTGAAGCATTCTTTCACATTTCTTGCCATGGATGAATTCTGGGATTATTCTGGTCTATTTCCTATCCACTTTGTTAAGGATATTGTTGTTGTGTTACCAACCAGCAGAGTGTAGAGCAGAGAGAAACATTGCTGAGAGCAATGAATAAGAGATGTGCAAACTGGTTTATCAAAAGTTTACTTTATAGTGAAAAAAACAATCTCATAGTCTTTAAATCAATCCAAGTCTTTGCCAGTTAAATCAGTCCAGTGATACAAAAATCTTCTTGCCACACAAACAGTAGTTGGTTAGAATAACAAACTCACTCTGGTTCACAAACCACAATGGTAGCAGATTCATCCAACCGATGATAGCACAATGGATAGCACTCCTCACACAATGGTAGCTTATCATCAACTGAATATGTTACAGTACCTTTCTTAAATACGTTCACAACCAGTGATTATATAATTACAGCATGACTCAGCATTACAATGAATCAGCAGGAAAACTTTAAAGTCACACAATACATATCCATATTAAAGTCACAGAACACATATATTGCCTGGACAACTTGTTAGGCTCAAACCATATCCTAACACACTTAATACATTAGTCCAGTCCCTTGCTCATTTCAGATGAACCCCAATTAAATATCCTCAAGCTTCTGTTTCAACTGCTCTTATTTTAAAATCCATTATTATAGTATATATCTTGCTTTCCAGAATAAGGGAATAGAAGAGGACTATCTTCTGTGTCATCAGAAGAACACTAACTTCAAGAGCTTTTCTCAATGTGCAGCTAAAATCAAGGCCTGTCATTCTTACAGGTAGTAGCTACTCCTACAATCTTGTTGTATACAACTATCTGCCAGGATGGGACAACTGATGTCTTGCATTTTATCATGCAAATGTCACAAATAATACTTGGTTAACTACCCTATTTTCCCCAAAATAAGACATTCCCTGATAATAAACCCAATTGGGCTTTTGAGCACTTGGCAATAAGGCCAAGCGCTTATTTCAGGGTTAAAAAAATATATATAAGACAGGGTCTTATTTTTGGGGAAACACGTATGCAGATTGCAAAATGACATCATGATGCATAATGGCCTCGCTGTAACTGCTGTGCCAAAGGTGCTTTTTCAAAAGACAACTGGACTTTCCTGAAGATATTTTGCTTCTCATCCAATAAGCTTCTTCAGTTCTGACTCTTGAGTTCTGATAGTTCTGACTGAAGCTTCTTGGTTGAGAAGTGAAATGTCTTCAAGAAAAAAAACAAAGGAAGTCCAATTGCCTTTTGAAAAAGCACCTTTGGGACAACCATGACCTGAATGGCTGAGAATCTCCATAGAGATATAGCTGCTGTGTTGTTGCCTATACTGTTGTGAGCTCATACTTGTGATGGAGATGGTAAATACAGTACTTACTGGGTTACCTGCAGGACCAGGTTCCCCAGGTGCACCTGGAGGTCCAGTCTTGCCCTAAAAAAAGGAAGACAACAATCAATCTCAAAATATATGAAGAACGAATGAATGGAACCAAAGTCATATGACCAGAAACTCCTCTTCTGGTTAATTTGTTTTGGCCCACCATCCTTTACTCCAATGGTTAAGAGAGAAACTGTTCTGTCAGCCTTTGGATATCAAACACCAGCCATCTGGTTTAATTTGGTGACCAGTCAAAAAATAACATGAAACTTATATAAGACATTCAAGATTGATTGTTTATAAGTAACTAACACCTTTTTGTTGGTTCTTTTAAAACTCATACTGTCCAGCAACATCCAAATTCATCATATTTTCAATGTCTACCAAAGGAAAGGAAAGGAAAGAAGGAGAGGAGAGGAGAGGAGAGGAGAAGAAAGGAAAGGAAAGGAAAGGAAAGGAAAGGAGGAAAGGAGGGGGAAAGGAGAGGAGAGGAGAGGAGAAGAAAAGGAAAGGAAAGGAAAGGAAAGGAAAGGAAAGGAAAGGAAAGGAAAGGAAAGGAAAGGAAAGGAAAGGAAAGGACAGGACAGGACAGGACAGGACAGGACAGGACAGGACAGGACAGGAAAGGAAAGGAAAGGAAAGGAAAGGAAAGGAAAGGAAAGGAAAGGAAAGGAAAGGAGGAAAGAAGGGAGAGGAGAGGAGAGGAGAGGAGAGGAAAGGAAAGGAAAGGAAAAGAAAGGAAAGGAAAGGAAAGGAAAGGAAAAGGAAAGGAAAGGAAAGGAAAGGAAAGGAAAGGAAAGGAAAGGAAAGGAGGAAAGGAGGGGGAAGGAGAGGAGAGGAGAGGAGAGGGGAGGAAAGGAAAGGAAAGGAAAGGAAAGGAAAGGAAAGGAAAGGAAAGGAAAAGAGGAGAGGAGAGGAGAGGAGAGGAGAGGAGAGGAAGGAGAGGAGAGGAGAGGAAAGGAAGTCTCTGTTCCATGCAATCAACATTAATGAATGCCATCCAAAGGAAATGTTTGGTTTCACAACATCTTCACCATGATACAGCATATAATCTGTTCAGATTATCCTGAACACTTGGATACTGCAAGGTGCCTCCTAGAATCAGAACAACTCATTCACTAGGCAAAGTAACTCACTGCTAGTCCTCGAATTCCTCGGGGGCCTTCTGGTCCCGCAGGTCCTGGATCTCCCTGGAATAGAAGAGGGAAAAATATCATACATCGTAGCCTCATTGAAGGTTAAGAAAGTCAGAAGCCACAGTTAGCTTCGAACTCACAACTGATTCCTGACTCAGAAAGCAAATGAATGCTATCTGTCTTGTGATGGCCACAGATCCAAGCTGTTATGGAGGCAAACATCTTAGAACATAAAACCATGGGGCTGGAAGAGACCACAGAGGTCTTCTAGGTCAACCCCCTGCTGGTTTTTGAAAACCTCCAGTGATGGAGTTCCCACAAATCTGGGAGGCAAACTATTCCATTGATTAATTGTCAGAAAATTTGTCCTTACTTTTAGGTTGGATGTCTCTTTAACAAGTTTCCACCCGTTACTTCTTGTTCTGCCTCTGGTGTTTTGAAAAATACGTCAATCCCCTCTTTTCTATGACAGCCCAAGGACTGGAAGACAGTTATCATATGTTGTCCCCCCCCCTCCCCAACTTTCTCTTTACTTCCTTAGTCTTTACCTCTGGAGGCCATTTCAGGAACAATTCACACCTTAATAGTGCTTATTTGTGATTAAATTATAATGTTAAAACAGGGGGATGAGCTATGGAGTCGATGGGAGTCAGGATACAAATTTAATAAAATAAATCAGGCCTAGAGAATAGGATGACTGTCCAATGATGGACAATTGGAAGAAAATTTCAGAAATATTGTTACTATTACTACTACTACTTTTAATCACCTTTGAAGTTGACATAGAGCTTTTATTGTGCTTAACACTTACATCTTTTCCCGAAAGCCCCTCCCGGCCCGGAGTTCCAGGTTGACCTGGTTCTCCCTGTAATAAAGAAGAAGAATGGAGGAGAGAAAAACAAAATTTAGACTACAGTAAATCCGCCCCCTTTAAAAATTCTACATTCCAGGGTGAGAGTGATGACTCTCATGCTGGTCACCACTTCTTTACCCTCCTACCATCGGGAAAGGAGATATAGAAGTATAGGCCACTGCACAAACAAGCTGAAGAACAAGTTTTTATCCATGGGCTGTCAGACTCCTGAAGGAGAAATAACATCATAACTACGTAGTATGATGGACTTGCAGGGACGGTGCAACGTGTAACATGTTCACACTGGTGTAATAGGACTGCGTGTTTTGTTACTATGATTTATTGGGTTGGGGATTTTCTGTTTCCACTGTGAGTTGTGTTGTGTTGGGGGAGGTGCACTGAGGGAGCTCCACCAATCTCATTGTACATGTGTTGTGCAGTGACAATAAAGGTTGTTGTTGTTGTTGTTGTTGTTGTTGTTGTTATTATTATTATTATTATTATTATTATTATTATTATTATTATTGGTTAATCTTTAGTAAGATTCACAGCCTTTGAGGCTGGTTAATAGCTCAGCAGCTCCAGTCCTAACCAAGGACCTAGGAACTGTTAAGGTATCGTCGGAGGATGTAAACTGTTCTGAGTAAGGTGGTTTTTTGGAGAGTTAAAATGTTCAAGTCCGGCAAATTTAGAATTTCTAAATAGCAGGGTAGCCCTTTGGGTATTGCTCCGAGGGCTCCAATTACAATCGGGACAACACACGATTTCTTTTTCCACAGTCGCTCAACTTCAATTTGCAAGTCCTGGTACTTTGTGATTTTTTCTTGCTGCTTATCTTCAATCCGTGCATCACCAGGTATTGCAATGTCAATGAACCATACCTTTTTCTTTTCAACTATTGTTATGTCAGGTGTGTTGTGGACCAAGTGCCTGTCAGTCTGAATCCTAAAGTCCCACAAGATCTTGAGTTTCTCATTCTCTAAAACTTTCTCAACCTGATGTTCCCAGTGGTTTTTGCTGTACTCAAATCCAAACTTCTGGCACAATTTCCAATGAATGATTTTAGCAACCCGGTCATGGTGTTGTAGGTAGTCAGTTTGTGAAATTTTGCGGCACCCACTGATCAGGTGATCAGGTTGTTGTTGTTGTTGTTGTTGTTGTTGTTGTTGTTGTTATTATTATTATTATTATTATTATTATTATTATTATTATTATTATTATTCACTATCATGTAACTTAAAGTATGTCAGTGCTACTACATCCTTTCTTGTTTTGTTCTTTACTTCCTCTTTTATCGCTTCGGGTGTAGATACAAACTTCTGGCTCTACTGGAGGCCTTGACTACTGTTAACTGTTGTTGTTGTAGTGTGTTTTTGATGTCTCTCCATCTTCTTCTGGGTCTGCCTCATGTTCTTTGGCCTTCTCCTCTTTTTGTATAGGCCTTGTATGGTATGGAGAGGGACGCGGTGACTCAGTGGCTAAGATGCTGAGCTTGTCGATCGAAAGGTCGGCAGTTCAGCGGTTTGAATCCCTAGTGCAGCGTAACGGGGTGAGCTCCCGTTACTTGTCCCAGCTTCTGCCAACCTAGCAGTTTGAAAGCACGTAAAAAATGCAAAAAATAGGACCACCTATTGACCACCTACATGACCCCGGAGATGCCTTCAGACAGCGCTGGCTCTTTGGCTTTGAAACAGAGATGAATACCGCCCCCTAGAGTCAGGAACGAGGGGAACCTTTATCTGTATGGTATGGAATCCCAAAACATCCTATCCAGGTGAACAAACCACTTTATTTTCTGTTTTTATATGTAGTTCAAGGTTGGTTCTTTGCCAGTTCTTTCTTTTATGATCTCATTTCTGATTTTATCTCTTATGGTCACTCCAGCAGCTTCCATCAAACATCTCATTTCCATGGTGTGGAAAGCCACTCCCACCCCCCAGAAGAATGAAATATTTTAGGAAATAGTAAAAAGGCAGAATATTATATTTCCCCTAAAGGAGAAATAGAAATCTAAAGGGAGAAAGAAACTCAAGGCTTCAGTTCTCTGCCCCCAGCAGGTATTTGGTGCCCATTGAGAAAGACTGGGCCAGCTTATCTACAAAACAAAAAGACCTTCAGCTCCAGGGTGATGGGATGAAGACATGACCCTCCAGGATATAATAGGATTATCTAGCAGCAGGGCTCACTGCATTGCAAAATCACCTGGGGACATTGTATCACCCTCCAGGCTTCAACCAAACTTGATTCAGACAAACTGACCCTACATTGCCCCATGGGAGTCTGACTACAGCCAATAGAATACATTTCTTGCACAGGAACAGGAAGCTCAAGGGCAGGGCCCAAGAGAGGGTATAAATAACCCTCACTCTCCACTTCATATGGTCAGCTGCCCAGGACCCATGCACTCCTGTCCATCAATAAACCATCTTTCCAATCAGCCTCCATGTTTCCAGTGTCTTTCTCCCCACTTGGAACTGAACCAAAAAACTAACTTTTGTTTATGTTTTATTGTTTGGCACTGGTAACATAAGGTGGGGGTTGAGATGCTTCTTGAGATGCTCATACTGTACATCCTTTTCCCCAGCAAAATTGCATATCAGCTTTCAACAAGGAACACGATTTATTATTGTTTATATGGTTTCAAACTCTACATTTTCTTCTTCAGAAATCCAGTGGATCCCATCTTCTCCACCCCAAAGATATAAGGGGCAACAGTGACCTCCCAAAAAGGCATTTTTTGCACCCCAATTATACTTGTGCACATCCATATGACTTACTCTCATCCCAGGATTTCCTGCATCTCCTATTGGACCCTTGAAACCCTGAAACAAAGAAATGAAATGTAAATCTGTAAACGTTCTCCCTTCAAAACTGACCCTTGAAAATGGCTCCTTAACCTCCTCCCAACCTTTGGCTTAAGCTCTGTTCCCATATTCCTTTTATCTCGATATCTCATTTCCTTGAGATGGTGTCTAATTTGCTTCTAAGTTTAAAGACAGAGCCTGACACACATGGAATACAACAGATACACACACACACACACACACACAACACACACACACACACACACGCAGCAGTGAGTTCCATGATGAGAAAATATTTGGGCAATATTATTGGGCAATAATGGGTCCAATACAAGGTGTTGGTTGCCCCCTTCAAAGCTCTACATGGCTTGGTACCAGGTTATTTGAAGGACTGTCTTTTCCTAGTCATTTCTACCCAACCTGACCTAATATTTACAGACCCCTTGCATCCTGGACATAAACTGTTTCAACTCCTACCCTCAAAATGACGCTATAGAGCACTGCACACCAGAACAACTAGACAGAAGAACAGTTTTTCCCCGAACGCCATCACTCTGCTAAACAAATAATTCCTTCAACACTGTCAAAGTAGTTACTAAGTCTGCATTACTACTAATCTTCTCATCGTTCCTATCACCCATCTCCTTCCACTAATGACTATATGACTGTAACCTTGCTGGTATCCTTAAGATTTATGTTGACTGTTTCCTAGTATGATTTTATTGCTTATTTGTACCCTATGACTATCAATAAGTGTTGTACCTTATGATTTTTGACGAATGTATCTTGTCTTTTTATGTACACTGAGAGCATATGCACCAAGACAAATTCCTTGTGTGTCCAATCACACGTGGCCAATAAAGAATTCTATTCTATTCTATTCTAAGAGAGGAGGCAGGAAATGTTACAGGTCCCCTCTCTTAAAGAACTCCATCTGGTGGGACCAAGAAAAAGGGTCTTCTTTGTGGTGGCTCCTTCCCTGTGGAACATCATCCCCATGGAGATGAGATTGGCCTCCACTTTTGACACTTTTTCTGAAGGCCCTAAAAACCTGGTTTTGCCAAGGAGTTCACAGGCTCCAGGGTGGAATGGAGCCCATCAAGTCATTCATTTGATTGTTGTTGCCAGAGAAGGGGAGGAGAGAAGTTTTGTGTTTTTATTGTTTTTGTGTTGTGATTTTATCTTTCTAGGCTGCCCAGAGTCACAAGAGTGGAGCTTGGGAGCTCCATTTTTAGCTGTGATGGCCTTCTGCAGTGGTCTGCCAGTGAAAATGGAGTTCAGGAGGGCCTCCCAAGCTTTGTTTTCACTGACAGACTGCTGCAGGAGGCCACCACAGCCATAAACAGAGCTCAGGACTGTGGGGTCCCAGTGGCCTGGGAGCTTGAGGGCCAGGCTGGAAGCTCTCTTCTGCCTAGGGCTTTGGACAGCCTGCGCCGCTGTCTGGGGTCCTCCACATGGCCTGAGAGGGGCAGGGAAGCTCCTCTGGAGGACAAAGGTTTGGTGTTCTCCCTGGTCTTGCCTTCCTCCACTGAGACAGTGGATTCCCCCAGCCCTGCCCAGGCCCCCACAGGCACCCTCGACATGAGTGATGTCAAGCTGGCCACGCCCACCCTGGCCACGCCCACCCACTCCCCCTGAGGTCAAACACAAGCCTGATGCGGCCCTCAATGAAATCGAATTTTGACATCCCTGAGCTATAGCCATTTGCTATAGCTCATGCAGAAGGAACAGCAGGTTTTTGTCCAACTAACAAATACTGTGCTTAATTGGTTAAGTAGCCTAGATATTTATATATCAAACAAATGTCTAGGGAGATTCTCAGTCATCCAGGTCATGGTTATCCCAAAGGTGCTTTTTCTTTTTTCTTTTTTTTTAAAGTTTTTTTTTATTTTAAACACATTAAAAACAAACACAAAACAAACAACACATATATACATATCATTTTTCCGTTGTTAACAGCTTTTTTTCCCCCCAAGAAGCTTCTTCAGCTCTGAAGCTCTCTCAGAGCTGAAGAAGCTTCTGGGATGAGAAGCGAAATATCTTCAAAGAAAAACCAGAAAGTCCAGTTGCCTCTTGAAAAACGCACCTTTGGGACACATATAAAACACTTATTTTACTTTATGAACTAATATATTTTGAAATGCAACGTATAACTTAATATAGAACTCCTTGAATTTTTTTTTTTACATCTTCCTCTTATGTGTATCCTATCACTATGTATAGAATAGAATAACAGAGTTGGAAGGGACCTTGGAGGTCTTATAGTCCAACCTGTCCAATTTAGGCAGGATATCCTACACGACTTCAGACAAATGGTTATCCAATATCTTCTTAAAAACTTCCAGTGTTGGAGCATTCACAACTTCTGGAGGCAAGTTGTTCCACTGATTAATTGCTCCGTTGGAAAATTTCTCACTTCTAAGTTGCTTCTCTCCTTGGTTAGTTTCCACCCATTGCTTCTTGTCCTGCCCCCAGGTGCTTTGAAGAATAGTTTGACTCCCTCTTCTTTGTGGCAGTCCCTGAGATATTGGAAGACTGCTGTCATGTCTCCCCTAGTCCTTCTCTTCATTAAACTAGTCATACCCAGTTCTTGCAACCGTTCTTCAAATGTTTTAGCCTCCAATTCCCTAATCATCTTCGTTGCCCTTCTCTGCTGTGTTCTTTTCATACATCGTTACTGCTGCTATCCGTATATTTCATGCCCTATGTTAAATAAATAAAAATGTTTATTTATTCTGTCCCGGAATAGCCTGTAACGGGACTTACCGGTGGTCCTCTGGCACCCTCTTGGCCTGGTAGCCCCGGTTCTCCAGGCTTACCCTGAAACAGTCAAAGCACATTTAGAATAGATTCTTGCACTGCTAAGCCATAAATCAAATTTCCACACTGCGTTGGCATAATTTACACAATGCAGAATGCCACACAAAAACAAACACATTCTGACAGAGCTCTAGAACTTTTTTTCACCAGCAATAATGTAGTACGGTTCTTATTTACTTATTTATATCCTGCCTTTATTTTTTTTTAAACAATTTATTTATCTATTTTCCTTAACATACATTAATACTTTGTGAACAGCGCATTGTCTGGGTACATTTACTTAACATAATAGTATATAATATAATAATATATTAAACATAAACCATACATACTGTACATAATAGTATTTTTACAATTTCTAATTTCTACTTCTATTATCCAACCATTGATAAAATAAATCCAATGTTTGAAGGTATTCTGTATCTTCTTTATCTTTTAACTTCAATGTCAACCTATCCATTTCTGCACAATTTAGTATTATTTTAACATTACATCTTCTTCTATAGGTGGTTCCTCATTTCTCCAATGCTGTGCACATACAATTTTTGCTGCTGTCAACATATGTAAATATATATTCCCTTTATTATATTTTTTTCTGTTACTATGCCTAACAAAAATATTTCTGGTTTATAATCTATGTGTTGCTTTAACATTTTTTCTAACCATGTATGTATTTTTGTCCAGTATTTTTTTGCCTTTGCACATGTCCACCACATATGACAATATGCGCCCGGTATCTGGGTTATAACCTGCCTTTATTATTTTTACAAATAAGTAAAGGCGGCAGACATATCCAAGATGCTTTTCCTCCTCCAGGTTTCTTCACAATAACAATCCTGTGAGGTGGGTTGGGCTGAGGGAGAGTGACTAGCCCAAGGTCACCCAGCTGAAAACAAATGAAGCCCAATCCATCCTAATTTTCCAGAATACATTAAATAGAAATTGATTCTAAAGTACTGAATGCAAACACATTTACAATAGTAAAATTAGAGGGAAACAAGTGACTGCATTTTTAAAGCCTGAACTGCAATAATATTTTTAAGATTCGAAGTCACAAGATTAATCCTATGATTGTGATCAAATAAACTTGTCAAGGCAAATTGAAAGAAAAAACAGGAATATTCTCCATCTTCCTGTGGAGCAGACTTCACCTAGCATCAGTGATGGGTTTCAAATTTTTTTACTACCTGTTCTGTGGGTGTGGCTTGGTGGGCGTGGCATGGCTTGGTGGGCTGGCTTGGTGAGCGTGGCTGGAGAAGGATACTGTAAAATCTCAATTCCCACCCCACTCCCGGCAAAGGGTACTGCAAAATCCCCATTTCCTCCCGATCAGCTGGGACTTGGGAGGCAGAGAATAGATCGGGGCGGGGCCAATCAGAATTTTTACTACTCAAAATTTCCACTACCAGTTCTCCAGAACTGGTCAGAACCTGCTGAAACCCACCACTGCCTAGCATGTTGATTTACTTTTTTTTTTTGTAAAAAGTTTTTCTTTATTTTTTCATGTTGACTTTCTTTGATCTGCGTTCTCAACCATCATTGGTCTCACTTATCCAGAGCTTTTCTTCTGAGACTAAATGCCATTTTAGTTCCCTCACTGAGTGACATACAAAAGTATGAAAGCATAGCATGAAAAGTGTCTTTCCTCACCTAAATTTATGAATATTAGGAGAGTCTGTGACATGATAGTCAAAGAACAAAGAATAGTGACAAAGAACATTAGGTGATTATCTTAACAGCAAACTATCTTCTTACCGGTTCCCCAGGTGATCCTGGCTTGCCATCTTTGCCATCCTTTCCAGGTACACCCTAAAACAGAAGCCAAGCAGATAAACAAGATTAAAGATGCAAAGACATTCTGCCATTTTTTTTTTTTTGAGAGAGAGATGATTGTAAGAATAAAAGGAAAAAACTAACCAAAGATTACTAATTTAGGAAAATTAAACAAAATTAGACTATACCCAGTTGCAAACCTGCCAACTCCATGCTGTGGAAAATCCACAGAGAAAAAAAACTAGGTTGTATGTAAAGAAGGAAGTCAAAACAATTAATACACACACACACACACACACACACACACACACACATGCACGCACATACATATATATATCAAATTTATATTTCGCTGATAAAGAAATAAAGGGAGACTAGTATAGATCTATTTCAAGCTATTTAGCTCTCATCAGCTAGCCATACCCTTACTTGGATTCGAACTTGGGCTGCCTATATATTAGTATATATATCTATGGTTTGTCGTAAATGAAACTGAAAGGCTCCTGGATTGGAGCTGAAAGCCGAAAGGGAAGCAGTACATAATATATACCGTGTTTCCCTGAAAATAAGACCCTGTCTTATATTTTTTTGAACCCTGAAATAAGCACTTGGCCTTATTGCCATGCACTCAAAAACCCGATTGGGCTTATTATCAGGAGATGTCTTATTTTGGGGAAAACAGGGTATATAAATATATAAATTATAAATATATATATAATTAACAACTAACTTCATTGCTTCAGCCAATCAAATGCGTAATGTACATACACAAATAATATTTCATTTATCTAAAATGATGTGTCCCTTTTCATAGATAAACACCTCAAACGTATCAGGCCATGCTTCTAACAGTGAGCAAAACGTGAGTATTAATGGTGTTTACTGCAGGTTACTTCCATGCTAATATGATTCAGTCAGAATAACAGAGTTGGAATGGACCTTGGAGGTCTTCTAGTCCAACCCTCTGCTCAGGCATGAAACCCTATAATATTTCAGACAAGTGGTTGTTCAATCTCTGCTTAAAAACTTCCAGTATTGGAACATTCATTCTTCCACTGATTAACTGTTCTAACTGTCAGGAAATTTTTCCGTCAAATTCCTGCGCCAAGTATCCGACTCTTGGCGATTCTATGGTCCACCAGTCTCTCCACATCTTCTGATCTTGCACTATTTCACTGAGTTATTGTCAGCTTTGATGGTGTCCAGTCACCGTGTTCTTTGGCACTCTGGTTTCCTTCTACCACTAACCCTTCCAAACACAATAGCTTTTTCCAGTGAATTCCCCCAGATGACACGGCCACAATAAGTGAGACACAGTTTTGTGATTTTTGCCCCGTGCTAACATAGCTTCACACATTCATACATCTGGCAAAAATCAATATTCTGCTTGACAGGATGCTTTTTAGTGTATATACTCTTCCAGTTATGATTCTACCTTTTGCTAACTCAGCCTCTGAGGTTTTGCTTATATCCCTGTGCTAAAATTCAAACCACCCCCATGCTTCATAGTTCTATTATCTTTCACCGCAAGGTGAGTAATTAGAAAATCCATCATTATTAGTCAAGATCCAGAGCCACAGCTAGATTCATGAGTGCAGAAGGGATTCATTTAGAGGGGGTGGAGATTGAGGTTAGCCTAAGTCATCACACGCATTTCAGTCTTTTTTTTTTTTTTTTAAAAATAATTTCACATCTTTTTCCATTAGATGTCTATACATGATAATATAGTTGAGGTCCATGACGAATATACTGTATTTTTCAGAGTATAAGATGCATCTTTTTGCCCCCAAAAAGAGGGTGAAAATCTGGGAGCGTCTTATACTCCGAATGTAGCCCTACCCAGCTTCTCAAACGGAGGTTTCAGAGGCTGAAAAAAGCATCAGAAAAGAAGCTTCAGAAAAGAAGCCCCCAAACAAAGCTTCAGAGGCTTTTTTTCTGAAGCTGTTTCAGAGGCAGAAAAAAAAAGCAAAAAAAAAAAAAAAAAAGCAAGGCACAGAGCTCACAACCAAGGAACCTGTTACTGAAATCCACCTCTGGAAACAGCTGATTGGGGAGTATTCCGGGAGGCTGATCCACCTACCAATCAGTTTTTTTTTCTTATTTTCCTCCCCCAAAACTAAGATGTGTCTTATATTCCGGTGCGTCTTATACTCTGAAAAATACTGTACTCTGGAGCCATTTCATATATGGGAGGGCACCACTTATCTGAAATCAGTGCACCTCCTATATGTCCTTGACCTTAGGGATCACTAAAAACTAAATTGATTAACTATTTGGTTCATTTTCTGGCCACAAACACTGTAAGGCAGTTTTGTAGTGTAGAAAGTTAGCACCCATCCGCCTCCAAGAAGAATGAAATATTTTGGGAAATTTTAAAAAAGGCAGGATAAAATATTTCCCCTAAAAGAAAAAGAAAAATCTTAAGGGAGACAGAAACTCAGAGCCCCAGCTCCCTGCCCCCAGCAGATATCTTGTTCCCATTAAGAAAGACTGGGCCAGCCTATCTACAAAACAAAAGTCCTTCAGCTCCAAGGTGATGGGATTAAGACATGACCCTCCAGGACATAATAAGATTAACCCACTAAAATAGAGAGCTCACCACATTGCACAATTTCCTAAGGACGTTGCATCACCCTCAAAAACTTCAACCAAATCTGGCAGCTCAGACAACCTATAGAGCCAACTATGACCTCTACAACAGCCAATAGAATACATGTTCTTGCACAGAAACAGGAAGTTCAAGTGCAAAGCCCAAGATAAGGTATAAAAGCCACCCACTCTCAACCCCCATGTGGTCAGCTGCCCAGAGTCACAAACCCATGTGGTTCTACTTCATCATTAAACCATCTTTCCAATCAGCCTCCAGCCTCCATTTTGTCTCCAGTGCCTTTCTCCCAGATTGGACCTGGACTTGGATATTTCTTCCAACAGTAGGGTTCTTCCAGAGCTGTTTAGCAAGGCCATTTTCCAAGGGTGGAAATGTTTGTTCCATTTTATCTCCTGACTCCTGGAATCCTTTCTCCTTTCTGCAGCCTTGACACCACGCTCCCACCCTCCCTACTCATTCTGATGGATGGCTTTGACCCTTGAACCACCTTGCCTCACTTTGTTGTAAAAAGCAAAACCAGAATAGAATAGAATAGAATAGAATAGAATAGAATAGAATAGAATAGAATAGAATAGAATAGAATAGAATAACAGAGTTGGAAGGGACCTTGGAGGTCTTCTAGTCCAACCCTCTGCACAGGCAGAAAACCACTTCAGACAAATGGTTATCCAACATCTTCTTAAAAATTTCCAGTGTTGGAGCATTCACAACTTCTGGAGGCAAGTTGTTCCACTTATTAATTGTTCTAACTGTCAGGAAATTTCTTCTTAGTTCTAAATTGCTTCTCTCCTTGATTAGTTTCCACCCATTGCTTCTTGTTCTACCCTCAGGTGCAACCCCTGAGATATTGGAACACTGCTATCATGTCTCCCCTAGTCCTTCTCTTTATTAAACTAGACACACCCAGTTCCTGCAACCTGCAGAAAAGAAGATTGAGTGAAGGAGAGGGTTGCAGAGGATTGAACATAGTAGTAAAGATATCCGTGCACAATTGTAAAACTACTTTGAGTCAAAATATGGATTCATCTTGGCTAATAATCTTGATTCTGGGTAGAATAGATCTTTGAGATGATGAGAAGCCAGGTTGTATCTCCTAAGATCTCCAAAGATCTTTTGACAGTGGAGATTTTGGACTTGTCTACGAGCAAATCATTCTTTCTATCACCATGGTATTGGACTACCTTGATAGATTTCTCTCTCCTTACCAGGAGAAACCTTTATCTTTACCTTTTCCTCCTCTTATATTTTCCTTCCACAAATTGAATTATTTTTCTTTCAGTACATTGTATCAACAAGTTTGAAACAGGATAATTAAAATCTGATTGCATGCATGCCAATTCAAATTGAGAGGGTTTTTTTTTTTAAATGCCAAGCAATATGTGCATAGCCTATTATCTTAACATGCTGTGTAGCTACATAGGATGAGGATAGAAAGATAATAGGGACAGAACTTGTAGACATCCGTGCACGCTTCCCCTGTGCTCTGATATGCATATGGCACCTCCATTCCAGTTGAAGTATTTCAGGATCCAATAGAAATATTGTTCATTGTCCTATAGGGCCCTGGAATTCAGAATGGACCCTAATTTCTAGATACCTTGCATCCATAGTTGCAAATATTGTCCATACTCACCATAAGTCCAAGCAATCCTGGGGGTCCCTGAGGTCCTGGGGGACCTTCTTTCCCCTATGAAAAAAACCCAAACATGATACAGTGTTAGAGTAGGATGAAGAAGACCTGAGATGAAGTCCTTGCTCTGTACTGCCATTATACCAGGTCCTGTCTCTCCCCCAGATCTGAAGAACTACAATGGCTTTCTGGTAAGAAATGGGCACACCCCTATCCATCCCTCTCCCAATTTTTTTTTTCTAAATTGACCACCAAGATCAATTCAGAGGGGAAAAAACAAAACAAAACTCCAGAATCTTAAGAAATCTCTTAGAGCCTCAGTGAAAGCTGAACAGATTTTCAGAATTTGCCCCTTCATGGAACCCATGACTCATAGGCATCCCAAAGGTGCTTTCCCCCCCCCCTCAAAAAAAGGCAACTAGACTTTTTTTTTAGATTTTTTAAAATTTGAAAATAGCAATAGCACTTATATATAGTGTTAACCAGTGATGGTATTCAGCCAGTTCAGACCGGTTCAGGAGAACCGGTAGTGGTGGCCTGTGGGTTGGTCCACCCTGGTGCTATGCCATCCTATTTAGCCATGTTTTCTAAACCGTGCACATCAGTTGTGGGGTTTTTTTTTTTTAAATTTGATTTATATGCCGCCCTTCTCCGGAGACTCAGGGTGGCTTACAATGCGTTAAGCCAGTTCAGACCAGTTCGCAAGAACTGGTAGTAAAACCGGTGGGAGGCTCCACCCACTGCCCCGGATGTCATCATCGGCGATCTGCGCATGTGCAGAAGCAAGGCGCATGCGCAGAAGCAAGGCACGCGCAGAATCCCATTGCGAACTGGTACTAAAGGTAAGTAGAACCCATCCCTGGTGCGCATGCATGCAGAGTGCACACATGAGCAAAGGGAAGGTCGTACACATGTGTGAAAGGCACTGGACGAGCAAAGCGAGCGTGCATGCACACTTGCTCATATTTTTGGTGCACGGCGAACTGATGGTAAAATTATGTGAAGCTTTATTAATTAATTAATTTATTTATTTATTAATGAGATTTATATGCCGCCCTATCTCCAGCCGGACTCAGGGAGGCTCACAACAGTTAAGAAACACCTAATAAAAAGTTAAAAAATTAAATCCAAATCTCATAATTTAACAATTAAAAGTACAATTAAAGTACAATTAAGACTAACAAGTTAAAATTAAATTAGAATTAAAACCCCATCAGTCCATCAGAAACCCGCCTCTGGGGTTAACTCTCAGAACGACTCTAGCTGAAGCCATATTTTTCTTGTTTCATTTCTTAGTTGACATACTTATGGGGGGAGGAGGATTTATGGAATGCAGAATGTTTTCCTCCAATGTGCCAGACATAGCAACAATAACGTTCCTGAGAACCAAGGCCAGATCAATGTGCTCTAGCAACGGCAGGAGAGACTGCTGCAGGGGTGGGTTCTACATTTTTTACTACCGGTTCTGTGGGCGTGGCTTATTTTGTGGGTGTGGCTTGGAGGTCATGTGACCAGGTGGGCGTGGCTAGCTGGTCAGAGTCATTTCTGGAAGGTCCTCGCACTTACGACCCGACTCATTTGTTTGCTTTTAACACTGATCAGCTGTAGGGCGGCCCTTTGAAGCCCCGCGGCAAGAGTTTAAACAGTTTTTTTCCTCTAGTCATCAGCTGGGACTCAGGAGGCAGCAATAGATTGGGGGTGGGACCAAATAAAAGGTAAGAATAACGTGGGAGGGTGGGGGTGGGTGGGAGGGCAGGGGGTGAGAACCGGTTCGGTGACGTCATATCGTCACCGCTACCGGCTCGGCCGAACCGGACAGAACCAGGAGGAACCCACCACTGGACTGCTGAGAAGTTCATCACCTGCTTGGTTGGCTAACGTGACCTGTAACACCAGGGGGGTGGACAGTGTCTATTCTTTAATTATACCAAAAAACATGGGAATTATTCAGGGTTGGTTTCACCTTTGACCGTGCCGATATGATGTATCCAATAAACCAGATTTTTGAGGAAGCCAAGGCCTCAGAGTCTTGAATTGGTTGGGAGCATTACTCAGAACCATGACCTATAGCTTCATAGTGCTTTACTGCCCTCTCTAAGTGGTTTACAATGTCAGTATACTGCCCCCCAAAATCTGGGTACTCATTTTACCAACCTCAGAAGGATGGAAGCAGAGGCGAGTTTCAGCAGGTTCTGACCAGTTCTGGAGAACCGGTAGCAGAAATTTTGAGAAGTTTGGAGAACCGGTAATAAAAATTCTGACTGGCCCCGCCCCCATCCATTCTCTGCCTCCCAAGTCCCAGCTGATAGGGAGGAAATGGAGAGTTTGCAGTAACCTTCCCCTGAATTGGAGAGGGAATGGAGATATTACAGTATCCAAGGGTGCCTTTCCTGCCACCTTGAAAGAGGTGGTAGTGAGGCCCCTCCTCAAGAAGCCCTCCCTGGACCCAGCTGAATTAGCCAACTACCTTCCGGTCTCCAACCTTCGTTTTGTAGTGAAAGTTGTTGAGAGCGTGGTGGCACGACAGCTTCCCCAGCACCTGGATAAAGTTATCTATTTGGACACGTACCAGTCAGGCTTCAGGCAGGGGTACAGCACAGAAACGGCATTGGTCGCGTTGGTGGATGATCTCTGGAGGGCTCGGGACAGGGGTTGCTCCTCTGTCCTAGTCCTATTAGATCTCACAGTGGCTTTTGATACCATCGACCATGGTATCATGCTGCAGCAGTTGAGGGGGTTAGGAATAGGGGGCACCGTTCTGCAGTGGTTCTCCTCCTTCCTCTCTGACCACTCACAGTTTGTGTTGGCGGGGGGCAGAGGTCGACCTTGAGGTGCCTCGCATGGGGAGTGCCGCAAGGGTCGGTCCTCTCACCCCTTCTGTTCAACATTTATGTGAAGTCGCTGGGTGAGATCATCTGTGATTTTGGGGTGAAGTGTCATCTGTACGCTGATGATACTTAGCTGTACATCTCCACCCCAGACCACCCCAACGATGCCCTTGATGTGATGTCCCGCTGCCTGGAGGCCATGCAGGTCTGGATGGGGAGGAACAGGCTCAGACTCAACCCCTCCAAGACCGAGTGGCTGTGGCTTCTGGCGCCCCGATATAGTCAGCAGGTGCCATCACTGACTATTGGGGTGAATCTTTGCCCCCCACAGAGAGGGCTCGCAATCTGGGTGTCCTCCTGGATGCACGGCTGTCTTTTGAAGAGCATATGACGGCCGTGGCCAGGGAGGCCTTTTATCAGGTTTGCCTGATTTGCCAGTTGCAGCCCTTTCTGGACAGGGACGCCTTGTGCACGGTCACTCACGCCCTTGTCACCTCCCGGCTGGACTATTGTAATGCTCTCTACATGGGGCTCCCCTTGAAGAGCACTTGGAGGCTCCAACTGGTCCAGAATGCGGCCGCACGGGTGGTTATGGGCGCAACTCGTTGTGCCCACATGACACCCCTCCTGCGCAAGCTGCACTGGCTCCCAGTGGTCTTCCGGGTGTGATTCAAGGTGTTGGTCACCACCTTTAAAGCGCTCCATGGCATAGGACCCGGGTATCTTCGAGACCGACTTCTGCCACCAATAGCCTCCCACCGGCCAGTTCGCTCCCACAGAGAGGGTCTCCTCAGGGTGCCATTGGCCAAGTTATGTCAGCTGGTGACATCCAAGGGGAGGGCCTTCTCTGTGGGAGCCCCAGCCCTGTGGAATGAACTGCCCCCCGAAGTGCATAAGATGTCTGACCCCGGGCATTTCGCTGTGCACTCAAGACCCTGTTGTTCCTCCAGGCCGGGCTATCAACATAATAATTTTAAATTGGGTGTTTTAAATTTCTGGGGTTTTAAATTGAGCCAAATTACTGCATTATCGCAGCACCATTGAGAGTGTCCTGACATACGGCATTCTTGCATGGTATGGGAGCAGCTCTGTAGCAGACAAAAAAGCTCTACAGAGAATCATTAAAACTGCCCAGAATATCATCGGACTCCAGCTACCAGCCCTGGACAACATCTTCGAATCTCGCTGTTTGAGAAAGTTGCATAACATTCTCAGAGACTCTTCCCATCCTGCTTACAATCTTTTTGGACTGTTGCCTTCTGACAGAAGATACAGAACAATTAAAATAGGACCACACGTTTTCTGAATAGTTTTTATCCCAGAGCTATAATTGCACTCAACAATGAACTAAAGGGCCACCATCAGCAATCTGTTGGACAGCATTACTTGGTCTGTTGTGTGGATGTTTGGGTGGTTTGGGGGGGGGGAATTGTGGTGGGTGGGGGGGTGTTTGGGGATTGTTATGTGTGTTGGACCTGGTCTTTGGGTGTTAAGTGAATTTCGTTGTATGGGTATACTGTGTATACACATACAATGACAATAAAGTTATTTATTTATTTATTTGCATTCTAACCACTGTGCCCCATGGTTCTTTCTAAATGAAGAAGAACTGAAGAAGCTTCTTCAACGAGATGCAAAACATTTTCAAAGAAAAAAACCAAGAAAGTCCAATTGACTTTTGGAATCAACCCTGACCTGGATGATTGAGAATCTCAATCACTCATAGAATCAACTATCTCAAATCTTTTTTGGTGTTCAAAAAGTTCTGAGACCTCTTTTGTGGGGATTCTCCAATATTATGAATGAATGAACAGCAACTTACCACTTCTCCTGGAGGTCCTGGAGAGCCTATAGGTCCCGGGGAGCCCTCTGGTCCCTAAACAATATGAAAAAATATTTATGTAGCAATTCTTTGTCCTACATATGATGGGCCTGAAGTTTTCATTTACCACCATATCCCACCCTATAAAAAACACACATGATAACTGATAGTTGATGCAGAATTCGCATCTCTGAAGAATCTTCTTTCTCATATGGCTTGGAGATAATTTTTTGCACATTAGTGCTGAAACTGCCTGTATTTGCTGTAGCAAATATTGTGCCATGATAGATGGACTTTAATAAGATGAGCAGCACCTATAAAGGACAGTCCATCTATTGAGGTACAATATTTGCTACAGCTCTGAGATATGGATTGCATATTACTCCTACAGTCCAGTACTATGGGGAAAAATATTGAATTATTGAATTATCATCAAAGACAACATCGTCAAAATTATTGAATCCTCATGAACAACAGCATCCAAATTATTATTGAAATCATCATCAATAATTGAATCATCCTCAATAACATCAACAATGTTATTGAATTATGATCAAGAATAATCAAAATTATTGAATCATCATCATCACCATCACCATAATCTCAAATAGATTTACAACAACAATTTGCCTTACATTCTAGTAGATAAAGATTAAAAAATGACATGCAAAGGAAAATCTTACAGCTGGGCCTGGATTCCCAGGGGGACCCGTGAAACCAGGTATTCCAGGATGACCCTACAGAGAAGAACAATATTTATTACACATGTTATTATTTGTACAGTATAGCTCATGTTCTCCTTAAGTGCTATATGCAAAAAACTTAGCACCCTAAATGTGTATCAAGAATTGCGTATACCACCTAATTCTTGAGGACAGCTAACAAGCATTAATTTGAAGGTGGGATCACAGTGGCTCACATGGTTTTAGAACACTGGATTGACAATTTGCAAGCTTGAGTTCGAGACTCAAGAGCTGCTGTGTAACAGGTTGAGCTCCCATCATTTGCTCTGGCTCCTGCCCAGTTTGTAAGTGTGCAAACCCAAGTAGAAAGATAGGTACCACTTCAGCGAGCACATTAACAGGGACATGAAAGGAGCACACTCAGGCATCCCCCAGACAATGGTGAAGTCACTGGCTAATCCTTTCAACTTGAGAGTGTCTGACACAAATGGGACACAAATGGGATTTCCAAGATGGTCCCTGGAAAGGGATTTTAGATTGCACTGAACCTGCTTTGGGAAAAATTAGGTTTTGATTGGTCTTCTGGCTTTCTAGCCAAAATATGTCATAATATTAATTATAATTAAAATAATAATAATAATAATAATAATAATAATAATAATAATAATAATAATAATAATAATAATAATAATAATAATAATAGCCATAATCTTGCATAGCTTCTTCTCTGGTAATATTGTACTACTAACTAGAGCATACAAAACATTTGCTAGACCAATTCTTGAATACAGCTCATCTGTCTGGAACCCGCACTGCATAATGGACATTAATACAATCGAATGAGTCCAGAGATATTTCACAAAAAGAGTCCTCCATTCCTCTGCTCGCAACAGAATACCTTATGCCACCAGACTTGACATTTTGGGTTTAGACAACTTAGAACTTCACCATCTTCGGTCTGACCTAAGTGTAGTACACAAAATCATCTGCTACAATGTCCTACCTGTCAATGACTACTTCAGCTTCAACCACAACAAAACATGAGCAAATAATAGATACAAACTCATGGTAAACCGTTCCAAACTCGATTGCAGAAAATATGACTTCAGTAACAGAGTGGTCAATGCCTGGAATGCACTACTTGACTCTGTAGTTTCTTCCCCAAACCCCCAAAACTTTAACCTTAAACTGTCTACTGTTGACCTCACCCCTTTCCTAAGAGGTCTGTAAGGGGCATGCATAAGTGCACCAGCGTGCCTACTGTCCCTGTCCTAATGTTCCTTTTTACTCTTACTCTTTTCATGTATTCAAATTATGTTTATATTTTTAACCTGTTATCTTATATATGCTTGACAAATAAAACTTATGACTTATATGCCAAAACTAATGGAAATTGTCTTTATCATCAGGATGGAAAGTTTCATGGAGCGTGAGTATGATTAAGGCACATTACCAAGTCTACATTCTGTTTTCCATGTTCTACACCATGTTAAAAGTTAGCAAGTCTACAGCATGCTAAAAAAACATGATGTGATCTTTTCTTTATCAAACAACACCATATGTATAGATGGTGCAACTGGAAAAAAAGATCAAAATATGAATGGGGTTTGCTTCTGGAGTTATTGCGAGATTTTCATATATATATGAAGGCTGCACCTATGTTTGACACATAAAATACCCTGCTACTTTTCCTCTACACCAAGGGAAATATTGCAAGAGTGAATGAATAGAATAGAATAGAATAGAATAGAATAGAATAGAATAGAATAGAATAGAATAGAAACAGGAGAGGAGAGGAGAGGTGAGGAGAGGTGAGGAGAATAGAATAGAATAGAATAGAATAGAATAGAATAGAATAGAATAGAATAGAATAGAATAGAATAGAATAGAATAGAATAGAACAGGAGAGGAGAGGAGAGGAGAGGAGAGGTGAGGAGAGGTGAGGAGAATAGAATAGAATAGAATAGAATAGAATAGAATAGAATAGAATAGAATAGATAGAATAGAATAGAATAGAATAGAATAGAATAGAATAGAATAGAATGGAATGGACACACAAGGAATTTGTCTTGGTGCATACACTCTCAGTGTACATAAAAGAAAAGATACATTTGTCAAGAATCATAAGGTACAACACTTAATGATACTCATAGGGAACAAATAAGCAATCAAATCATATTAGGAAACAGTCAATATAGATCATAAGGATACAAGCAACAAGGTTACAGTCATACAGTCATAAGTGGGGAGATGGGTGGTGGGAACGATGAGAAGATTAATAGTAGTGCAGACTTAGTAAATAGTTTGATAGTGTTGAGGGAATTATTTGTTTAGCAGCGTTCGGGAAAAAACTGTTCTTGTGTCTAGTTAAAAAAAAAAACAATAGGAAGATCACTTGATTTAGATGGTCAAGCAAGGGGACTTGCAGAATTACAATTCACAAGGCACAAGAGATAATGGTGAGCCAAATTTGAGTGCAATGCAGCTTAACTGAGCCATGCTGGCCCAGCGATTAGAATGCAGTACTGCAGGCTCCTTCTGCTGCCTGCCGGCTGCCTGCAATTTAACAGTTCGAATCTCACCAGGCTCAAGGTGGACTCAGCCTTCCGAGGTGGGTAAAATGAGGACCCAGATTGTTGGGGGCAATAGGCTGACTCTGTAAACCACTTAGAGAGGGCTGTAAAACACTGTGAAAGCGGTATACAAGTGCTATTGCTGTTGCTATTATAGCAGTTAGATTTTGCTCTTCAGTAGGTTGTTGAGGAAAGCATGAAAATTGGTGAAAGCATGGGATAACAATGAATGCTATTAACAGTTAATTATGCAACTGTTGTAAAAATATGGTTGAAGACTTGAACATAATGAAAGAAGCATATGGTAGAAGTGAAGCTTGAATGAGAATTAATACAATGTTTAGCTGATGTTTTAACTGTGCAATGAGTAAATTAAGGAGGTTTATTTATTTATTGATTGATTGATTGATTGATTGGTTCGATTTATATGCCGGCCTTCTCCAGAGACTCAGGGCAGCTTACAATGCATTAAGCAATAGCCTTCATACTTTTGTATATTTATACAAAGTCAGCTTATTGCCCCCACAATCCGGGTCCTCATTTTACCTACCTCGGAAGGATGGAAGGCTGAGTCAACCTTGAGCCTGGTCAGATTTGAACTCGCAGTAATTGCAGGCAGCTGGCAGCTAAGTGCTACTTAACAGCACTTTAGTCCTCTGCACCACCAAGGCTCCTATGATGTCCTCTTGGTTGTTTTGGTGTATTGATGAACCAATATGTAAGGAATACTTGTGTGGTTATCTAATAGGTACATTGGTGGATCCCTGAATGCCTGCATATTATGCAGAGAACTCTCCATGTTTAACACTCTGGCTGTTTGCATTGAATGTTAAATAGGTGGCTCTTTTGTCATACAGAGATATGGATGAGAATTAAATTACAAAACAAATATATAAAGGGAACAGGACAAAAATGAGGAGAAGACTAAGAACGATGTAACTGAAGGGAATGCATAGCATCTTCTTAAAATGAAAATGTGTCATTAAAAAAAAAAGCAATGTAGGAAGCAGTCTTTGGGCACGGTGTAAGCAAAGATGGTTTGTAACAAGAGAAAAATAAGGAAAAGTCTTTCCTTTGGAAGCCATATTAGGCCAGAAGCTTCCATGCTGCCAACTTCTCATGTGTGGGAAAGTAGGAGAGGGGATTTAGTAGAGGGGTTTTCTGTAGACATAATAGCATTCAGGGCGATCCTGCATCTGGAGAAGGAGTGGACGGAGTGCTGTCTCGAGATGGGACGGCAGTTGATTGGAGCATGTGATCCAAGGGTGGGTTCTAATTTTTTTTACTACCGGTTCTGTGGGCGTGGTTTATTTTGTGGGCGTGGCTTGATGGTCATGTGACAATTCTTTAGGATTTAGCAGAGGTACTGGTCTACCAGGCTTTTAACTGCTTGCAGAGCTGTACTGATCTACCAATTTATTTTTGCAGGCGCTGATCTACTCATGTATTTTTGCAGGCACTGGTCTACTCATGTATTTTTGCAGGCACTGGTCTACCCATTTATTTTTGCAGGCACTGGTCTACCCATTTATTTTTGCAGGCACTGGTCTACTCATTTGTTTTCTTTCAACACTGATCAGCTGTAGGCGGCCCTTTGAAGCCCCGCGGCAAGAGTTTAAACCGTTTTTTCCCCTCTAGCCGATAGCTAGGACTCAGGAGGCAGCAATAGATTGGGGGTGGGGCCAAATAAAAGGTAAGAATAACACGGAGGGTGGGGGGGGGCGGGGGGATGTGGGGGCAGAACCAGTTCGGTGACATCATATCATCACTGCTACCGGCACGGAGGAACTGGGAGGAACCCACCACTGATGTGATCGACTGAAAAGTTAGGGGATGGTTTTGGGGTTTTTTGATTTACTGAGGAAAAACCTGGACCTCTCAGATTTGGGTTTTCCCAGATGTGCCAGTTTACCTATTCTAGTAAATACCCTGTTTCCCCCAAAATAAGACATCCCCTGATAATACGCCCAATTGGGCTTTTGAGCACATGGCAATAAGCCCAAGCACTTATTTCAGGGTTCAAAAAAGTATAAGACAGGGTCTTATTTTTGGGGAAACATGGAAGAATTTTGAAAAATGCTTGCTTCAGAGGTTTGACTTGGAGTTGGGGTTTTTTTCTGGAACGCTGACAGTCTTGATGTGAATTCGTTTGGGCTATATTTTCCTTTCTTATCAAGATCCAATGTCTTTAATTGCTTTGGCTATTTTTTTTTATGCTTTCTGCACTCTGCATTATGCTACTGATGCCAAAAGGGAACAGAATAAAGGGTTTGCATACATTTCTGTATGCACACAATCTACCAGCCAAAATGTTTGAGTTCCAGGCTATAAAACGACATTCTTGGCCCCATCACTATTTTCAGAAAAAAACTGAATGACAAAGTATCTCATCTACATTCAACCCTAGTTGCGTCTATTATTTTCCCCCAGGAAAATGGTTTCAACATAATACAGTATATATATCGTTATTTTTCCCTTGAGAACATAGCAAGAACAGTTTCTGAATAAATAAATACTCTTCTCTGTGTGTATCTGTATCAGGAATGCATGTAAATAAAAATAAGCATCTGCAATACATCTGAATTATACTGCTGGGTTTTTGTTTATTATTATTATTTTTGTTGTGTGTGAAGAACAAAAGCTGGAGGAATGACCAAAGTGCCACTCTGAAGGGGTGCTGAAACCTCCCTGGGGATCTAACATAGCTGGTTCAATTTGAGCAATCATAACAACCCCACAGGACCAAAATCTTGCAATTTTAAACCTTCTTTATGAAAAGCAACTTGAGATAGAAGGATATGGGAGCTACCAGAGGGAGAAAGAGTCTCCCATTGTTATTTTTCCTCTCCTAATCATAACACAAAGCCAACATTCACAGCATCTATTTGAGTATAATCCATGGCTAAATCTGGACCTCACGTGTGGGATATGCATGGAGGTTCCATTACTCTGACAACACAATCCTGGGACATGGTGGCTCAAAGGGACACAGTGGCTCAGTGGCTAAGACGCTGAGTTTGCCGATGGAAAGGTCAACAGTTCAGCGGTTTGAATCCCTAGTGCCGCGTAATTGGGTGAGCTCCCATTACTTGTCCCAGCTTCTGCCAACCTATAATAATAGGTTGATAATAAGACAATCGGGCTTTTGAGCGCATGGCAATAAGGCCAAGTTCTTATTTCAGGGTTCAAAAAAATATATTCAAAATAATATTCAAAATATTATTTTTGGGGAAACATGGTAGCAGTTCGAAAGCACGTAAAAAATGCAAGTAGAAAAATAGGGACCACCTTTGGTGGGAAGGTAACAGCATTCCGTGTGCCTTTGACGTTGAGTCATGCTGGCCACATGACCACGGAGACGTCTTCGGGCAGTGCTGGCTCTTCGGCTTTGAAACAGAGATGAGCACTGCCCCCTAGAGTCAGGAATGATTAGTACATATGTGTGAGGGGAGCCTTTACCTTTACCATGGAGGGACAAATATAGTTCATGTATTGTTCTTCCTCTGAAGCACCATGGCATTCTATTTCTAATAGCTGGCTTTCCAAGTTTTCCAAGTTCCTCTTGGAGACCAGACATCATGCATAATCCAGTCTGAGTTAGTCCGGGACCAAAGATTTAACAATTTGGCACTTCAAATGTCACCAGGCTCAAGGTTGACTCAAGGCCTTTCATCCTTCCGAGGTGGGTAAAATGAGGACCCAGATTGTTGGGAGCAATAGGCTGACTCTGTAAAACACTTAGAGAGGGCTGTAAAAGCACTGTAAAGTGGTATATAAGTCTAAGTGCTTTTGCTATTGCTATTTAGTCTTCCAGACTTTCGGACTCACACTAGAGCCCATCCCCTCTCTCTCTACATGTGTACTGGACTGTTTTGTGCATAGTATTTATGTGATCCCTGGTTGTATCTGACTTTTAGTTATTAATTGGAGCGTTGGTGGGTGGTTATTAAGTCATTGGTTGTTCCCAGCAGCCCAGGAGCTGCTGCACCAGCTCCTAAGTACCTGGTAAGCTGGTGGTAAATTAGCACTCCTGTTGACTGAGAAGGGGCTTGCTTCTCAGGCTTCAGTTATTTCCTGGTTAATTTTGTACTGCTCAGCCAATAATCTTAGTAACTGTGAAATTGAATGTGTGTCCTTGTTCGTTGCAATGTGAGGCTACCAATGTGTTTGGGTCTCCTCATCTAACTGCTCGCTCATGTTTTTGCAATTTGGTAGTTGAGATTCCTCCCCATCTGTTTTACATAGTCACAGGGGCAATCCATGCAGAGAATCTGATAAATTACATTAGAAGTTTCTCCTAGCTCCAAGCGATCTTTGCAATGAATGATTTCATCGTGAGATAGCATTAGACAGAGTTGCTTTAAGGGTGATTTGAAATTCTACAACATTTCTCAACCTCACCAAGTGTAAGATGTGTTAATTTCAGCTGGCTAGAGAACTCTTGAGAGTTGAGGTTCACACATCTTAAAGTTGTTGAAATTGAGAAATGTGCTCCAGACCAAACTCCCTGCTTCTAAGCAGCAACTCTGAGTTCCAGAGAAGTTCTAAATCTTCCTCCCTCTTGTGCGCTCACCCTGTGTAAACCTGTATGCAGCAGCTGCATTTGCTATATGTGCTGCTGTGATGCATCTTAAGTGTTTTCTCTATCGCAGTCCACAGCAGAGTTTGATAAACAGCATACTTAAACGGGATGGCAGCTGCCGGGATCAAAGCTCTCTTGCGGCAGATGAAGCAAGGCAGATGTCTAGATCTTGAGGGTAATAGAAGCTCAGTAAAGAGACAGAACAAAATTTGCTTTCATTTTTGGCTTGCTAATACTCTCAGGAGAAATATCAACAGCTATTCCATCACTATTTTTTTTCATATCAACTTCAAGATTTATCTTCTCAGATAAATTGTGCTGCTTAATAACTCAATTCAAAAAAGTCAAATGTCATGGAATAATATTTCTCTCTCTCTCTCCCCTCCCTCCCTCCCTCCCTCCCTCTCTCTCCCCCTCTCTCTCCTCTCCCTCCCTCCCTCTCTCTCTCTCCCTCTCTCCCCCCTTAATGGTCAAGCCTTCATGTCTATTGTACGATCTATGACTTTCATTCTTATAGGGATCCATGATGACTACCCTGTTTCCCCGAAAATAGGAGCCAACCAGAAAATAAATCCTAGAGTCAGCGTTTCGACGCTGGCATAGTGAGCAGAGGAGAGAGAGAGATAAGCTCTGAACTTTTGCCTGCTAAATCCCTTTGAAGTCGGGTTGTCGTGGAAATGAAGGGGGGAGACATTCCTGGGAAATGACGAGACAAGAAGTCTGAAGAATGACTTGGAAGATAGACAATGAGAAGCAGAGATTTGGGGATCGGAAAGGGAGGGATTGGGGGGCGAAAGGTCAGTCTTGTCCGCATCGAGTCATGATCCGGTGGCTGTGCTCAATTAAAGAAAAGATTTCCTTAAAGATTGGCAGTTTGGAAATTCATTTATTTTGAGATAGCATCGAAGTCTGACACCTAGCATGATTTTTCAGGATGCTCTACCCCCAAAATAAGCCCCAGTTAAGATTGTCAGCCAGACGGATGCGTTTAGTACCGTATTTTCCCAAAAATAAGACCTAACCAGAAAATAAGCCCTAATGCATCTTTTGGAGCAAAAATTAATATAAGATCCAGTCTTATTTTCAGGGAAAGATGGTAAAGACTAAAAGCATATGAATATTTTGGCATAATAATACAAAAGCAGGGCACAGATCTTTTGTTGGGAAGTGAAGAAGAGACAAGGTAGGGATGTTGTTGTTACTGAATGGTTTCAAGAAATCATGCTAATTCCTTATTTACTCTCACCTGTTCACCTTTCAGTCCAGCTTCACCAGATGCCCCATCACCTCCTTTAGGACCCTAATAAAAGAAAAAAGAAAAGTCTAATAAGATGACTTCATTTAATAGAAGAGATTAGGAGCATATTCTCCCTTCTGGACCTAGTGGGTGATAGGGATTTCTACAAGTAGCTTGATCTTATGCAATCTAAGGCTTGCTTGGAGGTAACCAGCAACTTGAGGTAGACTCAGAAGCCTGCTAGGATCCAGTATGGTCCACAGTTTTGTTATATGAGCACATTGAGAGATGCCCCCAAACTGTCCACATTTTTTGCATTCTGGACCGACTGCAGCTTTTGCACCAGCTGGAACTTCTGAATGCTTTTCAAAGATAGCCTCATGTAGTGTGGGAGGTATCTAAGGCAAAAGATCTTCCAGTCCAGAATGGATGAACTTCTGCCCAAGATGAATCTGTGAAAAAGCCACTCTAGCAGGGGTGAAATCTAAAATTTGTTACTACCGGTTCTGTGGGCGTGGCTTGGTGGGGGGGGGTAATGTGACTGGGTGGGCATGGCCAATTTTTTTTTAACTTTTAAAACCATTTTTTACATGTAAAACCATGTAAAAAAAATGCTTTCAAAAGGCTCTGACGATCCCAGCTGAGTTGCCTGATTGGCAGGCAACTCAGCTGAGATCATCAGAGCTTGGATCGTCAGAGCCATTTAAAGGAAAAAAAAATTTTTTTTTCTTTTAAATGGCTCTGGTGATCCCAGATGAATTGCCTGATCGGCAGGCAACTCAGCTGGGATCGTCAGAGCTTGGATCGTCAGAGCCATTTAAAAGAAAAAAAAAAGGCTCTGATGATCGTGTGGCTCAGCTGGGCATGGGGGGCGGGGGCAGGGATTTTTGCAAACTGCCCGCCGCCATCGCTACCTACTCGTCCAAGCCGGTCCAAACCAGGAGCATTTCACCTCTGCCCTCTAGCCATTGCTGCCAACTGCTCTTCGAGCAAAAGCCAATTTAGAACTAAGGAGAAATTTCCTGCCAGTTAAGAACAATTAATCAGTGGAACAACTTGCCTCCAGAAGTTGTGAATGCTCCAAAATGGAAGTTTTAAAGAAGAGATTAGATAACCATTTGTCTGAAGTGGTGTAGGGTTTTCCACCTAAGCAGGGGGTTGGACTAGAAGACCTCCAAGATCCCTTTCAACTCTGTTATTCTATTCTAAGATCCTCAAATTGCACAATCTGACTGGGGAAGTGCTGACTTCTGGGACTTGTGAGGAGTCAATGCAATTGAAGGGCATCAGGTTAGGAGAGCCTGTTCTAACTAATGCATTGTTAGGGTTTATGCTTGGTTTTACACAGTAGCATTGTGGCTCAGCAAACTCCTTCTTAAAGATGTAAGATCTACTGGAAACAGATGTTCCATGGAAGCCCAACTTATTTTATTTTCTTCCAGCTTTGAAAGGAACAAGTATTTTGGAAAGCCAATTCTCTATATACAAGACGTTGTCTTTCATGCTAACTTGAGCATGCCAATGGGGTCAAACTCCCAAAACTGTTTTGTGTGTAACATCCTTGATCCCCTTTCTTTAAAACAGAATAGGAGACATGAACGTATTCAGACTGTTAAATGCTAGAATAAATAAGGGTATTTTCGTAGGAAGCAGGATTTGATGGACCTTGAAATTGGAATGTTTTTCTATTTCGAATAGCTCTTTTCTATTGGTAAAAAGAGTCTTCCCTTCAGTGGTGGGATTCAAAAAAAATTACTACTGGTTCTGTGGGCGTGGCTTGGTGGGCGTGGCAGGGGAAGGATACTGTAAAATCTCCATTCCCTCCTCACTCCAGGGGAAGGTCACTGCAAAATCCCCATTCCCTCCCGATCAGCTGGGACTCGGGAGGCAGAGAATAGATGGGGACAGGGTCAGTCAGAGATGGCATTTACTGGTTCTCCAAACTACTCAAAATTTCCACTACCAGTTCTCCAGAACTGGTCAGAACCTGCTGAATACCACCTCTGCTTCCCTTCCTATACCAGTTCCTTTCAAATATGTATTTTTGAAAGGAAGCAAGAGTCATATAAGACAGAATGTACACCTTACCTTGGGACCTTCTGCTCCTGGAGGCCCGGGGGGACCTCTGAGCCCAGGTTCTCCCTGAAAGAAACACAGTTTACAAACAGATGTCTTCTAGCTTGATTGTTCATTCCTATAGTATCTTGTCAGCATCTGGTATCCTAAAATGGTCCGTGCCTATGGAAGGACAGCATGACCTCATTTATCTGCTCAAGAGGAAGAAGGCACAGGTTGAAGCAATGGGAAAGCATATGAGTCTTCGGAGAAAGGCAGCGTACAAGTTGAAATAATAAATAAATAAATAAATAAATAAATAAATAAATAAATAAATAAACAAACCTGTGCCCTCTTCCTCTTACACAGATAAATGGGGTCACCCAGTCCTTCTATAGGCACAGACCATTTTAGGATACCATGTGGTCTCCACTCATAGCTTTCTAGACATATCCGAGTTTCTATTCTATAGTTGCCACCAATGTGGTATGTCACTGTTTTAAACATAGGAGAAAGAGATAATGCTTAAACAGAACGGGGCAATCCCATTAGATGATGAGCTTGATTAATTAATGTTTCTTCTGAATTTGACTTAATGTGGCTTGGTAAGGAAGGACTGTCACAGGTTCATCATGCCATTTGCTGGTGCAGATGAGATGCCTCTTCATGTTGGGCTTGTTGCATGAGACCCTTTGATATTTTTTATTTATTTATTTTTATGTAACTTATTGAGCCATGGTGGTGCAGTGGTTAGAGTGCAGTACTACAGGCTACTTCTGCCGACTGCCAGCTGCCTGCAATTTGGCAGTTCGAATCTCACCAGGCTCAAGGTTGACTCAGCCTTCCATTCTTCCGAGGTGGGTAAAATGAGGATCCAGATTGTTGTGGGCAATAGGCTGACACTCTAAATTGCTTAGAAAGGGTTGTAAAGCACCATAAAGTGGTATATAAGTCTAAGAGCTATTGCTAAGTGCTATTTAATAATCCTCCCTCCTCTCATTGTCTCCACACAACAACTCTATGAGGTGGGTTGGGTTGAGAGAGAATGACTGGCCTGAAATCACTTAATTGGCTTAATTAAGGTGGATCTAGAACTCACAGTCTCCTGGTGATTGGCCAAAGTCACCCAGCTGGCTTTCATGGCTAAGACAGGACTAGAACTCATTTCCATTCTTGTATCTTAGCTGCTAGACCAAACTGGCTCTGAGAAAGGGGAAAGCTTGTGATCTGGGAAACCTGAAGTAGCATCATGCAGAGGACATTACTACCAGAAGAAAAGATCCCTATGGAGCCTTTTCCATTCATAGGATCAAAAACATGGTTTTGATTGTGCTTCATGATTCAGGCATGAATTCATTTTCCTAGTCCTCAATGTGATGATGCTTGAAGTAGACCAACATATCAAACCTTTTAGACAGGTTGGACGTGGCCTGAGGACTTGAGATCTCGGCCAAGGATGATTGTCTAATCAACAGTTAGTATGAGTCAGAATTAGCTGTGGCACTGAATTTTCACAAATGGCTTACTCCACTTCTGAGCCATGCCAAATCCTAAAATCTGGAGAACCTCTGCAGAACACACTGCTGAATTTCTGTTTCTTTCTATTTTAAAGCATAAAGGTTAGCACGAGGAGATGATGAGATTCACAGTTTTTTCTTTAAATTCATTTCCGTGTTCCTGAATGTAACAGTCATTGTTGTACTGACCATCTACCCACATGATCATCCCTTCTCAAAAAATATTTCAGTGGTGGCTCTAAGTTTGTTTGTTTGTGATTGATTGATTAGACTTATCGGTCTGCCCAGTTTGCAGGAGGGGCTTTGGACCATTTACGGTTTGAGGAAAGATGAAAAGAAGAAAAATAAATACAACCATAAATCTTTGAATAAAATAACCCAGGTTAATATAATAATAAAAGCAACAATAATAACGGAAAGAAGTAGTACCAATCGAAATAGGCACCTTGGGTACAATCCCAACATTACTCGAGCACCACTTGAACACTATCGGCATTGACAAATTGATCAGTCAATTGCGAAAAGCAGTTTTACTTGAAAGAGCTTAAATCCTGGGATAATATCTGTACTGCCATCAAACCTCCACATCCGTCTATCCCTGGTCTTTGGGAAGGGCTCAATAGATGGGGGGGGAAATGCCAAACCCAGTCTGAACATCTGGCTGACTATATGACGAACATAATAGAAACAGCAAAAGCCAATTGATACATGTCTCATTCAAGAGACTTATCCTCTATATAGGCCCATAGTTCGGCCCAATGTTTGGGGGAAAGAGCCTGATCTTTAAAACCTTATAGAACAGTGTTGGTGAACATTTTTGGCACCGAGTGCCAAAATGGGAGTGTGCATATAGGCGCAGGGGAGTGCCGGAAACTGGAGGAGCAGCTCCCTGGCACATGCACGCACCGGGAAGCTGAGCTTCCAGTTTCTGTTGTGTGCATGCACACTGGTCTTCTGGTTTCTGGCATGTAGGCACGCATGAAAATCAGCTGGCCAGTGCACATGCACACGCCAAAAACTGGAAACTCAGCTTCCCAGTGCATGCATACATGCCAGGGAACTGCTTTTCTGGTTTCTGGCGCTCCTGTGCATGTGAAGACCAGCTGGCCAGCACGCATGTGCATGCCGGAAACTGGAAGAGCAATGGGAGAGTTGGGTTTGCCCAGAGAGATGGCTCTGTGTGCCACTTCCAGCATGCATGCCATAGGTTCACTGTCAATATTATAGAAGAACCAATTTCACAATGTTGACATAGATCTTGATACTACCTAAGCAGAGTCCAGCAGGACTTTTAGCCTAAGTGATTTAGAGATCACTAAGTGAGATCATCCATGGTTTTGGGGTGCGATGCCATCTGTACGCTGATGACACTCAGCTGTACATCTCCACCCCAGACCATCCCAACGATGCCCTCGAAGTCATGTCCCAGTGTCTGGAGGCCGTGCGGGTCTGGATGGGGAGGAACAGGCTTTGGTTCAACCCTTCCAAGACTGAGTGGCTGTGGATGCCGGCGTCCCGATATAGCCAGCTGGTGCCATCACTGGCTATTGAGGGCGAGTCACTGACCCCCACAGAGGGAGCTCGCAACTTGGGAATCCTCCTGGACACACAGCTGCCTTTAGAAGAGCATATGACAGCCGTGGCCAGGGGGGCTTTTTATCAGGTTCGCCTGATATGCCAATTGCGCCCCTTTCTGGATCGGGACTCCCTATGCACAGTCACTCATGCCTTGGTCACATCACGCCTGGACTATTGCAACGCTCTCTACATGGGGCTCACCCTGAGGAGCACCCGGAGGCTCCAGCTGGTGCAGAATGTGGCCGCGCGGGTGATTATGGGAGCGACGTGGCGCTCCCATGTAACACCTCTCCTGCGCGAGCTGCATTGGCTCCCAGTGGTCATCCGGGTGCGCTTTAAGGTGTTGGTTCTCATCTTTAAAGCGCTCCATGGCTTAGGGCCAGGGTACTTACGAGACCGCCTGCTGCTACCGATAACCTCCCACCGGCCAATACGCTCTCACAGAGAGGGCCTCCTCAGGGTGCCGTCGGTCAGGCAATGTCGGCTGGCGGCCCCCAGGGGGAGAGCCTTCTCTGTGGGGGCACCCGCCCTGTGGAATGAGCTCCCTCCCGGAATACGACTGATCCCGGACCTCCGGACCTTCCGTAAAGCCCTGAAGACGTTTTTATTCCATCAAGCCGGCCTAGCCTAAATGGTTTTTAATTGGGATTTTAAATTTTATGGATTTGGGGTTTTAAATTGGGAAGCTAGTGATTTAATTCTTTTTAATTATCTTAACTTTTGTATTTGTATGTTTTTTAATTTTGGCTGTTCACTGCCCTGAGTCCCTTCTGGGAGAAGGGCGGTATACAAATTAAATTAATAAATAAATAAATAAATAATAAGATCTCCTAGACATTGTTTCTGGATACGTCAGTAATGCATGCAGGTCACAGAGGCAGCCCAATAAATCACTAATGTGAAGTGTTCAAAGAACAATTATTATTAATGCAAGAGCAACCTGCCAACTATCCTAGCAGAGGCAATCTCTTTCTCCCTCTGGCCTGTAGGAGTACATCTACAAGGGAGGACAGCCAACCTGCAATTAAGTCTATTCTAATGAAAAGAAGGAGTAGAGGTGACATAATAGCCAAATTTGATGGGCTGCCACAAAGAAGAGGGAGTCAAGCTATTCTCTAAAGCATCTGAAGGCAAGACAAGAAGCAAGGGATGGAAAGTAACCAAGGAGAGAAGCAAACTAGAACTAAGGATAAATTTCCTGGCAATTAGAACAATTAATCTGTAGAATGGCTTGCCTCCAGAAGTTGTGATGTTCCATCATTGGAGCTTTATAAGGAGAAATTGGACAGCTGTTGTCTGAAATGTTATACGGTCTCTTGCTTCAGCAGCAGGTTGCACTGAAAGGCCTCTAAGATCCCTTTCAACTCCATTATTCTATCTCTTATGCTCCAAGTCTTTCTTACCCTTTTTCCAACTGGTCCATCATTCCCAGGTGGGCCTCGAAGGCCTTTATCACCCTTCTGTCCTGGGATTCCAGGGAGACCGGATGGTCCAGGAGGACAATCAGTGCAAACATCCTAAAGAGGAGAATCATAGAGTACTGAAACGGCAGGCAATTCTTCTGAAATGCAAATCTATCTTGGCTCCATCGTATTGAATTATGAATTGAATGTAAATTAAAGAAGCCTTTAATTTACCCACCACCACAAAAAATAGACAAATGTGCTCATGATGTATACATATACAGTATATATACAGTATACACACACACACACACACACACACACACACACACACACACTGTATTTTTCGGAGTATAAGATGAACATCTGAGTGCGTCTTATACTCTGAATGTAGCCCAGCCTCTCAAACGGAGGTTTCAGAGGCTGAAAAAAGCATAAGAAAGGAAGCTTCAGAAAAAAAAGCCTCTGAAAGGAAGCTTCAGGGGAAAAAAGCCTCTGAAACGAAGCTTCAGAAAAAAAGCCTCTGAAACACAGCTTCAGAAGAAAAAGCTCCTGAAGTTCTGTTTTGGAGGCTTTCAGAGGCTGTTGCTAAAATTCACCTCTGGGAACAGCTGATTGGGGGTATTCCGGGAGGCCGATCCACCTGCCAATCAGCTTTTTTCTTATTTTCCTCCCCAAAAACTAAGGTCTGTCTTATACTCTGGTGCATCTTATACTCCGAAAAATATGGTACATTCACACACACAAACACACACTTTTTGTGGTGGGAGGCAGATCCCTCTCTCTCTCTCTCTCTCTCTCTCTCTCTCTCTCTCTCTCTCTCTCTCTCTCATCTATCTATCTATCTATCTATCTATCTATCTATCTATCTATCTATCTATCTATCTATCTATTACTTAAGGAGAGAAGAACACAAAAAGAAGTAAATAAATTTACTTCCTTTGCTCTCATGGACATCCTCTGCATATTCCCATTTTCTCCTGAGACTCTCCTTATATTTTGTATGCACAGTACATTTTACAAGCATTTATAGACTTTGATGATGTACATTAATGCTCCCCAAGTATTAGGTCTTTGGACATCTGGGAAAAGGCCTTACCTTAACTAATAGTCTGATGTCGTCAGGGTTAAGGAGAGGAGTGGGACCCTAATAGAAGAAAAATAAAACCACCTACATCATTTATGGAGATCATTTCAAAATGTCTGGTATCAAAGTTAGAACATGAAAGATTATCTACCCACAGACCAAATTTACAATGGATCAAAGTCTTTTTGAAGGGCCACATTGTTGAAGCACATCTCACAAAGGAGGAGCAGCTCCACTACCACTGTTGTAAGTTGAAAGAGTGGTAGAGATACCTACAACATCATGGGTGGGCATCTATGGCTCCTTTATGACCAGTGGACTTCAATCCCCATAATTCCTGCACATGTTTGGCTCAGGAATTCTGAGTTGATGTTCACAGGTTGCAAAGGGCCCATAGTTGTCCACCCCTGATATTGTACAACATAGAATGGTTTTCTTCTTAGGTATTCATACATTGTTCTGCAGTATGTCAGAATAATGACATACTCCAATGCAAAACAATCTTTTGCATTGGATCTTCAGGCCTGCCATATTTGCCTGGAACAAAATTGTTTATTACTTAAAGAAACATGCCAATGAAACGAAAATGAAGGGAAAGAGAGAAAGACCATGCAATGTCCTACTGTTTTTCCTGGTGGTCCCCTTTCTCCTGGATTTCCTGGTAAGCCCTGTAAAAAGAAAATAGTGGGATCCTTGGTATTCTCTGAGCTTGAAGGTTTTCTTGCAGCTGTTTCATTACCAAACTATGTAACGTTATCAATGCAAGGATCCCACAGTTGAATCCTGAGCTACAAATCTTACCTTCTATAGATACTACATATGGACATCAAACGCTTCAAAAAGAATAGGGTTGTGCATCCCTACAATGCAATTAGACTCAGGTGCACATAGATGTCAAGATTTTTCTCTTTAGCTGCAATGTGTTCCATTAGGGAAATTATTTTCACAGTAGTCATATTCATCTCAGTAACAAGATTCAGGAAATTATGAGAACTTCCTAAAGTTCGCAGTAAAATTCCTTATACCACCAGGCTTGAAATTTTAGGCCTGGATAACCTTGAACTATGCCGTCTACATTCTGACCTAAGATTAATACACAAGATTATCTACCATAACGTCCTACCTGTTAATGATTACTTTAACTTCAACCGCAATAACACAAGGGGTATAATAGATACAAACTAAATATAATCCGCTCTAATCTTGATTGCAGAAAATACGACTTTTTTTTAAAAAATTGATTTATATGCCACCCTTCTCCGGAGACTCAGGGCGGCTTACAATGCGTTAAGCAATAGCCTTCATCCTTTTGTATATTTTTACAAAGTCAGCTTATTGTCCCCACAAACTGGGTCCTCAATTTACCTACCTTAGAAAGGATGGAAGGCTGAGTCAACCTTGAGCCTGGCAAGATTCGAACTTACTAATTGCAGACAGCTGGAGTTAAATTACAATGCATTAGTCTGCTGAGCTATCCAGGCTCCTATCCTGCACTCAACAGGATAGCCTGCTGAGCTATCCAGGCTTCAGCAATAGAGTAGTAAATGTCTGGAACACTCTACCTGATCCTGTTGTTAGTTTCTCTAACCCCCGTATGTTTTACCTTAAACTGTCTACCATGGACCTTATACGTTTCTTAAGAGGTCCCTAAGGGGGCGTGCATAAGTGCACCAGCGTGCCTACCGTCCCTGTCCTATTGCCCCCATTTATATGTACTCATTCTATGTGTTTATGGCTATGTTTTGCCTATTTACATCCATTTAATTGTACCATTTGTTCATGTGTCCATGTCTATACTGATACTTGTTTCCTTGTATTTGTTGACAAAATAATTAAATAAATAAATAAAGTCTTCAGAAGAAAAGTTTCTTGTTGTAATACAGGGATTGGGTATGTCTAGATTAATGAAAAGAAGGACTAGGGGTGATATGATAGCAGTGTTGCAATATCTCAGGGGCTGCCACAAAGAAGAGGGAGTCAAGCTATTCTCCAAAGCACCTGAGGGCAGGACAAGAAGCAATGGATGGAAACTAATCAAGGGGAGAACCAACCTAGAACTAAGGAGAAATTTCCTGACAGTGAGAACCATTAATCAGTGAAATGACTTGCCTCCAGAAGTTGTGAATGCTCCATCATTGGAGCTTTATAAGGAGAAATTGGACAGCCATTGTCTGAAAAGTTGTGAGTGCTCCAACACTGGAGGTTTTTAAGAAGAGATTGGACAAGAATTTGTCTGAAATGGTTTGGGGTTTCCTGCTTGAGCAGGGGGTTGAACTTCCAAGGTGTCTTCCAATTCTGTTTTTCTGTCCTGTTCATGTCTTTGTGTGTGTTTTCATTTAGAAGTTTCTACATGATATGCTGATGTTCAAGAGTCAATGCTAAATTCTAGTGACATGAACCTGTTGTAATCTGGGAGAAATTAAAAAAGAAAAAGACTTTGGAGGTTACATGGGAGCTATCTGTTGAACATTTTTTTTCTCATTAAAGAGAAAACAGTCCATCATGACTTGAAATCTTTTTTTTTTTTTTAATTGATTTATATGCCGCCCTTCTCCAGAGACTCAGGGCGGTTTACAATGCGTTAAGCAATAGCCTTCATACTTTTGTATATTTATACAAAGTCAGCTTATTGCCCCCACAAACTGGGTCCTCATTTAACCTACCTTAGAAAGGATGGAAGGCTGAGTCAACCTTGAGCCTGGTAAGATTCGAACCTGCAGTAATTGCAGGCAGCTGTGTTAATAACAGGGTGCTTTAAACCACTGTACTACCAAGGCTCTATCCTTCCCACCTGGGTCTTTGAAAAAGAGAAGCGATCGTACTTAGAGCTCTTCAGTTAATGCCTCAATGTTATTTTGCATAAAAGTAGAGTTTGGGAGAATCAGTTCTACCCACTACTTCTATCTGTCTACATGTTCCTTTTCCTTTTCTTTTTCTTTTTTTGCTGCTGGCTGATTACTGCAATTATCTGTTTCTACTTTGCTGAGCTCAGCCAGAACAGAAGACACATGAGAAGAGTAACCAAGAAGAAATTCACTGATTATTTCCTTTTTGCAAGTTTGCATCATTCTATGCTTCCATCTCCTTTATAAATAGAAAAAGGAAAGATTTCTAGAAAGCAATTACTGCTGATTGAAGACCTGGAAAAAAATGAAGCATGAATAATAAGTGATGATTTGAATTACACAACCTTGGGCATTAGGAAGCAGATCCAATATTATTAAAAGAATGGGTTTTTAGTGGTTAATCACACATCTTTAGGTGGGATTGTTAGAATCCTGAGACTTTTTTTCCCCATTGCTCAAAACTTCCTTTTCCTTTAAGACAGGGAGTTCGTCCTATTTATTGATTATATGGGTTGCTTCATCAATATTGCATTATTGAAATGATTACATTACATCTTATGTTTTAACCTTTACTTTATACACTGCTGCGGGATTACTTCGCCAACAAGCTATTGGGGAATGTTTTCAAATGTTCAACTTTAAATGGTTTGTGAATTTTTATAAGAGGTAATCTAAACCACACAATGAGCAATTCACTTAGTTCTTTAGCCATTATCTGCTTCCCGTTTTACAGTGGAATTTTGACTCAAGCATTTCATGAAAATTTTCTTTTATATGTCCTAGCGGGAAAGTAAATAGAAACTGCATTGTCCATGTGTTGTTGTTATTTTAGTTTTGAAGGGATAAGGGAAATTATGCTTACAGCTCATCTGTCTGGAACCCGCACTGCATATCGGGCATAAATACAATCAAGAGAGTCCAGAGATATTTTACAAGAAGAGTCCTCCATTCCTCTAACCACAATAAAATATCTTATGCCACCACTCCAAATTTTGGGCTTAGACAACCTAGAACTACGCCAACTTCAGTCTGACCTAAGCATAGTACATAAAATTATCTACCACAATGTCCTTCCTGTCAAAGACTACTTCAGCTTCAACCACAACAATACATGATATATAGATACAAACTCAAGGTAAACAGTTCCAAACTCAATTGCAGAAAATACGACTTCAGTAACAGAGTGGTCAATGCCTGGAATGCACTACCTGACTCTGTAGTTTCTTCCCCAAACCCCCAAAACTTTAACCTTAAACTGTCTTCTGTTGACCTCACCCCATTCCTAAGAGGTCTGTAAGGGGCGTGCATAAACGCACCAGCGTGCCGACCGTCCCTGTCCTAATATTTCTTTTTACTTACTCTTTTCATGTATTCAAATTATGTTTATACTTCTTACCTGTATTCTTATATATGCTTGGCAAATAAATAAACTTAAACTTAAACTAGTATAATGATTTCTAATCAACAATCTGCTGTAGTTCATTAATTAACAAACAATCACCACTTTTCACTTACATCATGACCAGTCTGTCCAGGGGGACCTTGGATGCCTGGCAGGCCGCGAGGACCCTGGTGAAACAGGGAAAAGAACGTGATGCATTATCTCAAAGCTTACATACCACAATTTATTATGTCCTGGATGGAGAAACTTATTTAAAGCAAGAATTATCCTTGGTCTTCAACCTCATTCTAAATAGTAGTGGTAGAGATGAGAAGGAAGGAAAGAAATCATTAACGTATGCTTCTATAAGCATTAATTACTAATTATTCCAATAATATTTGGTCATGCATTTCATGATTTCTCCTCGTATGTTAAAATTGCAGTTTGCTAACAGTACTGAAGCTCTCTGTCACATGTGCTTCTGCGTCCTCATGTATATCTTTCATTTAAGGAGAAAATAACTAACGGTCAACACATAGCACACAACTCATTAACAGTCACTTGCTACGTTTTATCACACACTAAACACAGCTAGAAGGGACGCAGTGGCTCAGTGGCTAAGACGCTGAGCTTGTCGATCGAAAAGTCAGCAGTTCAGTGGTTCAAATCCCTAGTGCCACGTAATGGGGTGAGCTCCCGTTACTTGTCCCAGCTTCTGCCAACCTAGCAGTTCGAAAACACGTAAAAAAATGCAAGTAGAAAAATAGGGACCACCTTTGGTGGGAAGGTAACAGCGCTCCGTGCACCTTTGGCATTTAGTCATGCCGGCCACATGACCACGGAGACGTCTTCGGGCTATGCTGGCTCTTCGGCTTTGAAACGGAGCTGAGCACCACCCCCTAGTGTTGGGAACGACTAGCACATACGTGCGAGGGGAACCTGGATCTAGTTAGTGTTTGGATAGGTGAGTAGGAAATCCGTTGTTGATGCCTTTTAAACACAGCTAGAAGTTTATCAGCTTTGCCATCTCTCAAAAGAGGTACAATCATGTGGCAGCAAATGAACAGAGTATGGAAATGGAGACGATCAGTACCATTATCCTTTCATAAAACCCATAATAATCCAGCTCTTGAGTATTCTGCTCAAAATGCTCAGAAGTTGTAGAAGGCATTAGCACCTGGATACCTATAGATCATAAGCATCATAAGGCAGGACTTTTGGGAATGTACAGAATAGAGTCATCAATATTTCTATACTAATTGATATTACTGATACTGTATGTACCTGAATTTTCTACTATCATTGGCAAACCAAAAGATGATATAATACAATAATATTTCCATCCTATTTCCTACCACATACTGCATATAATTAGAAAGACCTACTGTACCGGTGGCCCTTTGTCTCCAGGAGGTCCCACAGGTCCCTGAAAAATATGGATTATAATCATTCACTTTTAAACAAACAAACAAACAAACAAACAAACAAACAAACAAACAAACATTGATTTATTCAATTTTTATAGCCGCTCAACTCAGACACAGCTGGGCACATAAATGTTACAATTGTGACAAATTCTGAAATTACATGTTAATCAGTGGATATAGTTATCCAAAACAATCCTCACTACATTTCTGGCTAATTGTTTTGAAAATGATACAATTTTACAAACATTCAGGTTGGAGATGGAATTGAATTTGAAGGTAATGTGATTTTAGAACTGAACTGCCTTTCCAAATAAAATCCAGAAGTCTGCTTAAATCATAAAGTTGACTATTTCCAAATTGTTTGGGATGTTTCCACAGACAGGCAGATTTCCCCCCCCCCTAAAAAACAATTTGACACTTCAATAGGAATGACTAAATCAAATGGGATTGATTTTGAAAACCTAATCAGTGATTTGACTCAAAATATGACTGATTCACCAAAGGATAATGTTTAGCCTTTTTTTTTTACTTTTATCTGTGGTGAATTTTCTACAGAACAATTTTAATGTTACAATGAATTATGCCACTTGCTTAATTTTTAACATTAATATACTATTTGTAATAATAGAAGCTACCCAGAAAATGTTAAAGATGCAGGATTAAAAAAAAAAAAAGAATAGTTATGACAGATCCACTATTGGTCAAATAATCAGCATTTTATTTTATTTTATTTTTTTGGCTTCTGGTGGAGATGCAGGTAACTCAGTCTCTATGTTGTGTGCATTGATATCATTCATGCCCCACCAAAGATAGATGACATGGATCCAGTGGTGGGATTCAGCCAGTTCGCACCTATTCGGTAGAACCGGTTGTTAACTTTCTAAGCAGTCCGGAGAACCAGTTGGGCTAATCCTGTAAGGAAGGCAGGAAGGAAACATTCTGGTGTTTCTAGCCTAATCTTTATTTGTTTTTTATTTTATTTTTTTTAATTTGATTTATATGCCACCCTTTTCCGGAGACTCAGGGCGGTTTACAATGCGTTAAGCAATAGCCTTCATACTTTTTGTATATTTTTATACAAAGTCAGCTTATTGCCCCCACAAACTGGGTCCTCATTTCACCTACCTTAGAAAGGATGGAAGGCTGAGTCAACCTTGAGCCTGGCGAGATTCGATCTTACTTTAATTGCAGACAGCTGGTGTTAAATTACAGTGCTTAGTCTGTTGAGCTATCCAGGCTCCTTACAGAAACCGCCTCTCTGGTTAACCCTTATTACATTGTAACAGCTAAGGCGAAACGCCCATCGACATGAGTGACGTTGAGTTGGCCATGCCCACATGGTCACATGACTACTGAGCCACACCTACCCAGCGGTAGTCATTAGGGCAGAGAACTGGCTGTTAAATTATTTGAATCCCACCACTGCATGGATCTACCATTCCAAACATGATTCACCTTTGAAATACACATTGAGCTCCATCACAAATTAGTGAGTAATATGTTCCACACTTACTAGTGGCCCTGAAAGTCCAACACCTGGGGCTCCTCTATCTCCTGGTTGACCTGGAACACCTGGGGCGCCTCGATCTCCCTGACAAGGACAGGTGACATAGTGTATATTTCAATAAATTTATTTTACAGACCTATTATATTCATTATGTTATATCCATGTTACGTTAGAACACAGTCTTCTCTACATGATCTGCAACCAAACAAGACAAACACAGACTTCAACAGATAATTAGAACTGCGGAAAAAACAAGGGCTACCAACCTGCCTTCCATTGAGGATCTGTATACTGTACGAGTCAAAAAGAGGGCTGTGAAAATATTTACATGCCCCTCACATCCTGGACATAAACTATTTCAACTCCTACCCTCAAAACGACATATAGAGCACTGCACACCAGAACAACTAGACACAAGGACAGTTTTTTTCCCCCAATTGCCATTCACTCTGCTAAACAACTAATTCCCACAACACTGTCAAATAATTTACTAAGACTGCATTACTATTATTCTTACCTTCCTTACTAGTATCTATCTTTTCCCACTTATTATTATAACCATGTTGCTTGTATCTTTCAATTGTTTTTTATATCCTAGTACGATTTGATTGCTTATTAGTAACCTTGACTATCACTAAGTGTTGTATCTTTTTATTCTTGATGAATGTATTTTATTCTCCTTATGTACACTGAGAGCATATACACCAAAGACAAATTCCTTGTGTGTCCAATCACACTTGGCCAATAAATTATTCTATTCTATTCTATTCTATTCTATTCTATTCTATTCTATTCTATTCTATTCTATTCTATTCTATTCTATTCTATTCACTGAATGGTGAGTTATAGGAAGAATGACTTATCAAAAGTGCTTATTAAACTGAGTCCCAAAGGTGCTTTTTGAAGAGGCAACTGAACTTTCTTGTTTTTTCTTTGAAGGATGCTTCTCATCCAAGAAGCTTCTTCAGCTCTGAAGAAGACATTTCCCTTTTTTTTTTAATTTGATTTATATGCCGCCCTTCTCCGGAGACTCAGGGTGGTTTACAATGCGCTAAGCAACAGCCTTCATCCTTTTGTATATTTTATACAAAGTCAGCTTATTGCCCCCACAAACTGGGTCCTCAATTTACCTACCTTAGAAAGGATGGAAGGCTGAGTCAACCTTGAGCCTGGCGAGATTCGAACCTGCAGTAATTGCAGGCAGCTGGTCTTAATAACAGGGTGCTTTAGACCACTGTACTACCAAGGCTCTTCTTGGATGAGAAGCGAAACGTCTTCAAAGAAAAACAAGTAAGTCTAGTTGCCTCTTGAAAAAGCACCTTTGGGACAACCGTGACCTGGATGACTGAGAATCTCCATAGACATTTATTAAACTGAGATTATGTATTAGATATTTTCAAGTTATGATTAATGCAGAACCAGTTTGGTGTAGTGTAAATGGCTCCACACTAGAAACTGGGAGACTGAGTTTTGATCCTACCTTAGGTACAAAGCTAGCTGAAAAACCATGGACCAGTCACTTTTCCTCAGCCCTAGGAAGGAGGCAATGGCAAACCATTGCTGAATTCTTGCCAAGAAAATTACAGGGACTGTTTCAAACCTTACTAGTAGTCTATTATGAGTCAATAACCCTTCCACTCTCAATCTTACTAGGTTATTCTTTTGGATATGAAATTCATCCTGTTATATGTTAGAGGATAAGTAAGTAAGTAAGTAAGTAAGTAAGTAAGTAAGTAAGTAAGTAAGTAAGTAAGTAATACAGAAATAAAAGTAGGGATGGCTAGATATGATTAAGGTGATTTTTACTGTTCTTTGTCTTTCCAATTTGAAAGTAATTCCATCTTATTCCTATATTTTCATTTTTACAAAGAGTTGTGGGAATATAAAGATGTATACATTCATGCATTTTACATGAATGTCTCTTTAAACTTACATTTTTGCAAATAAGTTCCTTACTGGACAGAAAAGATAGAATTTATCATCAGCATTATTTCCTTGTTTCTTTCTTTTCTTTTTTTTAATTTCTAAACTACTGCAGACTTTAGCAGAAAAAATAATTTTGTTCTTGGTTCTACATAGGTTTGAGGAACTGTTGTAGTATGTGGGTATAACTACACTGAAATGTAAACCTAATGAACTCATCTTTCAGTGTTAAAAACATGTAACACTTATATTTAACAATTGTGGAAATGCTGGATTTTTTTAGCTGTATATAATATAATTGAAAATTTATCACAAAGATGATTCACGTTCTTTTTAATGCTTTAAAACAAATTGCATTTATTACTTCTCAAGAGGTAAACACTCACTTGAAATAGAGTGGAATCCAACGTAAGTCATTCAAAAAAAAAAATTCAAATTTGTGGAAAATTTCATTTTCATCTCTGTGACCTTCACCTTTAAATCAATATTTGCACTGACAAACTAGAAATGGCTATTTTGCAATTAAAAATGAGTTCCAGTTTAAAAAAAGATAAAACTGATATTTCATTATCAGCCCCCAATTGTTTTACAAGCTGCTGTGTTTAATGCTGCCCCCATACTACAATATCAGAGCTTTTGTGTTGTATCTATCAGATCTCATCTCTTGCCTTTGTAAATGGTTGAAAATGAAGCTGGTTTTAAAAATCCTTTTCCAGATTTCAATCCCTTCCTCTAATTTGCTGCAATGGGGGCCAGCTCTCTTGTACCATTATGATCAAAGTCTGTGATTAGTGGATTCCCTTGCCTTACTCACTCACTCACACACACACACACACACACACACACACACACACACACACACACACAGCTGTGCCAGAAAACAAAGGTACATCTGCCTTTCCTTCTGTGGGAAGGTCTTCTGAAAAGTGGGGTGGGGGAAAATAGGGCAACAGTTTCATAGCACTTCCTATTGCTTGGATTAGAAAGGGAAAAGGAAGGAAGGGAGCAGGGGTGGGCCGCTGGAGATTTGCACGGGTTCGGGAGAACCTCTAGCTAAGATTCGGTGCAATTTGGAGAACCCCCAAATCCCCCTCCTGGCTGGCCCCTCCCACCCCACCCCACCCCTGCCAGGAGTCCCCCACACAACCCGTTTTGGATGCAGGTAAGTACAGGGTGTGCACAGAGGCTCAGGAAGAGTGAAAAACAGGCCTGCAGGAAGTTTGGCCTCCAGAGCCTGGGGAGGCCGTTTTCGCCCTCCGGGAGGCTCGAGGAAAGCCTCCGGAGCCTGGGGAGGACAAAAACAGTCCCGTCCCCCTGCCATGGTGCAGGAGGCCGACTAGGCCACGCCCACCCAGAAACCAGGCAGAGTATCCCTTGCTAAAATTTTTGAAGTCCACCCCTAGAAGGGAGGGAGGGTGGAAGGAAGGGAGGAAGGAAGGGAAGAAGGGAGGGAGGGAGGAAGGAAGGAAGGAAGGAAGGAAGGAAGGAAGGAAGGAAGGAAGGAAAAAAGCAATGTTGTTGTAGTTATGGCTCCTCTGTTGAACATAACACAAGATTCCATGGCCAGAAGTGACCATACATGGACTGAACAGCATTTTTACAACCAGCAGAGGTGGGAAGTCATTACATCTGATTGAGAGACCTTGGGTAGAGAATTCATCTGAGCAGGGTAGGGGTAATAGATGACATCTTTCATTTCTGTCCTCCTGAAATAATGTCTGGCCAGCCCTGTTCGTCTGCAAATGCATCTCAGTTTATCATAGGACGGCAAAGCAGGTACTCACCTTAGGCCCAAAGGATCCAGGTAAACCTGGTGGACCTCTTTCACCCTAGAAAGACACACAGATATAAAAGAAGTTAACACCATCTTCCCAACAGGAAAGCCAAATGCATCCATTTATTAGACCTCTGAAAACGAACATGAATTCCAACCCTGAAACTGCTCATTCTCAAGGACACGCATGTGAGGAACCCATTCAGGGGTGACCTCCTGGGGGTTTGGTAGGGTTCGGGCGATCCTCTAGCCAACGATCGCCGGAGTTTGGTGAACCCCCAAATGCCACCCCTGGCTGGCCACGCCCACACCCACCCCGCCCTTCCCACCCTGCCTCGCCCCTCCCAGGAGTCTCCACATGGCCTGTTCATCATTCCAGATAAATACAGGGGGCCGCGTGGAGGGCAGTGGTGGGTTTCCCCTGGTTCACACCGGTTCTATAGAAGCGGTAGTGAAACTGGTGGGAGGCTCTGCCCACCGACCCCAATGTCATCAAAATGCTTCTGTACATGCGCTTGCACAGAAGAGCGTGTGTGCGCGCGACCCCATTGCGAACTGGTAGTAAAGGTAAGTAGAACCCACTCCTGGTGGAGGGTCTGGGAGGGCAAAAAACGGGCCTACCGGAGGTTCCAGAAGTCCAGAAACAAGCCTGTTTCTGGCCTCCAGACCCTGGGGGAAGCTGTTTTAGCCCTCCCAGAGGCTCAAGGAAATAATAATAATAATAATAATAATAATAATAATAATAATAATAATAATAATAATAATAATAATATGTTCAAGTCCGGCAAATTTAGAATTTCTAAAGGGCTACCCCGCTATTTAGAAATTCTAAATTTGCCAGACTTGAACATTTTGACTCTACAAAAAACCACCTTACTCGGAAGAGCTTATATCCTCCGACGATACCTTAACAGTTCCTAGGTCCTTGGTTAGGACTCGAGCTGCTGAGCTATTAACCAGCCTCAAAGGCTGTGAATCTCACTAAAGATTAAATAATAATAATAATAATAATAATAATAATAATAATAATAATAATAATAATTTGGAGTGAAATGATAATACTTTGTGTACCAAGTAATCAGATTTTCTTTTTCAAACTGAACAGAATGAAATAGGGGCCTTTAAGTTTGAGGAAGTAATTTGCATATCCTCTTTTAGAGGGAGACCGATTGACAGTACTCATTTCCTATGTGTCCGTCAAATTCCTTTAATCTCCTCCGCTATCTTCTTTTTAGAGTGAGATGGGTGGCATATATATTAAATAAATGCATAAATATTGTTTGTTTCCTAAAAGCCTAATCAATATTTCGTCTGCAGTCTTCCAATAATTAGCTTCTCTTTGGAGTCAATTGTATGGGATGCTTAATAAATTTTCTTCTTCTAAATTTACACGTAGGCTCTGTTTGCACATATCTCACTTAGTTTTAACTTTATTTAGGGTTTGGCGCGCATGTGTGTGTGTGGGTATGGCATAACACTTCTACAAACCCAGCTTATTGGGTTCGTTGCAGTAGTGGGTTTCAATTTTTTTTAAAAAAAATTGATTTATATGCCGCCCTTCTCCGGAGACTCAGGGCGGCTTACAATGCGCTAAGCAATAGCCTTCATCCTTTTTGTATATTTATACAAAGTCAGCTTATTGCCCCCACAAACTGGGTCCTCAATTTACCTACCTTAGAAAGGATGGAAGGCTGAGTCAACCTTGAGCCTGGCGAGATTCGAACCTGCAGTAATTGCAGGCAGCTGGTCTTAATAACAGGGTGCTTTAGACCACTGTACTACCAAGACTCTTAGCAAATTTAGTTTGCTACTGGTTTGCTCATGCGCGCATGTGTCCATGCATGCACTACGCTTTTGCGCATGCACAGAAGTGTCCGGGTGGGTGGGCGGAGCTTCCCACCACCGCTGCTACCGGTTCGCCCGATTCGGGGCGAACTGGTAGCAACCCACCACTGGTTCGTTGATGATTCAGTGTAGTTCATGAACCCAGAAAAGCAGCTATGTCAATCACTAAATCATTGGCAAACACAACCGTTGAATTACAGAGAAGCTTGCCTAATTGTGTTTGCAGGAGTTCACCAATTTTGTGCTCTCGTCTTTAATTTCATAATTTGTTCCAACCTATTGTTCTTCCAATTTCAGTTTCTTTCCTCTAACGGTTGCCAGGATGCAGAAGGATGCATGCAACCCAATCAAATTAAAACTTGACAGGAATGAATAATAGTAGCAGCATTTCTGACATAGTCTTTTTAATATGCTTCTTCCTGATATTGTGTTTCTGGGCAACAGTTCATAGGAGAAGGGATGACAGCTGAAAATGCAAATTTTTAAAAAAATTGTTCAAGTATACCAATGACAAAGTAGTAGAGAATACTGTGGAATAGAATTATAACTCACAAAATGAGTAAATTGGTTCAATCGAACCATTCCAAAACTGACAAGCTTTTGTTGATCAGTTACTAAGTTGTGCCTGACTCTTTGCAACCACACGGCCCACGGCATGCCCGACCCCCCCCCCTCCTAATTCTCCACTGTCTCCTGGAGTCTGCCCAAATTCATATTCATTGTGTCAATGATACTAATTAACCATCTCCTCCTCGGCCATCTCCTTCTTCTTTTGCCTTCCATCTTTCCCAACATCAGCTTCTTTTCCAATGAATCCTCTCTTCTCATTAGGTGGCCAAAGAACCTAATTCAACTTCAGCATCTGTCCTTCCAAAGGACAGTCAGAGTTGATTTCTCTTAGGATGGACTGATTTGATTTCCTTGCAATCCAAGGGAGTCTCAAGAGTTTTCTTAAGTACCGTATTTTTTGGAGTATAAGACACAACTTTTTTCCCCCCAAAAAGAGGGTGAAAATCTGAGTGCGTCTTATACTCCGAATGTAGCCCTGCCCAGCTTCTCAAAATGGAGGTTTCAGAGGCTGAAAAAAGCATCAGAAATGAAGCTTCAGAAAAGAAGCCCCCAAACAGAGCTTCAGAAAAGAAGCCCCCAAACAAAGCTTCAGAGGCTTTTTTTCTGAAGCTCTTTTTCGGAGGCTTTCAGAGGCAGGAAAAAAAGTTTTGTTCTGAGTTTCAGAAGTTTCAGAAGCAGAAAGAAAAGCAAGGCATAGAGCTCACAACCAAGGAACCTGTTGCTAAAATTCACCTCTGGGAACAGCTGATTGGCGGTATTCCAGGAGACCGATCCACCTGCCAATCAGCTTTTTTCTTTTTTTCCTCCCCAAAAACTAAGGTGCGTCTTATACTCCGGTGCATTGTATACTCTAAAATATATGGTAAGTATTTGCTTGCACAAGTTTAGGAATTAAATTTACCCTTTCTCCATCTCGACCCTTTCCAGGTAATCCAGGTTCTCCAACAGCTCCTGGTTCACCTGTAGGACCAGGTGGACCTGATTTTCCTTCCTTACCAGGTTCTCCCTGCAGAAGAGACAATGTGAATAGATGACAATTAGGACAGGCTACGAGGCAGGCAGTATCTTCTGCTTATTTCATTAATCAACATCAAAGGTTTTCACTCAGACTGGGAAGGACTCTGGATTGCTCATCACCTGGTAAATAAAGAAGCCAAGACAAAATTCTAGAACTTTCTCCTAAAAACTTTGTGGAAATCAATATAAGCACTTCAGTATTTGGATTGCAAATATTTATTTACATCGCATGGATTTTTAATAACCTCATTGTGCCAGTTTTCCTTCAAGCATGGAATTTATTCAGTTTATCCATCCATTATCTACTTGCATGACAAAGAAATAATGAAACCAAGTGATCACTAATGAGGTAAATATAGGATGTGGAAAATACATCCTTAAAACAATTTTGTGGCCTGGAAGCCGCAATCCCCTCCATCTGCCAAATCAGAGGAGGAGGAGGCATGGAAGTCAGGGCCAGCATCATGGCAACCTGAGAACTCTGAGGGGGAAGAGGGAATGGAGCTGGCAGAGAGAGAGAGAGAGAGAGAGAGAGAGAGAGAGAGAGAGAGAGAGAGGAGGTGGAGCCTGGGCCATCCGTCAGCCCTCAGATGAAAAGTCAACAGCCCCCAGGTCTGGAGGTGGCTGATGAGAAAGAGGAGGAACAGCTGGGTCCAGTGCCTGACTCACGGATGCACAGAAGGCAGAGGAGAGGAGAGCAGTGGAAATCTATGGGCCGGACCTTGGGGTGGAAGAACCACCACTGCTAGCGAGGCCCCACCCTAGCTCTGGGGATAAAAGGAGGGGGCAGAGATGAATAGATGTGGCAGACAACTATTCATTTTCCAGCTGGATGGACTTGTTAGCCTGCGAGAGAAACTCCTAAGAAAAGAATCTTTTGAGTTCACATCAGAAGGTTTGTGGTGTTTGGGGAGCTGGGTCAGAACAGGCTAGCAAAATGAGCTATAGTGGTGCAGTGCTGCAGGCTACTTCTGCTGACTGCCGGCTGCCAGCAATCTGGCAGTTCGATTCCCACTGGCTCAAGGTTGACTCAGCTTTTCATCCTTCCAAGGTTGGTAAAATGAGGAGCTGTATTGTTTGGGAAGGATCCTTCCCTTCCCCACCATCCAGTCAGAGCTGAAGAAGCTTCTTGGATGAGAAGTGAAACATCTTCAAAGCAAAATAAGAAAGTCCAGTTGCCTCTTGAAAAAAAAGCACCTTTAGGACTGACCAAAAACCAGTGATTTTGGTATGATGATCTCAAAAAGACCCTGTGTAATGATGATGTCATCACAAATGGAACAATTATAAAATCATATTGTGATGTCTGGCACAAGTATCCAGGGTGTACCATTTGCATGATGAGATCATCAGACATACATCATCATTTGTCCTCCTTTGTCACCCCTGCAGATGTCCGTGGTTTTGGAGGAGCCAATATCGCAACAGCACCCAATTTCAGATCTTGGAAACAGAAATGCTAAATCCTCCCTTTACTGCAGACATTTGGACTGTCCATGTGAAGGCTAGCAAAAGGAAAAGTATGTATCATAATTTTTTTCTGATTTTGAAGCCGAAGAGGCAGAGTCTCAGCCTGTAGTTAGGTAGCAAATACGCTATGAGCTTCCTGGGAATGATGACTGAGACCCAATGATTGAAGATGATGATTACCAATTTGGAGAATAAGGAGTCGAATCTTCAACTTGGGAACCTGGAAGCCCTAAAACACATGTCTAGCTAAGGAGGGCTGAGCAGCCAACACTGGCATACCTCCTTTAGAGGACAAGGCATTCAATCCTCTAATTCCGTGACGGCGAACCTATGGCACACGTGCCCAAAGTGGCACGTGGAGCCATGTCGCCTGGCACGCGCGGTGTCGCCCGTTCCTCTTCCGGGTTTCTGGTACGCATGCACGCACGACAATCAGCTGGCCAGCTGATTGTCGCATGTGTATGCACACCAGAAACCCGGAAGAGTAGCTGGTTGAACCCGGAACTTCAGTAGCTGAAACCAGGAGTTCATTTTTGGGCACGTGCATGCGTCCTGGGCTGCTACTCTTCCGGATTGTGGCCCAGAGGCGCGCACACGCACACACACACACACACACACACTCCCTTGTTTGCCATCACTGCTCTAATTATACAATGATTCAAACTCCTTTCCTCTAGTTGGAATCGGAAGTGGGCTTTGCATACTGTAGCAACTGGTTCACCCAGCTCCGGAAATGTGAACGCGTATCAAACAATGCAGCAATTTGCTCGCGCACACTGTCCACATATGCATGCAGTGTCAAAAACACAGTGATATAGGATGGGATTGTGCCCACCCGCAGGTCGTCCCTACCGGTTCACACAAACCGGTCTGAACCAGCTCTGGTTGCAATGTTAGACCTGCATTTCTCTGGCTTCACATCCTTGATTTCTCCTTATTCCTTGTCCTACAAGCAGTTGTTTGGATTACAACCCCCAGCCTGGATATTGTAGACTTCTTTGGCCTTAGACTATCAGACAGTCTCTTCTTGGCTGTGTTTAAACCACAGCTACAAACTACAAGAAGAGCTTCCCTGCAGAGCTTTCTCTATCCAATTTACAACTGATAGCTCTAGCATTATCTATTATGGCTCAGCTAATAAAACTGTCTGAAGAGTGCTAATTGCTACCCTGCTTACTGCTGTTCAGCTAGTACAGGACAATATTTGACATGTACAACATCAGATAGAGGAGATAAAATAGTGTACGGGTAACTGCTTTATTTAATGCATAATAAGGTTTGCATATTATTTAAGCAGTATCTTTAGCAAGGCAAAATGATGACACATACAGGGTAATTTCATCAGGCAAATGCCACCGTTACGTACTAGCATCACAATGTTTGATGCCAAGTATAAGATACAGCATTTGATGACATTATACAGGTAGTCCTTGAGAGTGGTGTAGTGGCCTAGAGGTGGAGCTCTCGCCTGACAATCAGGAGGCTGTGAGTTCGATCCTAGGTAGAGGCAGATATTTCTCTCTCTGGACACAATGAGAATATATCTGCTGAACAAAACTCCTCATTGGCGACAGGAAAGGCATCTGGCCAGTAAACACTCAGCTCCATTTAATGACCATTCATAGTTATGAAAGCACTGAAAAGACTGACTCCTCACCCTTACGACCACCCCAGTGTCCCCTATTGTATATTTACAATGGTTGCGCAACATCCCCAAATCATGTGATCCCCATTTGCAACCTTCCCAGGGATCTTCCAACAGCAAAGTCAATAGTAGAAGTCAGATTTGCTTAATGATATCATGATTTGTTTAATGACAATGGTGATTTGCTTAATAACAATGGCAAAAAGATCATTAAATCAGGCAGAACTCTTTTAATGACTTAGCGAAGATAACCAAATGTGGCCATAAATCAAGGACTACCTGTAATTCTTTTAATGTTTAACCCACACCCTTTCCCTACTGCAAATAACCATTACACTTTAGCTGTGGATCCATCTTTTCACCTTTTCTCCTTTTTCTCCATCAATTCCTGGCTGACCATCAGCTCCTGGTATACCCTGTAAAGAAAATAATATGCAACAAATCAAATTTTGCTATTGAACAGGTTGATTGGAAATGATATGAGCTTAATTCAGGTGTGTGAAAAATTAGATTATTTGCAACAATAAACACGAAGAGTTTGGTCTAACGGTTAAGGCACCAGGCTAGAAAACAAGGCACTGTGAGTTCTAGTTCCACCTTAGGCCTGAAATCCAGTTGGGTGACTTTGGACCAATGAGCAAGAAATTGTGATTTGTAACCCTGCCTTAAGCTCTGAAAGCAAGCTTGGTGACTCAGGGCCAGTCACTATATCTCAGCCCAGCTCACTTCACAGGGTTGTTGTGATGAAAATAGGAGGAGAAAGTGTGTTGGATAGGTTAACTACCTTGAGTTATTTGTAAAAAAAAATAATAAAGGTAGGATACAAATAAATAAATGAACAAATAAACAAACTAATGGAAATTATTTGTAATCATCCCTTTAATTACTTCCCATGAATATTATGTCGTGGTATTTTTATTAAATGTTCCACGTTTATTCCCTTATGACATTTGTACATCATTTCCCATTAAAATAATATCTCCAAACTGTTTATCATAAAAATTTGTATGCTACATTGTGCAGCAAATGCTGCACTTTTTCATCCAAGAGCAATTAAAGACATCCTCGCAGCTGCATGTTGAAGTAAAATATAGCTTTGTGTCTTGCATGTTTACAACAGACTCCAATCCTTCTTCAAAGAATGTGACCCGGGTCCCATCGCTCTTTCGAAGCGGAGAGAAAAAGGATAAGAAAACAGCAAGGATCATTTTGGCACACAAAGTTCCTTTCCTTTTATTGGGAAGATGACTTGTTCTGACAAAATGGCGCTACATGGAAACAGCCAGAGAAATATTTCAGAGCCTTTTAGGAAATCTGCTCCTTGCAGTTACTTTACAGGGAGGGAGGCAGATTCCAGATGCATGTTGAGAAAAAAAATCTTGAATCATTAGAACTGTTTAAACGGACTGCAAGAAAGGGGTTGGACTCCTTTTCGTTGGATGAGTTTAACAGATTAACAGAGTTGGAAGAGATCTTGTAGGTCATCTAGTCCAACCCTCACCCAAGCAGGAGACCCTACACCATTTCTGACAAATGGCAGTCCAATCTCTTCTTGAAAGCCTCCAGTAATGAAGCTCCCACAACTTCCAAAGGCAACTTCTGTTCCATTGGTTGATGGTCCTCACTGTCAGAAAATTTCTCCTTATTTCCAGGTTGAATCTCTCTCCTTGATCAGTTTCCATCCATTATTCCTTGTCTGGCCTTCAGGTGCCTTGGAAAATAGCTTGACCTCCTCCTCTCTGTGGTAGCCCCTCAAATATTGGAAGACTGCTATCCTGTCTCCCCTGGTCCTTCGCTTCATTAGACTAGCCGTGCCCAGTTCCTGTAACCGTTCTTCATATGTTTTAGTCTCCAGTCACCTAATCATCTTGGTTGCTCTTCTCTGCACTTTTTCTAGAGTCTCAACATCTTTTTTATAGTGTGGTGACCAAAACTGGATGCAGTACTCTAGGTGTGGTCTTACTAAGGCTTTATAGAGTGGTATTAGTACCTCACTTGATCTTGATTGTATCCCTCTGAAGAAAAAACTACATAGTACCCATCATGGATGCTTTCATTGGCATTTCAGCACTGAGTCGGGGACTGGATTCAATGGCCTTAGTGACCCCTTCAAATCCTAAAATTTTATGATTCTGTAAATTCTAATAAATCTAGTAAAATTTCTCCAAATGTTTGGCCATTTCCATCAAAGTCTATGGATAGATCCGAGCTAGTTGGAGCATTTTCAAATGCAATGCAAATAGTCCTCAATGTACAACCACACAAGCTTGGAATTTTGGTTGTAAATCATTGAAGTCATAAGTCATGTCACCATGTGACTGGACTTGATTTTATGACAGTTTTATGACAGTTACTAAATGAGTCATGTGATGATTAAGCAAATCACATGATTGTATAGTCCAAAACCATCTTATCCAATAGGAGCTTTTTGCTGGAAAATAGCAAAATAGTTGCAAAGCACAATTACATGACTGAAAGATGCTGCAACCCATCATAAATGTGAGTTGGTTGCCAAGCAGCCAAAATACCCCTCACTGTAAGGGATATGTAGCAGTTATAAATTTGAAGATGGGACATAAATAACTTTTTTTTCAGTCCATCATAAGTGACCAGTTGTAATTTGAGAACTAATAAGATGGGTTTCCATACTGTGCAAGACATATACAAAAGAAGGAGAAGAAGAGGAGAAGAAAAGGAGGAGAAGACATATACAAAAGAAGGAGGAGAAGGTCAAAGAACACGAGGCAGACCCAGAAGAGGATAGAGAGACAACATTAAAGGCACACTACCACAGCATCAAATAACAGTGGCTGAGGCTTCCAGAAGACCAAGAATCAGAACTTTGTATCTCCCTTGACATCTGAAGTGGTAAAAGAGGAAGAAGAAGAAGGAGGAGGAGGAGGAGGGGGGTGGAAAACAGGTTTCAAGGAGGAAATAATGCAGGTTGTAGGAGCAGTTGATGGAGGTAAAATTCTATCCCCTTCAAAGGTGATAAACTTGTGCCACCAGAACAATCAGTATGGGTTTAGCTGTTGACCAAATTCAGAATTACTCTTCTGTCAGATAAGAAACTATTTCCTTGCCACTGTATACGTACCACATTCCCAGGCAAACCACGTGGGCCAGATGGTCCTTCAGGTCCAGGGGGACCCTGTTAAAATAAATCATAGCCACAGGTTTGAAGAATATATTGATGCTCATACCCAACATTTATTCCCAATATCTGTTGTGGCTCCGACCCCCGAGCCCATCTTATCGGAGGAAGAAGGCTCCGAACATGAAGGAGAGGAGCCGGCCAGGCCTCCCTCTCCAGGCCCCTCCTCTCTGGCAATGCCTCAGGTGTCTGCCGAGGGAGAGGAGATTGACCAGGAGCCAGGTGTCTCTGATGACAGCGATGAGGGGGATAAGTCGTTCCTGGATCCACGCCAACAAAGGCGAGATAAACGTTTGCAGCAGATGAGGAGGTGTGCCAGGGATTAAGCTGAGTCACTGGACCACACCCCACAGGCTATATAAGAGAGTGTGGTGGCCATTTAGACTCTGTGACGGACAAAGCTAACTTCTGGCTAGTCACTTTGTACAACGCCTGATCTGCTGAAGATTTCTGTTTGAGCTGGACTGTTTTTGAAAACTGTGGGTATTTGTTGGTGTTATCTGGTGGAGGAACACTCCCTCTTCTTGTAGTAAAGCACTTGGCAGACAGTTATCGTATTGCTGCCAAGTTCCTGATAATGAACCTTGTGTGTGCCGAGTACTTCTTTAACCCCTGGCTGGCTGTTTGTGTGTGTGTGGGGACGGGGACAGAACAATATCAACATTGCAATGACGCTGGTTCAGATATGGAAAAGCTCTTAAGTATCCAAGTGTTTGTTAAACCTTGATCTACCTAGAAAAGAATATATATTCTTAAGGCAGTTACTTACAATTTCTCCTGGAGGTCCAGGTTGACCTACTTCCCCTTCTTGTCCTTTCAGACCCTAAAGAAAAGAAACAAAGGTTCAGTCTAGTAGATAGAAGAGTCAAAGAGGCAGAAGCTCAGGCAGTCAACAAAGCAAGTTGACCTCATGCCAAGATAGCTGTGGAAGGAGCTTTCATAGCTGAAGGAAAATAGTGCTGCTCCTTGGTTTCATTCACTAAAAGATAATAACACCTGAGCATCAAGCTGAGATACTTAGGTCTTTATCATCTGATTTTAAAGGATATTATTTGTTCAAAAGGAACAGAAGCAAAAGGAAAGGAGAAGTGTTAAGGGCATCCATTCCTGCTCAGCAATCCACTTAAAAGAACTTGGAGATGTGATAACAATAAGATGAATAGCAAATGAAAGTTATAATGTTGTCGGTCGCAACAATCTGGCCAACAATCTGGCCAACCAAGAAGAAGACACAGATGATACTTTCAAACACAAATAGCAGATCTTTTTTTAAAAAAATGAAGAAGAAAAAAGTTACATTTATGGAAGATATTTATTACTCTGATATGTTTGTTCATAGTGATCATAACAATTATATTGGACTTTCCATGACCAGCAATTGATTATACTGGAAAAGCATGAAGTCTTTCTCATGATCAACAATAGCTGTTCCTAGAATCTTAAATTCAGTCAGAATGAGTGACAAATTACATTTGCTTATTCTATATTCAAGTACACATAGTTAAAGTCAATACAATTTATATATACATATATTTATTCCTACTGAAAATTAAAAAAAAAAAAACACTGAAAAATTGATTTGATGATTAGAATTATTTGGGATTATGGAAACAATACAGACAAATTTAATCTTAGAATATGTGTTTGATGTATTTTTTTTACTTCTATCTATAAACAATGGATGTTTGTTTTTATATTATTTCAGAAAATCAAGATCATCTTAGATATATTTATCCCCACTGAATCAGTTCCATTCCGAAGCTCATTCCATATTCTCTAACCATTGTGATTTCACTCCGAAGATGGGAATAGAGAGAGAGAAAGAGTGAGATGGATGGATATTAACTTGTAAACCTCTTAAAGATCTGTTCTAGTTGTTTATCATCTGACTTTGAAGGAGACCACTGAAGTGAGCATGTCCTCTTGAAGCATTGGGAATGGGATGGCCATCTCCTCACATGGTCTAAGCATGCAAATCCATACAGAAAAGACAGCTCAGTTGGGATTGCCAATTCAGGCAGTACAAGAGGACTTTAGGTTAGCTGTATCAACGTCTTAAGCAGTGGTCCTATGAATAGTTTGTATCACCCTATCATATATTGGACTGTTGCCTTCTGGCAGAAGATACAGAACAATTTAAACTCGGACTACATGTTTTCTGAATAGTTTTTATCCCAGAGCTATAATTGCACTCAACAATGAACTAAAGGGCCACCATCAGTGAGCTGTTGGACAGCATTACTTGGTCTGTTGTGTGGATGTTTGGGTGGTTTAGGGGTGGGGAATTTGTGGTGGGTGGGGGTGTGTTTGGGGATTGTTATGTGTGTTGGACCTGGTCTTTGGGTGTTAAGTGAATTTCGTTGTTTGGGTATACTGTGTATACACATACAATAACAATAAAGTTATTATTATTATATATCAATATATGAACTAGTTTAGTGGTTTCATTTTAGCTTAATGTACCTGTTGCCCAGCTGGTCCGATTGGACCCTGTTCTCCTGGAACACCTTGTTCTCCCTATAGAAAGGAAGAGGAAGAAAAAGAAACACACACAAATGATCTCAGTTTTATGTAATTTCCCCCCACACTGTAGTGAATCTGAGTATCTTGATCTAAAAAAAGAGATATTCTTTTAGCAGCAGAAAAAGTTCATCATTAAGAGCCAAATGAGGGTATTTGATCCTGGGTAGATCAGAGATAATGATTGGGATGATCTGTGGTAGATAAGAAACAAGACAGGCACAGACTTCAGAGGATAATTAGAACTGCAGAAAAAACAATGGCTACCAACCTGCCTTCCATTGAGGAGATGTATACTGCATGTGTCAAAAAGAGGGCTGTGAAAATATTTAGACCCCTCGCATCCTGGACATAAACTGTTTCAACTCCTACCCTCAAAACAACGCTATAGAGCACTGCACACCAGAACAACTAGACACAAGAACAGTTTTTTTCCCCGAATGCCATCACGCTAATTTCCACAACACTGTCAAGTTATTTACTAAGACTGTATTCCTATCATTATTCTCATCCTTCCTATTACCTATCTCCATTTGTACTTATGACTATAACCTTGTTGCTTGTATCTATATAATTTATATTGTTTTATTTAGTTTCGCTAGTATGATTTATGTTGATTGCTTATTTAATATCCTATGACTATCACTAAGTGTTGTATCTTATGTTTCATGATGAATGCATTTTTATGATGACTATGATTATGGTTTATCATTTATAGCTTTTATGTACACTGAGAGTTTATGCACCAAAGACAAATTCCTTGTGTGTCCAATCACACTTGACCAATAAAGAATTTTATTCTATTCTATTTTGTAGATTTTTTTATGAGCAAATTTCAATAATAGATTGTTAAAAGAGGGTCTTGAAGTTTAACTTTGCTATCGTTTAACAACATTTTTTCCTCATTTATTCAATGTATGACAGGTCAATCAGGTTGCAAATAGATATAGAAGTTTATAAATTTGGGACCTGTTCTGCAAGAGGGGGAAGCTATTATTGTTGCAATAGATTTGTCAGTGTTCAACTAGGGGAGAATAATACGTGTTTTTGTTTTTTATCCTTTTTAATTCACATTTTTAATGTTCTTGTCTAGATTTGTTTTGTCTAGATTTTTTTCTTTTGGATCTTGTATCTTAATCTCTTGAATAAAATAAAAATGTATAAAAGCATTAGGTTAGTTTTTTTTTTAACCTTCTCCTGCACCATAACCATTTTGAAACCTAGAAAAAGGGAATATCTGAGGGACATGCCTCTCCCCAGTGATATCAGCTTGCCCCATTAGATCTGGCAGAGAAGGCACGCGGTGACTACCATCGGCTACAGATCTATATTTAATGACTCCAGGCCTTTCTGTCATGGTGCATTCCTTATGGAACATTCTTCCCCCTAAAATTAGATTCGCTCCATCCATTTTGATATTCTGGAAATCCCTCAAAACCTGGTTACATGATCACGCCATGAGTTCAACGGGAGATATGCTCAGACGGTTCCATTGCTAAATATTCATTCTCATCCTCTCTTTGACTGGGGTTAGTATATTTGTTTGGATAATGTTTCTTTTCATCTGGATTTTATGTTTTTATATTTATTATTCAATTCTTATACGCCACTCAGAGTCACGTTTTGTGAGATGGGCAGCTATGTAAATAAATAAAATTCCAGACCACAAGACGGCCCTAGTAATAACAATTCACTTTGTTTATATTCCTAAAGTTATCCATCTTAGTTGATTAATGTAAATTATTTTTTTTCAAAAACAATATTTAGAGAGAGTAGATATGATATATCTATCTACTGTGCTTCCCCGAAAATAAGACTTGGTCTTATATTAATTTTTGCTCCAAAAGACCTATTAGGGCTTATTTTCTGGTTAGGTCTTATTTTTGGGGAAATCATGAAATCTCCAGAACGGTAAAGCCTACAAACTTGAAACTTGGAGCATATGTTCCTCTTGGCTTCTAGGTGCTTGCTAAAAAAGGATTTTTTGAAATGACTATATACTATATACTATTCCATATATAGTATATTCATATACAGTATATTCACATGATCTGATGGTAAGGAGTTAGATGTTCTACTCCTCCTCCCCACCTGAAAAGAACTCTGTTCCAACTGCTAGTTGCCTTATATTAACACACCCCTTTGCTAAACTGGGCGTGGCCAGCACATGACTCATCCGACCTGTGGGCTGGGACATCCCCCTCCCCCTTTGTTCCAACTGTCAGTTGTCTTATATTACCACGCTCTGATGCTACGGAGTTACACATTCTACATTAAGTTTCAGGCTTTAAGTTTCAATTTATCAAGCCCACTCACATAGTTTCATAGAGAAGCATGGGTGTCCAGCTAGTCCATGGTATATGATATATAAATAATGCATAAGTAGATACTGTACATAGATAGTTAGATCTATTCTCTGTTTATCTTCTACCATCTATCTCTATAATTTATCTTTTTAAATCATCATGCGACCTATATTTTAACTTTCTACTCATTTGAAATGGTTTATCTGAAAAGAAAGCGTATAATAATATGCTTACGGGTTCACCTCTTTCTCCACGATCACCTTTTTCACCTTTTGGCCCTTGTTCTCCCTTGAGTAAAAAAAGAAAAGAAAAAAGAATTGTATATTGGCTTAGATAAAGAGGGATAGAACTGGTAAACACGACAACCTCCGCGACAGCAGAATCATACGGCTCCTATCTGTGAAGAGATAGAAATTCATTAGCAAGCCCATTCCAGTTGCTGAATTGATTCTTCCGTTCCGGAGGTGACACTCATATTAATTACATGGCCACAGGCAACTTTGCAGGGACATGGTCTGATTCCATATTTTGTGAGAGTGGTTAAAAATAAGGTCTCCCTAGAGTCAAGTTTGACTTGTAGTGGCTTCATGGACTATGATGGAATATGCAACTGAAGGAGAAGAAGAGGCGAGGGAATGTCAGCAGGTAGGGCTGCAATTTCCCATGGTGGAGTCAGCACATTCCAGAGAGGTCCAAGACAAGAGACTGCACAGTTCTAAACTGGATAGGGTGGGGAGGAAAAGGTATACCATATTTTTCAGAGTAAAAGACACACATTTTCCTCTCCTAAAAGAGGCTGAAAATTTGGGTGTGTCTTATACTCTGAATGTAACCCCGCACGGTGCTCAAAATGGCTACCAGGAACAGCTGCTGCCTTCTCTTACTCCTTCCGTGCTTTGCCTGCTTTAGTCACTGGAGCTTCTTCCAAGGATCAGCTGTGCTTTTGAAGCTGTTTTTCAGCCCCAACATGAGGGAAGCGATCTTCCGTGCTTTGCCTGCTTTTCTAATTGCTGCTCCCTCCGACAATCAGCTGTGCTTTAGAAGCTGTTTTTTAGCCCCAACCAGCCCCAACCTCAAAACCAGTGAGTGAAGTAATGTGCTGGGACTAGCCAGATGAATACCTGGTGGGCAGAATTTTTTTTCCTATTTTTCTCCCCAAAAATTAAGGTGTGTTTTATACTCCAGTGCATCTTATACTCTGAAAAATATGGCATTTGTTAGGTTAGAAGGTTATAGCTTTAGTCTGGCAAGATTCTGTCTATTAGCTTTAAACAAATAACTAGACTTCAGTAGATCTCACTGTATCATCTCTAATACTTGGACCTGATATGGACAATTTCCTGTAGTTTTCTTAGCAACACTATAGAAATGGCATGACATTGTCATTTTTCTGATGAAGTTCTGTTAAGTACACAAATTAAGCATCATTAAGTTCTAGACAACTTCCACTCTCTAATCCCCAAAAAGTCCATGAATGTTGTGCATTGTTTTTCCCAGTGGAAAAATACTACAAAACACAAATTCTACAGAAGAAAAAAAAAATGCTGTAGCAGAAATCTACCCCTCAGAAAGAGGGGTGGATGAACAGGGAACAATTATTCTACTGTTTTAAAGGGTTTTGCTAAATCTAAATATCTAAGTAAAGTACAAAGTTACAACAACACTGAAAAAAGTGACTTATGATGAGTTTTCATTTTTACGACCATTACATTTGGATGGCCATTTTTTTTTTAACTTTTAAACTATTTTTTTCTACAACCTCTTTGGCGAAGAGGTTGTAAAAAAATGCTTTCAAAAGGCTCTGACGATCCCAGCTGAGTTGCCTGATCAGCAGAGGCTTTTTAATAAACCTCTGCCAATCAGGCAACTCAGCTTGGATCATCAGAGGCATTTAAAAGAAAAAAAGGGTGTTTTTTTTAAAAAAAAGCCTTTGAAGATCCCAGCTGAGCCGCGCGATCATCAGAGGCTTTTTTTTTTTTTTTTAGGTTTGAGAAGGGTTTTTTGCTACCTCTTCTCCGAACCACCCGCCTCCATCGCTACCGGATCGGACGATCCGGTCCAAACCGGGAGCATTTCACCCCTGATGCAATCCCATTTTGCGACCTTCTGACAAGCAAAGTCAAGGGGGAAGCCAGATTCACTTAACAACTATATTACTAATTTAACAACTGCAGTGATTCATTTAACAACGGTGGCAAGAAAGGTTCGTAAATGGGGCAAAGCTCACTTCACAAATGTCTCACTTAGCAACATAAATTTTGGGCTCAAATGTGTTTATAAGTCGAGGACTACCTGTAACATGACTGCATCAATTAAATTAATCTTCAATTTATTGCGGGCATAAACCAATACAGATAATAAACAAGATAAACTTTAAGAGAGATTTTAAATAGACTATTTTTTATGAAGAACATCTGCTGCCCTCTACTGGTCTAGAGCAACATGACAGGGAAATGTGAGCTATCTAAATTAAGGCAAACTATCTGAACTGTCTTTAATTTGCTAACATTTTTTCTGATTGCTCACTTGGGAAAATATGAACAACACTTTTGCAAGCTTATAATCCCTTCTTTAACCGCAATGTTACCTAAAGTGCAGTATTTTGTAATAATTAGATTAAGGAGAAGGAGTGTACTAAGTAAAGATAAAAGGAAGCTCTTATTGTTGTAGAAACTAAGACAGGAAGTTAATCTTGGGAAGCAGCCTGATATTCCCTGTCTTCAATTGTTGTTCTTTGCTTGTTTTGAAATATTTTTTGACAGATTGGAAAGAAGATTGGAAAAAGTATGGATATTCCTGTTAAAATAGGGATCACCTGTTAAAATAGGGATCAAGAAATAACTGGATTTGCTAACCCAGACAAAAAATTCTTTTCATATATCATCCTATACACAACGATGATGTATCAACAGAATTAATCCTTTTTTGTAAGTCAACTTGCTTTCAGCAAATGAACTAAAATTGCAGAGAGGAAATGTCACTCAAGCTTTGGATTTCAATTCTGATCTATCATGGGCAATGTGAAATCTTGCTGATGGAGATAAAGGACAGATGGAACCTGGAGATTTTATTCTGATGTCCAAGTTAGGTGGACATCCATACCATCACTGGCCATTCCAGAGGTTCATTTTATCCAATTGAATGTCTAATGTTGTAAGATCCCAGATTCCTATGAGTTCTTGGCTTCCATGGATATTCGTAGGATCTTCCTTCCCATTTTAAATAGGGACTGCATGATTCTCATCAGCTTCTGTTCTTTATGTATGTCTTTTTGCAAAGTACATCAGGGGTGAAATTCAGCAGGTTCTGACAGGTTCTGGAGAACCGGTAGCGGAAATTTTGAGTAGTTCAGAGAACTGGCAAATATCACCTCTGGCTGGCCCCAGAGTGGGGAGGGAATGGGGATTTTGCAGTATCCTTCACCTGGAGTAGGGTGGGAATGGAGACTTTGCAGTATCCTTCCCCTGCCATGCCCACCAAGCCACGCCCACAGAACCGGTAGTAAAAAAAATTGAATTCCACCACTGAAGTACATGTATATGAAATGCCATTTTTTAATGTTTAATACTGTTTACCTGTGCAAGCATGTTAAATATAAGCATAACCATAGAACGTCAAAGAATTAAAAATTACTTACAGGAATACTAGGCCTTGGTGTAAATGGGGTAGTCTAGAGTGCAAACAATGGAAAGAAGAGATTTCAGTATCAGCTTTATAAAATAATAACAGCAACCACATAATGTTGATTGCACTACGGTGATAAATATGTGGTAATAGTCCTTTTTTTATTATTACTTCAAAATAGTTCAAAAATATAACATATCTCAAAGGCAATGGAAACTCATCCTACGAATGCACTGAGTGTGAGTCTCCAAAGGTCTTGACTTTCAATGCTCAGCATTACTTACTATTAATTAATTAATTAATTAATATTAATTAATTATATTATCAGTATCTCCCTGGAGGGCTACACATTGTGCAATTATGCTTCACAAAGCCAACATTTTGTAGGAGTCTATGTTGTTGTTGTTTTAACAGGCCACAGAAAACAAGTAATGCAGTTGGCTGACAGAAGCACATCTTCACCTTAAAGAACAGGAGAAACGTTGATTTTCAGAAACATCTGAAAATTCACTTCTTCCCGCTTTGTGTCCTCGTTCCATTTATAATCCTTACAGTTTTTCTTAAAGGAAAGACAGTTGTACGTGCTGTGATTTCATGGAAGGTGGTGGAATGACTTCAGGTCATACTGAACATACAGATAGACATGGTCTACAGCAGTGATGGCTAATCTTTTTGCCATCGCGTGCCAGGAGGGGTGGGTGGGGGTGGGGTCACGTGTGCCCTCACCCATAATTCTATGTGCCCTGCCCCCACGCATGCATACGTGACCCCCCATGCTCCCCCCGCTCTTGGCACATGATGGTCCAGTAGGCCCGTTTTTCTCTCTCACCTGGCTCCAGAGCCTTTCTAGGAGTCTAGGGAGGGTGAAAATGGCCTTCCCCACCCACCCTGGAGGCCAGAAATGGCCCATTTGCCAACTTCCGGTGGGACCGGAAGGCCCATTGTTTGCTGTCCTCAGCCTCCAGCGCCTCTCTAGGAGTCTGGGGAGGGCAAAAATGGCCCATTTGCCAACTTCCAGTGGGACTCGCGTGCCCACTGATATGGCTAAGCCCACCATCTGGGGCACACGTGGCATAGGTTCATCTTCACGGGTCTACAGTCTATAGTGGTGGGATTACCCCACCAGCAAATAATGGGATCTAATCCTGCTTAGTTTATTGAAATTAGCCAAGATTAACTAGGTCTCCTTATAGCTTTTTTAACTGCCATTCTACTTACTTTTCCAGGTTGACCTGGGAGGCCAGGAGCACCAATTTCACCCTAGGAAGGAAAAAGAGAGAGAGAAAGGTAAGGAGTAGGAAAGTAGAGGTAGAGAGGAAGGAAGGAAGGAATGCCCACAGAGAGGGCGCTGAGTGCCACCTCTGGCATGTGTGTCATAGGTTCGCCATCATGGGCCTAAGTCATGATTTCAGTTTTAGGAGGCTCCAAGACAGCTTTCAAGGTAGTCTATGAGTACTAGAACTAAGTGTTGTGGCTCCGACCCCCGAGCCCGTCTTATCGGAGGAAGAAGGCTCCGAAAGGGAAGGAGAGGAGTTGGCCGGGCCTCCCTTTCCAGGACCCTCCTCTCTGGCAATGCCTCAGGTGTCTCCCGACGGAGAAGAGATTGGCCAGGAGCCAGGAATCCCCGCGCAGGCACAGTCGGACAGTGACGGGGATGAGTCTTGGCTGGATCCACGCCAGCGTCGGAGAGATAAGCGCACGCAACAGAAGAGGAGGCGTGCCAGAGATTAGGCTGAGTCACTGGACCACACCCCACAGGGTATAAAAGGGAGCGTGGTGGCCAGTCAAGCCTTGTGACGAACAAAGCTGAAAGCTTCCATGCCATTCTACATTGCCGGACTTTTGCTATAGGCTTTGCTGGATTATATTTGGACTTAAGTTACTCTGTAATTATTGAACATTTTACTTTGATGTACCAGAAGCAGAGAGAAGTTATCTCTTCCCTTCGTGAGTAATAAACTCTTGGCAGCAGCCACTAGGTTGCTGCCAAGTTCCGTTATCATAAGGATTTTGTCGGCTGGTTTGGTTTTTAACTCTTGGATGTCTGTTGGTGTGTGTGTGTGGGACGGGGACAGAACACTAACTTTATTATAAAGTTACATTAAGAGAATCTTGAAAGTGTGAAAGCACATTGCTCCCCCGCCCACCTTTGCTTTCTAGGGAACTAGGGAGGATCCCTTCTAGGATGCTTTCTGTGATCCAATTCCTTTTGCTAGCTGAGAAGCCTCTTATCTCTCTATTGCCTCGGTGGCAGTTCTTCCTCCTCCTGTCTCCCATGGACAGACCGTAACAGTAACTCAAGAATGCCCATGGGAAGCCACCGTGGAGGAGTTCAAAAGGCGGAAGTCGCAACTGCACAATGGGAGTCTTCTTGTATTTTACATGTGACAACCCTCTTGAATTTTGATCCCGTGTCTTGTGGGCACCATTCTCACATTCAGCTCTGTTTTTCCAAGATTATCTCTGGCACAGATCACAAGGAACATTCCCAAGTTCTGAAGGCAGGCAAGGACTGATTGAAGCCACAATAAGCCTTTCGCTATTATTATTAGTAGAAGTAGAAAAGAGATATGCCTCCTTTGTCTAGACCGCTCAATCTTTCTTCTGTTTCTCTTATGCTCTGATTGTTATTATTATTTCCACTTCAAGGATGTATGATCTCCAGAGAGCAATACACTTGACTCAGCTGGATACTTGATCGTTTTGCTTTTGTTGATTGACACCTTCCATGCTCTGTTGGATAGCCTCCTTTTTTCTGATTTTTGCCTGCTTCAAAATTAAGATGTAACTGAAATTTGTACACTGCACATCTCATTATCCACACGACTCTGTGTGGTTTGCAAGTAAGACCCCATGAAATCCTTACAAAAATCCTTGATTTCATTAACCTGAAATTTAAACTGGGAGAAAATAGTCTTCCTTATCTTGCTTTGATTGACAGTTCTAATATCCAATCATTGAATGTTCAACAGCATAAATTTGGGAATGGCTGATTTATTGACTACCCACTGTGTTCAATGCAGATAATAATCCTATAAGCATATAAGATCCGGTGTAGGTCATACCCAAACAATGATGTCACTTACACAACAAATGAATTTATCAATGTGCATATAAACCATGGAATTTAACATACCTTTTCTCCTCTGTCACCTTTGAAGCCAGTGAGCCCAGCTCTTCCTTTGTCACCCTGTAAACACAAATAACCCAAGAGCTCATATGATGATCCTTGGTGGCAAAAATAGATCTAAAATATTGTTTACTGCAATTTCTGCTTTCAACAACAATCTATTGCACAAGTCCATTTGAGGACAAAAAAGGACCAAGGGAGCTTCTAAAAGATTCGAGGTCTTGTTAAAAAGCATGACTTCCTTTACTTGTTAGAAGGGAACAATAATTTTGCTGGGCTGGAATTTCTGGACTTTGAAATGGGAAAGAAAGCTGATTAATCAGGAGAGGATGTATCTTTGCATACTTATATAGATTACACTTTTTATTTTACTTCGGGCAGTAGCTAAAGTCCATCACTCATGTCTGATGGTGAAGTGATCAGGGTTGGAATTTCTGGACTTGATTTAAAGGTTGGATGGGGTGGGGGTTGACTTGGGGAGCATTAAGTTTGAAGAAATTCAGGGTGACTTGTCTCTTCTGTGGTTTGCCTTTTAAAACCTGGTATCACGACACAGTCTGCAAGAAGGAGGTTTGAAGGTTGTAATTTACCTCAGCAATTTTCCATTGCTGAGGTAAATGGTGCTGTGCTTCTCAGACCTTCTCAAGATATCACGAGGGACTCTGACAAGGCCTTTGAAGAATGGCATTGCCCCAAGACAAAAGTTAATTATTTCCAGGCAGTAATGAAAAGCAAAATAACAAACATCGGTCCATAATTAGTTATTTCCCAATAACTTTTTGCAATTTCTGTCAGTGGGCCTGGGGAGCCCAGAGCGGGATGGAGCGCATTAAATGGTTTGTATAAATGTGTGTTGTCACTGGGGTGAGGTGGGGGGGTGGGGGTTATTATTTTACTAATTCATTATTTATTATTTTTCATATGGTTTTATATCTAGATAAGCCGCCTTGAGTCGCCATGTGCGAGTAGGGAGCAATATAATGTTTTTATAACTAAATAAATAAATTTATATTTGATTTTATTTAATATATATTGAATTGAGTTTGAGTTTATTTAGATTTATATACCGCCCTTCTCCCGAAGGACTCAGGGCGGTGAACAGCCAAAGATAAAACACATACAATATAAAATTAAAAAAAAACAATTAAAAAAAAACATATTAAACAAATTTGGCCCATACTAATTAAAACACCCCATTTTTAAAAAAGCAAATTAAAATTAAACAATTAAAAAGAGTTAGGCCAGCCCAGCTTGTTGGAATAAAAAAGTCTTGAGGGCACGGCGGAAAGTGCGTAAATTCAGGATCCTCCGTATCTCCGGGGGGAGCTCGTTCCAAAGGGCAGGTGCCCCCAGAGAGAAGGCTTTCCCCCTGGGGACTGCCAGTCAACAATGTTTGACCGACGGCACCCTGAGGAGCCCCTCTCTGTGGGAGCATACTGGCCAGTGAGAGGCTACCGGTGGCAGAAGGCAGTCTCATAGATAGCCAGGTCCTAAGCCATGGAGCGCTCTAAAGGTGGTAACTTGGCACAGAGTCACAAACAGTTTTTTCAAATCTTGAATTGGCCAGATAAACTAATTGCTTCCTGCAAAAGCTCATGTCCCGTTTGCTTCTCTTTTATGTCTTATGGGAGGGGCCAATCATCTCCAAGCCTTACTCCCAAGTCGACCCTGTTTCCTTAATTGTTCCTGTCTCCTGGCAGCTCTGCACATGTGCACACTGGGAACAGGCTCAAGCTGTTCTTCTCGCTGATGTCAGACTCCGGAGACTCCAGACGCAGCAAAGAACCACCAGATGGCCTTGGCCCCCTCTCTGCCTCCGACTCAGAACCATTGTCCGAGCCTTCCCCAGACTCCAGGACTGGCCCACGTTCCTCCCCAACCTCCTCACTGTCCGAATCTGCTGCCAGCTCTGCTGGCTGCTGGCGGGCCACAACAGTTTGGTGGGCAGAAAAAACAAGTCCTGTAGATCCCTAGAGCCTGAAGCATGAAAGGTTTGAATACGTCAACCACCATCAAAGAGCCACGGTGGCACAGTGGTTAGAATGCAGTACTGCAGGCTATTTCGGCTGACTGATGGCTACCTGCAATTTGGCAGTTCGATTCTCACTGGCTCAACATTAACTTAATTAACATTAAGAGCCGAGGTGGCGCAGTGGTTAGAGTGCAGTACTGCAGCTATTTCAGCTGACTGCTAGTTCAGCAGATCAGCAGATCAAATCTCACCGGCTCAAGGTTGACTCAGCCTTCCATCCTTCCGAGGTGGGTAAAATGAGGACCAGATTATTGGGGGCAATATGCTATTTAGTATACTGTCGATTGTTGTAAGCCGCCCAGAGTCCTTGGAGAGTGGGCGGCATAGAAATATGAATAATAAATAAATAATAATAAACTCAGCCTTCCACCCTTCCAAGGTTGGTAAAATGAGGACGTAGATTGTTGGGGGCAATATATTGACTCTGTAAACCACTTAGAGAGGGCTGTAAAAGCACTGTGAAGCGGTATATGATGTGTCTCTCAAACACGGGGTTAAAAAAAGAACATGTAAAAAGCAATAAGAGCCTTGGTAGTACAGTGGTCTAAAGCACCCTGTTATTAAGACCAGCTGCCTGCAATTACTGCAGGTTCGAATCTCGCCAGGCTCAAGGTTGACTCAGCCTTCCATCCTTTCTAAGGTAGGTAAATTGAGGACCCAGTTTGTGGGGGCAATAAGCTGACTTTATATAAATATACAAAAGAATGAAGGCTATTGCTTAGCGCATTGTAAGCCGCCCTGAGTCTCCGGAGAAGGGCGGCATATAAATCAAATTTTAAAAAAAATTGCAGTAAAACAGAGGTTAACAAGAGAGAGATCACTTCTTTGTGGAAAAGTCTAGAACAGACCTAGGCATTTTACAACCCTCAGGCCACATCTGGCACTTCAGATGTCCTCTCTGGCCCACAGTGTAGGCCGTGGTGGGGAGTGGGACAGTAGAACTGTGGCAGCAGTGGGTGGGTCAGTGGTGGAGGCCCTCCACAATAGTCCCAGTTTCTGACGTGGCCCCTTGTGAAAATTAATTGCCAACCCCTGGTCTAGAAGGTTGACAGATACCAACTGTTCTTCAAGTAGAAGTTTCCATTCCTTTTATGGATCAAACCAAAACGGATAGACATCCTGAATTGCATACCTGGCTTCCCTTTTCTCCTCTTGGACCAGGCAAACCAGGTGGGCCTGGGAGACCAGCTTCACCCTAAAAGAGAACATAATATTCTTAGAGTTGTAGAAAATTCAACTGATTTGAAATTTCAGTTTGATCACACACACCCCAAATGTAACCATTCAAGAGCTTTATTACTCTGTGGATTAAATGCAGCGAATCAGATTGGGTGCCCCTAAATTGATTCAGCGATTTGACAGACGTGTGCGTGTGTGGCCACACATTCTATACACAACTCAAATCATTGTGGTTCTGGTATTATTTACCCAGCCTACTTGATAACTTCTGCCAAGGTTTCATTTCATTTTTAGCATCCAATATGGGTCACACAAATATGCTTTCGAGGCCCTATGCATGTATCCTCTTAATCTTTCCAATTGAGATGGCTGCCAACACTGCTGTAGATACACTGTTGACTGCTGATTGTTTTGGGAAGGATTTTTTGCTTCAATAAAATGACCACTTAGAAACAGCATCATAAGAGAGTAATAGCGGTTACATTTATAGGACGAACACAAAGAAAATCCAGGTTGTCCACATAACAATTTCAAGGAGAAATTTGAGCCACTCACTCAGTGTCAGTTCAACTTTTTCCATAGAGTGTTATTGTGATTATATAATAAAGGGCAGGGGTGGCCTCAAAAAATTTAGCAAGGGGTTCTCTGCCTGTCTGCTGGGTGGGCGTGGCCATGGGGGGCATGACCTAGTTGGCCTCCTGCACCATGGGGGGGGGGCATTTTTGCCCTCCCCGTGCTCTGGAGGCTTTGTTCGAGCCTCCGGGAGGGCGAAAATGGCCTCCCCAGGCTCCAGATGCTTTCTGGAGGCCAGAAATGGCCCCATTTCTGGCCTTCCTGTACTTCTGGTAGGCCCATTTTTCACCCTCCCCGAGCCTCCGTGTGCGCCGTGCACTTATCTGCATCCAAAACAGGCTGCATGGGGACTCCTGGGAGGGGAGGTGGGAGGTCAGGGAGGCAGGCAGGAGTGGGATTTGAGGGTTCTCCGAACTGCATATAATCTTAGCTGAAAACCCCCAGCAGCCCACCCCTGATAAAGGAAGATTTCCATGTAAGCTGCCTTGAGCATTCAGAAGCAAGGTTGTTATAAATCTAACAAATAACAATTACCCTTATAGACTTAGACTACTTTGGCACAAACAATACTTACCCTTTCCCCGACTATGCCAGACGGTCCTGGGGGGCCTGATTCACCCTGAAAAATAGCAAAACAGCATATTTTCCAAGGTTTTTGTTTATTTTCTAAACTTTTACATATCAATCTCTAAAACTCAAGTATGAACAAGAAACCAATTTTTTTTTACTTATTTTTCTCCCCTCTGTTGAAGGAAGAACACATTGTAGACATTTGAATCTCTTTCAAACAAGGATTTGTGAAGAACACTATGCGTGTATTTATGAAGCACATAGAAAGGTGTATTATATTAAACATATGTCATTAAATGTTCTTAGTAGTTATTTAAGTCATTCTCTGCCTGCTTGAAAATGTTTATTTTCTGGGTGACTTACAATGCAATAAAAACATAAACATAAAACTGTAGAAAGTCAGCAGACACCCCTCCCAGAAGAATGAAATAGTTTGGGAAATATTATAAAGGCAAAATATTATATTTTCCCCAAAGGGAGAAATGGAGAAACGTGTTTTTTTAGAGGCAGGAAACAGCCCCAGTCTCCCAGCCCCAAGCAGAAACTGAGGAGCCACCTTTTAGAAATGCAGATTTGGGTAACCCATTCAAGACAGGATATTTTGAAACTCCCTGCAGCAAAGTCTGAACAAAGGCAGAAGGGTAGGATTAGCCCCTCACTCAAGATCCAACACAGGACAAAGCCATTAAGCCACAATAGGAATTGCCCAACACCCTTTCAGAACACAAGGCCCTTCATTGCACCACCTCAGAGCAGTCCAAACTTCAACCAAACCTGGGAGCTCAGACAAACACCTAGGATTTGCAATTCCTAACAATTTAAAACAAGAATTTTAAATTGTTAGGAAAAAAAAGTTAAAGCAATGAAAAGAAAAAAATACCTTTACCCTGGGTTTGCCTGGCCAGCAGAACAGGGTGAAGAGAATTGTGTTCAATTTTTTTTCCTTCCCTCTCTGTACCTTTAAGAACAGCCCAAGGTTATGAGGGAATATTTTAAATACATTTACAGGAACAAATTCATTCTTGCATTTACTGTATGTATTTAAGTGGTTTTATCTGTCTATTTAACATCTGCAATGTTAATGTTTTTTCCAAACTCTGCCTGCAAGCTATCTATCCACCCCCACTCCACCTCTCCATCACTTATCCTCCAACAATGCCTTTTCTGGGAGGACACCCACAAAGAGGGGAGGAGACCCTGTTCTCATATCTTTCAGCCCCGCACAGACAACTCTGCAACCTTTGGAAGAAGATCACACTGACCCAGATGTTGCCTCCAGAAGAGAACCTCCATCCATTTGAGCCAGGGAGTTGGGTTTGGATCCAGTCATTTACCAAAAAAGTCATCACAGCAACCAGAATGGAGCAGATCTTCCCAAGCCTGACTGACCAGCCTTACCACCAAGCCAAGCCTAATGCCACCCAGCAGACATGAAAGAGAGGACCCTGAGATGGACCAGTGAAGACTAAAGACTCTTTCAATCCTCAGAAGACATCTGGAAAGACTATGGGGGAAGGGCAGAAATTCATTGTAAGGTTTTCTTTCTTGTCTCATTTATGTTGTAATCAGTTAAATGGATTCATGGAGGGATGGCATTTGAGAGTGGTTGGCACAGCAAATTCGGAACACCTTGGACTTCTATCTGGTGGGAGGGAAATTTGTCCAGGATGTTTGTATTGTCTGTCTTGTAGAAGTAGCTGTGCACACGCACACACCCCACTCAGAATCAGAATGAGGCTATCCCCTTCACCTACCTCCACACAAAGCTTCTCCTAGGCTGGTTTTTGCTCTGTGGTACTAAGACCCAAGCAGTCATACCTCTCTGCCAATTCCATGGGGGAGGGGGCATGCCCCTCAGGCAATTTCCTCACTGAAGAGGTAGCAGAAAAGAGATCTCCAAACCCCAAAACCTGATTGTGACTCACAAATGTTACTGCCCAGTTGCCCAGTAAGGCAAAATATGTTGCACTGGTGATCTCATTAGTAGGAATTACATAGCTCATTGTGCACAATTTAAACAATATTAATAGCCTGAATTGCACACTGGCTAACTGCAATTTGGCTTTACAAACCCTGGATGCACTAAACTAAGAGCTAAGGCAGGTTCAGGAAGCAACCCTTGAAAATGGGCAGCCAATAGTTATTTACTAAAGCAAAGCCTCACAGAAACTGACATCAAACTTCTGAAAATAATTGGCATAGAAAATTGGATACTGTAAATTTATTTCCAGAACTTTTGCCCTGGCTGCCAGACCTTCATGGTTGAAAGTTTTCCTTTTGGGAACCACTGAAGGGATACTTTTCTGCTGCCTCTATCAATGCATTCCCCTTTGCAATTAAAAAAAAATGTGTGTCTGGAAAAAAAAAGCTTTTTAAAAAATAAAATTAAAAGCACCCATCAAGTCTCCCTGATCAGATCAAGTCCTAATCTTGGGCCAGAAAAAGCATGTCACCCACACTTATATGGCCCAAAGTGGGCATTGTAGGAAATCAGCAGCCCCCACCCCTGCAGAAGAATGAAATAGTTTGGGAAATATTAAAAAGGCAGAATATTATATTTTCCCCAAAGGGAGAAATGGAGAAACATCTTTTTTTTAGAGGCAGGAAACAGCCCCAGTCTCCCAGCCCCAAGCAGAAACTGAGGTGCCACCTTTTAGAAATGCAGATTTGGTAATCCATTCAAGACAGGATATTTTGAAACTCCCTGCAGCAAAGTCTGAACAAAGGCAGAATGGTAGGAGTAGCCCTCACTCAAGATCCAACACAGGGCAAAGCCATTAAGCCACAATAGGAATTGCCCAACACCATTTCAGAACACAAGGCCCTTCATTGCATCATCCCCAGAGCAGTCCAAACTTCAACAGAATACATGTTCTTGCACAGGAACAGGAAGCTCAAGAGCGAAGCCCAAAGAAGGTATAAAGAACCCCACTCTCAACTCCATTTTGTCAGCTGCCCAGAACCACAAACCCATGTGATTCTGCTTCATCAATAAACCATCTTTCCAATTAGCCTCCATGTTTCCAGTGTCTTTCTCCCAGCTTGGAACTGAACCAGATGAAGATTTCTTCCAGCAAAACCATTACGTTTAATATGAATTCGATCAATCCAGGAATTAGATGTGGGATCTTCTTTCCTACCCCAGCAGCCACCTCTAGTATTTACCCATTTACAATATTTCTCATATCTTATAAGAAACAAATTTTCTTTTATTTTTCTACCTTGGAGCCTGCTTTACCAACTTCTCCCCTTTCCCCTTGTTCTCCCTGTAAAAAAAAAAAAACATTGAAGAAAATTAGCCAAAAAGAAAGGACAATGTGAAATACAATTGTTGAATAAGGACAGAATTAAATGTTTCAAAGAACGCCTGGGGTCCCCAAAAATAGAGGATGTCCAGAGTTTTACTGAAAATGGCTTTCTGGCAATTTCCATTTATCAGCTCTAGCTCTTCCTTCTAAGTAAATGAAGAAACATAAATTTTGCTTTATTAAATTCAAGTACGGAAAAGGGTGGAAGAATAGGGGCTGACATGTTTTACACATGCAAATGTGGACGTTACTTTATTTGTGCAAGGAAATGCTGCACGCACCAATCTGTGCAAACAATTTACACAACACCTCTGTATTTGATGTCCTGCAGAGTACCTTCCAGTGTTCTGCCCAAGCTCCAGATTCCCAAGGATTGTGAGACATACCAACAGTCCTTATCAAAGTTATAACGTACCAAGAATAAACAAAGTCCAGCAAAGGTTGGCAACCAGCCCAGAAAACAAGATACGATAAGACACCCACTCTCCAAAATGCTCTGTAATAATTACACGTTGTTTCCAGCAAGAAATTACTAACTGCGTGTGACTTAAACAGGCTAAGGGAATGGCCAATTATCCTCAAACTTTACTCTCGAGGAGACCTCCTCCTCCTCCTGAGTAGCCACTCCTGCCTTTTGGCAACCCTGCATGCTTGAGCATTGAGGAGAGGCTCCTCCACTTCACTCTCTCCACTTGAAGGAGCCTCTGGAGGTTCTGAAGGCCCTGGCTGAGTCTCTGCCTCTGGCACCACATCCTCTTCAGCCTCCTCGCTGTCCGATGCGAGTGCCAGCTGCGCAGGCTGCTGGCGCGACCCCACACCAGCCTCCTTGTCGTCGGGATCAGCCACGATCTGGGCAGGCCGCTGGCAGGCCACAACATCCAGATATTTGAAGCACCTATAATGGCTTCTGGATTTTTTTCCCCCCTTTTCCAATATACTTATTTTGGAATCAATAAGCCACCACATTTCAGCCACTAGCCACTGAATTTAGGCAGAAATTCATCATGAATCTTAGTACTAAATAAAGAAGCAAGAAACTTAATGACTGTTTGGAAGTACCAGACATGGAATGGTTTATTTAAGCCTTTCCAGCAATAAGATCAGGAAAGATTTGCCCCTATGTTTACTTACTTTTGAGCCTGGAAGACCAGGTAAACCATCTTGACCAGATTTTCCAGGTAAACCCTAATGAAAAAAAAAGAAAAGAAAAACAAACCATGCACATTAATTTCTGGGTTCAGATATGCCTGGTTTTAATTTCCTGACGGTTAGAACAATTCGCCTGATACACCAGTTGCGTCCCTTTCAGGACCGGGATGCCCTGCGCACAGTCACTCATGCCCTCGTCACGTCCCGTCTGGACTACTGTAACGCTCTCTACATGGGGCTCCCCTTGAAGAGCGCTCGGAGGCTCCAACTGGTCCAGAATGCAGCCACGCAGGTGGTTATGGGGGTGCCTCAGCGCACCCACGTAACAGCCCTCCTGCGCGAGCTGCACTGGCTCTCGGTGGTCTTCCGGGTGCGATTCAAGGTGTTGGTCACCACCTTTAAAGCGCTCCATGGCTTAGGACCAGGGTATATACGAGACCGCCTGCTGCCAGCAACAGCCTCCCACCGGCCAATACGCTCCCACAGAGAGGGGCTCGTCAGGGTGCTGTCGGCCAGACAATGCTGACTGGTGACAAGCCAGGGGGAGACCCTTCTCTGTGGGGGCACCAGCCCTCTGGAATGAGCTGCCCCTGGAGATTCGTCTCATCCCTGACATGCGTACCTTTCACTGCGCCTTGAAGACCCTCTTGTTCCAACAAGCCGGCCTGGCCTAATACGAATTTTAGAATGGGTATATGTGTGTTTTAATCTATGGGCCAAATTTTTATATATTCAATTTTAAATTGTTTTAAATTTTGTATATTTATATGTGTTTTAATATGGCTGTACACCGCCCTGAGTCCTTCGGGAGAAGGGCGGTATAGAAATCTAATAAATCCTAAATCCTAAATCCTAATTAAACAGTGGAATAGTTTGCCTCCAGAAACTTCGGGTGCCCATCCCTGGAGGTTTATAAAAAGAGACTGGATAGTCATTTGTCCGAATGGTATAAAATCTCTTGCTTAAGCAGGGGGTTGGACTAGAAGATCTCCAAGGTCCCTTTACTGGTTATTCTGTAAAGCTTCAGTTCCGATACAGGATATGGTTTAAAAATGGTTCAATCAAGTTTGTCTTTAAATCAGATTAGGTGAATTAGGATAGATTTGTTAACTGACAAATTTCTGCACATGTGAAAGCATTCTTTTTAGCGAATCACAGGGAGGATTTGAACAAAAACATTTGCGCCTAGCTGACCATTTGAATCAATCTGGGATAATTTATTAATTTCTACTCTAGTGTCACCACACAGGTTTCAAATGACATGGCAAATGATTGTGAAGCCTTCCATCATTCCACAAAATTGACTGAAAAACAATTTGAGAAGCACACAGCTCATTTGAAGGATGACAACCGATGCATTAAGGCCAAGGTTGGGAAAGGTGAGACTCTGTCTCAGAGATTTGCTGATGCAGCGCTAGAAATTTATCTCATGTTTGGAGAAAAGGAACCAAGACTAAGAACATATCTGAGGGAAGAAACCTCAAGGAGCTCAACAGGTTTGCTATATGAGTAACTATGGTCATGAACACCTTTTAAAACAATTCTAGCGAGCAATCTCAGAATTGGCCACAAGATGCCAGCAATGGCAAAGAAAAGGATCTCAAGGCGCGCTGGAAACTTTGAAAGAATTAAAAATAGTTATTGAAGGTCAGCGAAAACTATAGATATTTATGATCGACTTAATATACAGGTTGCTACACCTTGATTTATGGAATCACAAGGGCTGTATTTTTATTTCATTAAGGCAGTAATTCCCAATCCCGTGGATTTGTTAAAATTAAGGGCCAGTGCACTCTGACAACTTCATAAGGTTTATCAGTTAAAGTTTTATAGAATTCTTTATTAGAATAGAATAGAATTCTTTACTGGCCAAGTGTGATTGGACACACAAGGAATTTGTCTTGGTGCATAAGCTCTCAGTGTACATAAAAGACAAGATACGTTCATCAAGAATCATAAGGTACAACACTTAATGATAGTCATAGGGTACAAATAAGCAATCAGGAAACAATATCAATATAAGTTGTAAGGATACAAGCAACAAAATAAATGATCTAGATGGGGGGATAGAAAGGAGCATATCAGATTTCCAGATGACACCAAGTTATGGGGAATTGTTAACACATTGGAAGATAGACTGAACTCTCTGAGGGATCTTTACAGACTCAATAATTGAGCCCTAGCCAATAAGATGCAATTCAGTAGTGAGAAAAGTAAGGTCTTGCACTTTTCCTGCCCTTAGGCAGGAAAAACTAAATGCACAGATACAGAATAGGCGGTACCTGGCTCAATAATAGTAACTGTGAGAGGGAGCTAGGTGTAATATTGGGCAACCACTTAAGTATGAACCAGCAGTGTGCTGCAGCTGCCAAAAAGGCCAATACAATTGCATCAGTAGAGGGATTGCATCAAGATCACAAGAAGTGATAATATTGCTTTGTACTGCACTGCTGAGACCACACTTGGAATATTGTGTCCAATTCTGGTCACCAGGATAAAAGAATGCCGAGACTCTAGAAAGAGTACAACAAAGATGATAAGGGGTCTGGAGCAGTGGTGGAATTCAAAAAAAATTACTACAGGTTCTGTGGGCATGGCTTAGTGGACATGGTGGGGCTTGGTAGGCGGTGGCGGGGGAAGGATACTGCAAAATCTCCATTCCCACCCCACTTCAGGAGAAGGATACTGCAAAATCCCCATTCCCTCCCCACTCCTGGGGGAAGGATATTGCAAAATTTCCATTCCCTCACCATTCCAGGGGAAGGATATTGCAAAATCTCCATTCCCACCTCACTCTGGGGCCAGCCAGAGGTGGTATTTGCCGGTTCTCCCAACTACTCAAAATTTCCGCTACCGGTTCTCCAGAACCTGTCAGAACCTGCTGAATAGCACCCCTGGTCTGGAGGCTAAATTGTACAATGAACAATTAAGGTATGAACTAGGTATGTTTATTATTTATTTATTTATTTTATAAAATTTGTATGCCGCCCTATCTCCAAGGACTCAGGGCAGCTCACAACGACAATCGACCAAGCGACTATTAAAAACAACAATATACACCAAAAATAAAAAGTTTGGCCTAACAAAGGGAATAATTAGGGGTGATAAGCTGTGTTCCAGTACTTGAAGAGCTGTCACAGAGAAGGGAGGGCTGACTTATTCTCCAGAGCATTTGAAAGTAGAACCAGAAGCTAAAGAGTGATCCAGCCAGGAACTAAGGAGAAATTTCCTGACAGTGGAATTAATCAGAGTCATAAGTAAGGATTGGCAGCATATGGGCTGATGCTAGCAAATGATAATTGGACTTAACCATTATCTGACTTTATCTTTGACTGTTACTCTTTTAAATTACCTGAATACCTTTAAAAATATTGTTTTTAAAGGTATTAAGATAATTTAAAAGAGTAACAATCGGGATTCCCTGTGCACAGTCACTCACGCCCTTGTCACCTCTCGCCTTGACTACTGCAACGCTCTCTACATGGGGCTCCCCTTGAAGAGCACCCGGAGGCTCCAACTGGTCCAGAATGCAGCAGCGCGGGTAGTGACAGGAGCAGCATGGCGCTCCCATGTAACACCGCTCCTGCGCGAGCTGCACTGGCTCCCAGTGGTCTTCCGGGTGCGCTTCAAGGTGTTGGTTATCACCTTTAAAGCGCTCCATGGCATCGGGCCTAGCTATCTTCGAGACCGCCTGCTGCCACCGACGATCTCCCATCGACCCGTGCGCTCCCACAGAGAGGGCCTCCTCAGGGTGCCATCAGCCAAACAATGTAGGCTGGTGACCCCCAGGGGGAGGGCCTTCTCTGTGGGGGCACCTACCCTCTGGAATCAGTTGCCCCCAGAGATAAGGAGAATCCAAGACCTCAGTGCCTTCCGCCGTGCCCTTAAAACCCACTTTTTCCAGCAAGCCGGGCTGGCTTAAGAAGAAATTTTTAAATGTTTTAATTGGTTTGTGATTTTTTAATTTTGGGGCCAAATTTATATATATTTTAATTGTTTTTAATATTTGTATTTTATGTTTTTAATTCTGGCTGTACACCGCCCTGAGTCCTCAGGGAGAAGGGTGTTATATAAATTGGAAATTAAAAAAAAACAAAAACAATCAAAGTGTCAGGTTTGGAAGCCATATTAGGCCGGAAGCTTCCATGCTGCCACCTTCTCATGTGTGGGAAAGTAGGAGGGGGGATTTAGTAGATGGGTTGTCTTTAGAGATAATAGCATTCTTTCTGTTGGTCAAGGTCAGGGTGATCCTGCATGTGGAGAAGGAGTGGTCGGAGTGCTGTCTCGAGATGGGACGGCGGTTGATTGGAGCATGTGATCGATTGAGGAGTGAGGAGATGGTTTGGGGGTTTTTGATTTACTGAGGGAAAACCCAGACCTCTCAGATTCGGGTTTTCCCAGATGTGCCAGTTTACCTATTCTAGTAAATAGAACTTTGAAAAATGCTTGCATCAGAGTTTTTACTTGGAGTGGGGGGTTTTCTGGAACGCCGACACAAAGATAAAGTCAGATAATTGGTTATCTTGAGCTTGGAAGAGGCTGTTTGCTTATTTTAGCTGTATATTCACCCAAATGCACATGTGTTAACATGGAAGATTCTATGACATGAACTCACCGGTGGCCCACTTTCACCTTTTCTGCCAGTTTCTCCTGGTTGACCCTACGAAAAGACAAGACAAAACACAGTAAAACAGATTATAATATCAAGGTTTCTCTGGTGTTATCTGCTACCCATTTTCAGCCAGGTCACAACAAAAACTACTCTGGATTATCTTCTACTTGGTTTTGGGAGTGCCTTCAAGTCAGTTTCGAGTCTTGGTGACTGCCTGGAAAAGTCCCTGCAGTTTTTTTGGTAAGATTTCAGAAGTGTCTTGTCAGAGGTGAGGTGGCGCAGTGGTTAGAGTGCAGTACTGCAGGCTACTTCTGCTGACTGCCGGTTGCCTGCAATTGGGCAGTTCAGATCTCACCAGGCTCAAGGTTGACTCAGCCTTCCATCCTTCCGAGGTGGGTAAAATGAGGACCCAGATTGTTGGGGGCAATAGGCTGGCTCTGTAAACCACTTAAAGAGGGCTGTAAAAGCACTATGAGGCGGTATATAAGTCTAAGTGCTATTGCTATTGCTATTACCTGTTTCCTAGAGCTGAGAGAGAGTGACTGGCCAAGATCACCCAGCGGGCTTTGTGCCTAAGGCCAAACTAGGACTCACAGTCTTCTAGTTTGGGGCCTTACTCATTATACCAAATTGGCTGTCACTATGGTATAATGCTTATTTTTACATTATTTAGACCTGAGTTTGATCTGCATTCTCCTCTTTCCAGCCACGCCTTTTTTTTTTTCATAAATATAGGATGAATTTTGTTTCCATGCCTTCCTTTATCAAACTTCTCTTTTAGGTCATGTGTTGACCATGGCCAAGCAGATTGCACCACCAGAGAGAAGGATCTCCTGCAAAAGGTCACCTCTGAATCTCAGATAAAGAGTGCTATCTAACATTGCTAACTTTCCTGTTTTTATATAAAAATATATTTTTTTTCCTTACTGGAGATCCATCAAGTCCAGGAGAACCAACAATTCCAGGAGGTCCTGGGGGACCCTGCAAAAAATGTAGAAGACAAATACATTAAATTGTAAGCTGCCCAGAGTCATTGATTGAGATAGGCTGCTATAGATATTGAATAAATGAATAGATAAATTACATGAAATCCATCGATATGTTTTTATCACCAGCATTGTTTGTAACTTTCAATTTTTGTAGAGCTATCCACTTGCTACCCACTAGAAATAGGATGTCTCTTCTCTGTGTACAAAATAGAGCATTTCAACAAATATTACTTTTCCTAACACTATAGTTTTATAATGCAGTTTGTCCAAAAGGCAGTTTGACTGATGGGAGAACTGAGAAGTATAAATGTTTAAAAATTAGTTTTCATTGCTTTAGTCAATGTAAGCCCCTTTTTTTCCTGCCAATGAATAGCACTTGAGTGACATCTACCTTTTCAGAGAAATGATAAGGGATCGAAATAAAGTGAATACACAGTATTCTTCTTCTGTGAATTGTTGAAGACACAGCTCACTCTCTATTTGTTGTTTTCACAAGAAAGAAGTGATTAGTATATAGAAATATTTCTCATATTCCCCAAATCCATATGTGCTCTTCTTGTTCTGCAAGAAGGTATAAGGTGATGGCTAATCTTTTTGCCATCACGTGCCAAAAGCGTGGGGAGCATGGGGAGGGGGGTTGCGCGTGCTCACACCCATAGTTCTATGTGCCTCACCCCCCACACACACATGCATGTGTGAACCCCCCGCTTCCCCTGCTTTTGGCACACAATGGCATGATGGGCCTGGTAGGCCCATTTTTCGCCCTCCCCAGGCTCCAGAGCCTTTCTAGGAGCCTGAGGAGGGTGAAAAACACCTTCCCCACCATCCCGGAGGCCATCCAGAGGCTGGAAACAGCCCATTTGTCAACTTCCGGTGGGATCGGAAGGCCCATTTTCTCCCTCCCCAGGCTCCTAGAAAGGCTCCAGAGCCTGGGGAGAGCAAAAAATGGGCCTTCCTCACCCCCAGGCCCTCCAGAGGCAGGAAACAGTCTGTTTCCTTACTTCCGGTGGGCCCAGAAGGCCCAAAAATCAGCTGCCAGCACGCTCATATGCGCCGGAGCTGAGCTCGCATGCCCACCAATATAGCTGTGCGTGCCACCTGTGGTACGCGTGCCATAGGTTCTCCATCACGGGTATAGTGTCTCTGCCAGACCTGCCTCAGCTTGAACCTGCTTGAGCATGGGGCTGGACTAGAAGACCTCTGAGGTCCCTTCCAACTCTGGTATTCTGTTAAGAAATATCTTTGAACTTCTTGCCTAGTTCCAATCTCCTTTTAAAAAAATATTGCTATTTGATGTCCGCCCCCCCCACTCCTGCTGCTCTATCCACAAGCAATTCAATTTACCAGAAGTTTTATAGTAATTAAAAAAAGCCTAGCCAGCTTAAAAGAGAAACTGAGTTAAGAAAAGGTCAATCTACTCTTAACATGGGAAAAGGTAGAGCTTTTACAAAATTTGTTCTATGTTGTTTGGGTTCGTGTCACATTTCAAACTGTAATGAGAAAATGTCAAGGTGGACATTTTCTTGTTCTCATTCTTGTTCTTTCTTCAGTCACTAACATGGAATAAAAATCTAATACAAAATAAAAGTCCAAAGAGCAAGAATTTCCAGGCTCTTCGTGCACAGTGATCACAAAAGAAGTCACGATTTAAAAGAAAAAAAAATAAAGTGAATAATTCATTCAAGTAATTCACACTACATAACATATTGTAGGTTTTGAGCCTTCTCCAAGAAAATTCAGACAGTAAATTCTCAAAGCCTGGAATTTGTGTTTTGATATTCTTTAAAGCATCACTTACACAAGGGGCCCTCTGCCCTCTGTGTGTAGATCATTTGCACTTCAAAGGGCAATTCAAAATGTGTTAAAATATTTAAATTTAGTAGTTGGATCAGTGGGATTGTGCAGTCAGCCAGTACACACAGTTGTGGTTGATTGATTGGAGAATTCTGGCTCCTCCGTGAGGCAATCTGTGCTGTGATTGGCTGCTGTGGATGTGGAGGAGGAGTTTCCCTTTTTCTCCACCTTTTTCTTCTCTGTCCTCCATATGTTCTGTGATTTACCTCATGATGCTCCTGTTTGCCTGACTATCTAGTTTGCTGTATATATTGATGTAAAATATAAAATATAAATAAAACTACAAGTACATGTCAGCATCTATGATTTCATTTGGACACCAGCTGTGCAATTCCTTGACAAAGTGTAAACAAATGGCTTAGGGGAATTTTCCCTGAGGTCAAGAACCAGATGCATTTTGTAAATGTGGTCATGGAGGGCTTTGCAAGCAAACCAAGCCCTGTAAATAAAACAGCACAAAAGCTAACATTCAAGTTTCCACACTAGAAAACAGCTTCTTGATCTTACACAACACAAACATGATTTTTTTGATTTTTTTCAGCACCTTGGACAGAGATCAGACTGGTTCCTACTTACAGAAGGTCCCGGTAATCCATCAACTCCGGCGAGACCTACTTCTCCTTTCTTGCCCTAGAAGAGAGAATTGAAAGTTACAGTTGTGGCCAAAATTGTGGAACCTTTAGGGGAAAGTATATTTTTGAGGTTTGATGGCTAATAACACCACTTTTTTTTTTTTTTTTTTTTTGGAGTTTCAAGACAATCATATTCCACTGCTGGAATGACCTGGGAATAGCCCAGACCTTAACTCAATTGAAAATCTATTTTACAATATAGAATAGATGGTACCAGTGGATAAATCAGAGGAGGGGAACTGGGTAGAGATGAAATTTAGAAGAAATTAATATAATTAAAAACTGCACTGTCAGATGGATAGAAAATGAAATATGTCACTGTATGTTTGTTTATATGTATATATAATAATAGAAATTAGTTAGTAGGTGAAGTTGTGTACTGTATATGTAAATTTGTTTCTTGACTAAGAGAAACTTGTATGTTTTAAATGTTTTTAAGAATGAATAAAGTTTTGTTTTTAAAATTAAAAAAAAAAAAGAAAATCTATGGAGCCGACTAAAGAAACTTGTTAGTCAGAAACGACCCAGAAATAAAACTCAGTTAATAGAAGCAATCATTCAATCTTGGTTTCACATTACAACAGCTGTAGAACTAAAAGGCTTGGTTCACTCCATGGGAAGATATTTTAAGGCCATAATTCGTGCTAAAGGTTACCCAACTAAATATTAACTGACATGGTAATAGTTTTTGTATACCTCATTTTTTCTATGGTGATAATTTTTGTATATTTTGTTTTTTTTCTACATGTTTCACTTTTCTTCTTTATACTGTAACTGCTATTCTAAAAGCAAATCCTTCATAAAAGTTATTGCATTACATTCTTGATTATATTATCTTTTCATTGGTATATAATTTTATGGTCCTACTCCCCAAAAAAGTAGTGTTATTAGCTAGTTTTAGAAAATACACTTTTCCCAAAAGGTTTCCACAATTTTGGCCACTACATCATGAAAAGACACAAGTTGAACTGATCGTCTGACCAATTCATTATGAGTCATAAACTAAAACTAAATTTTAAGTAAGATAATTCCTTGGATTTTCAAGGGGTCTTCTTAATTTTACAGTATCTGTTTTAAACAGAATTATAATCCTTGATTTTGATACGTTAGGATTAGAGTGCTGCAACATGTTTCATGGGGAGTTTTCCTTAAAAAAGGTTGTTCAGATATTTCAACTGGACCAAAATGCTACAACCATATTGGAGTAGAAGACCTCCAAGGTCCCTTCAAACTCTTATTATTCTGTTACTAGAAGAAGCCAATGAAAATTCATGAAGACTGTTTAATAAAAAATATTTTTTTTTAAAAAAAAAGAAAATTCATGAAGACTCAGGAAAGGAATTGTCTACTTCTGACCAGAAGGGTTGTTGATGCTATGTTGCAACTTAAGTAGAATGTAATTATCTGCTAGTGTGATTAGATTTTTGGTATAACAATCGCTTTGGAGTACCACCATCTGTGTAGTTTCCACACTGTGCTGAAGGCATTTTTTGTGTATGTGTGTGCAAAATACAATTCAAATGAACAACATGAGTAAACGAGAAAAAAAAATATTGCTTTTTGAAAGAGACCACGTTCCTCTCATTGAAAGCAGGGCTGTTAAACAGGTCTTCTTTGGCTTCCATAAAAAGAAGGAGCTAAGAAAAATAAACTTGTAATTCAATATAGATTTATAGCACACCAGGGAAATTTTAATCTCATTTCTATATGAGAATTTATTATCCCAGAGTCCATTACATTATTTTTTTATGGGTTACCTGGTACAATTTTCATTACTACAGCAGAATGGAATCATGCCAGAAAAAATATGAATTCTCTATTCTGCAGCCCAGAAATTAGCAATTAAAAAAAAAATGACCCAGAGAGAAATGCATAGGGAAGGGGATGAAAGGGGAAGAAGATGGTTCAAATTTAAATTCAACCAAACAAGTATTCTAACAGAGAAAACTTTAACTAAACCAGATATTTAATTCCAAGATAATACAAAGGATTTGGGAACGAACTTTCAAAGCCAACCAACCCCATAGACATTATCTGGTTTTTTTTGTGTGTCAATTTTGGAGGCACAACCATGTCTCTATTTCTTCCTAAACCAGCATGGGGCACCATTTTCCCCCTGCTTTCCTCTTCTCTACAGAGTTACTATAAAGCTTCTTAGATCACTCTTAATTGTAATGGTGTTTAACCAAAAGAATTCTTTCCTTGTTTCAACATCACCTAAGGATAGTACCAAAGGTGCTTTTCTTTTCATTTCTTTTTTCCCCGTTTTTTATTTTTTTTTAATTTTTTTATAAAGATATCAAATCAATGTGTGAACAGTTTGGCACTTGGATGTCATACATTCTAATACAAATAAAACTAATCAGGTTAATCATAATCATTACATTCAATCCACTTGTATATTTCTAATAATAATAATACACACTTGTATTTTGTTATAGTCTATCATTGTTCAATTATTCCATGTTTTCTCTTGTTATTACTTTCATTTTATGATATAAAAATGTATACATTAATATACTCCCTTCTTTTATTTCTATCACTTATTCTACCTATCACCCTTTATTAAGAGACTCTTTCTTTCTTTCCTATCTAACTTCTAATCATGTCACCTACCTAAAAAAAGAAAAAGAAAAAAAAAAGGAAAAGAGAGAGAGAGAGAAAAGGAAAAACAACTCAGAACAACAACAAAAAGAGAAATCATCCATCCATCTTCTCTTGCCCGCTTTAATACTTTAATTATGTCTTGGTCCAGAATTGATATGATGTGGATGTCAGACGACTTATTATTTAACATACAAGAAATAAATATTGAAACAAGCACATGGGCGGATCGTAATCCGATGAAAATCACATGGAAGGGACAAAGAAAGAAATTAAGATGGACATTGAACTGAACAATTTTAAATGAAAAAGAACTCTTACAGCACATGGAAAAAGAGTTGGTTTTCTTTTTTTAAAGAGAATAGAAAAGAAGACACTTCATTACAAAATGTATGGGATACAGCCAAAGCATATATTAGAGGACTGGCAATAACATATGTGGGAAAGAGAAACAAAAAGAAAAGACAAGCAAAGAGCCCAGAGCCAGCCCTGAGGCAGAACACGAATGCAAGAACACATTCTCGGAATTGGCAACAATCATTGGGGATTTCCTGTTACATCTCAGGAACACAGAAGCTATTATAAAACATGGATGGCAATAGGCGAGAGGGAAGAGGAAAATGAACCATTTCTACTGGAAACCTGGCAGGCTAAAGCAGTATCTTCTTTGAAAAGCTGTTCCATAAAATTTACATCGCTGCACAATGTTAACCCGGGAAGCAACAAGGGGTTTTTAATATCTATGGAGAGTCTTAGTTTTCCAGGACATAGTTATCCCAAAGGTCCTTTTTCAAAAGGAAATTGGACTTTGTCCTTGAAGACATTTCGCTTCTCATCTGAGAAGCTTCTTCAGTTCTGATTGAATGGTGAAAAATGGAAAGGTTTATATTCCTCTGGTCATTAGTCCTCTTCCTGAGAGTTGTTGAGGCCACTTGGCAGTTTATCTGTGTCCTCCCTCTCTCAGCAGAGGGGGAGGAATATGACAGAGGTGGTATTCAGCCAGTTCAGACTGGTTCGCCCGAACCAGTAGCAGAAATCGTGGATGGCTCCGCCCACCTGTCCCAGCTCTATGCCATTCTATTTAGGCACACTTTTGAGGACAGGTGCATGCAGGGAAGGTTGCACACCAGCAAAACACATGCATGGAAGACCCAACACATGTGTGGATGTGCACACTCACATTTATGAACCTGTAGGAAAAGTAAGTGAATATTACCCCTGAATATGACACTACTTATCTTTCAGCAGTTCCAAGAAGGTTCCATACTCATTTGCACTACTCAGATGAGCCTGCGGGCACAGATAAACCCCCAAGTGGCCTCAGTGACTCTCAGAAAGTGTCCAAACAACCAGATGACTGCAAGGAACATAAATCCTTTCATTCTCCATCATTCAGTCAGAACTGAAGAAGTTTCTTGGATGGGGAGTGAAATGTCTTCAAGGAAAAACAAAGTCCAATTGCTATTTGGGACAAATGCAGAGGTGGTATTCAGCCGGTTCGTACCGGTTCAGGTGAATCGGTAGCGGTGACTGTATGTGGGCCCGCCCACTTGTCCGGATGTAATGCCATCCTATTTAGCCACGTTTTTGAGGCCAGGTCCATGCGCGGAAGGTGCATGTGTGAGCAAAGCACATGCACGGAAGGGCACACACTTGTGCAGATGGCACATACATGTGCAAACCGAGCATGCATGCACGGGGTGAACCAGAGGTAAGAATATTGGAAACCCACTGCTGGGCAAGTGATTTTTAAAATAATTTTCTAAGCTCAAAGCAAGAAAAGGGGAAAAAAAGATTGGTAGCATTTGTATCTTCTGAAATAAAGCAGATAACTCTACGAGGAAGGAGAGGATTTTAGTTGGAAGCATTTAAAAACAAGAATGATTGCTCACCCGTAGACCTTGTAGACCTGGAGGTCCCATCTTGCCTTCTGATCCGGGTGATCCCTGAAAATAATATATTTTGCCTTTACATTGCATACAGGGCCATTGATATTAAACGGTTTCTATTTTGGGGGGATGTCATAGGAAAAAAAATAGCTACCCCCTATAATATGAACCAAAGCAATGGAAATCGAAAACAACCCCCCTCAAATAGTGATAGCCAAACTGAGAAATTTGCTAATAGCATGACAAAGATTTACATTGGAGATAGAAAAGGTGCATCAAGAGTGATAATTAATTTAGTTTATTTTATTTCTTACATTTGTTTGCTGCCTGTCTCGTCTAGAGGTAGCTTACAAACATAAAGGTAAAGGTTCCCCTTGCACATATGTGCTAGTCGTTCCCGACTCTAGGGAGTGGTGCTCAGCTCCATTTCAAAGCCGAAGAGCCAGCGCTGTCCGAAGACGTCTCCGTGGTCATGTGGCTGGTATGACTAAACACCAAAGGTGCGCGGAGCGCTGTTCCCTTCCCACCAAAGGTGGTCCCTATTTTTCTCCTTGCATTTTTTACGTGCTTTCGAACTGCTAGGTTGGCAGAAGCTGGGACAAATAACGGGAGCTCACTCCGTTACGCGGCACTAGGGATTCGAACCGCTGAACTGCCAACCTTTTGATCAACAAGCTCTGCATCTTAGCCACTGGGCCACCGTGTCCCTAACTTTACAAACATTAAAACCTGGTAAATATTAAAACGATAAAAAAGAGCAATAGTAATAATTTACAGTTAAAAGATGGGGGGAAAGGAGCACAAAATACACAGAGGAGGTGAGGTCTTCTCCTAATCCGATAGGCACCTCCAGAATGGTGCTCCCCCATTGGGACCCCAGGCCAACTATGTAATGAAATTATACAAACAAGAAAAGCAATATCATGATCACTAAAATATGCACCTACCTTCTTTCTACTAAGTTATACTATTGATCTGTTAAACCAGTACTGTGTACTATAGTGATTCTCTTAGATCTTTAACAGAACTATTTCTCAAATCATTACTGCATTATTTCCTGACTTCAAAATGAAACATAGTCTAGTTTCAGGTGATGCTTAATGTACTCTATTATTATATACAGTAATGTAGGAGATGACCAGTCTGAGCCCAGGGGAGGGGGTCAAATGGGCCATCAGTTTGGAGTCCCCCTCATGCCCACAAAAGTTCTAAGCCTAGCCCTCCTTGAATTCCATTGACTCTTCTCTACCACCAATTTTCCTTGACCATTAGTAGTTCAGATTCTTGTGGAGAGCTAGCATTGAATGAACGTGTATTCATCTGAACAACCTTGGTTCCTGGTTACTCGCCCCTGACAAGTAGGTCATTCAGATTACAAATAATTCATTCATTCAGAAATAAAATTACTTACTGGGGTACCTGGAGTTCCTGGAGGCCCCATAGGCCCCCGTGGGCCAGGAGCTCCCTATAAACAAATTTCAAAGTTAAAATAAGAAGTATCAAAGTTAATGTATATATGTATTTACATGTTCAAATACAGATAGATAATCCTGTTAGTTTGAGTATATATGTAATTTAGAATTGTACTTTTTTTATAGAGTTAAGAACGTTTTGTATAATCTTTTATTTTTTAAATTGAATAAAGTTTGTTTTTAAAATTGAAAAAAAAATAAAGTAAAATAAGAAGTATGGAATTTTGCTTTGCATTCAAACTCTCCTGATGGGGTCTGAGATTTATAATATCCACTTTTCATCATTCTCCAAGTGGAAGAATCTTTCTTTTTTACATCTCAAGTATCCCAAGTTAAAACAACAAAAGTATGTAGGTATTTTTGTAAGGGTAGGTAAGTGTAGCATAATATTATCTGAGATGAATGGCATTTTTGCATCAGGTTTTTTAATATATTGACCAGATCGATCTAAACTGCACAAAAACAAATTATCAAGGCATTTGTTTCATACACTTGGTTGTCTTTTTTGTATATGTACCTTTTTACCACTATTAAGAGTTAATTGTTTTCTGGTAATTGACACCTTTTGAGAGATAACGTTGGACAGATTAGTGGACATAAAATATTCCTTTTTCTCCAAACTTCAACCTATTTTTCTCTAAAATACTTTCTATAATACATATAGAAATCCTAGTGGACAACCATTTAGATATGAACCAGCAGTCTGCAGCAGCTGCCAAAATACCCAACACAGTTCTGGGCTGTATAAACAGAGGGATAGAATCAAGATCATGTGATGTGTTAATACCATTTTATAATGCCTTGGTAAGGCCACACTTGGAATATTGGATTCAGTTTTGGTCGCCACAATGTAAAAAAGACGTTGGGACTCTAGAAAGAGTGCAGAGAAGAGCAACAAAGTTGATTAGGGGACTGGAGGCTAAAACATATGAAGAACGGTTGCAGGAACTGGGTATGTTTAGCTTAATGAAAAGAAGGATTAGGGGAGACATGATAGCAGTCTTCCAATATCTCAGGGGTTGCCACAAAGAAGAGGGAGTCAAACTACTCTCCAAAGCACCTGAGGGCAGGACAAGAAGCAATGGGTGGAAACTAATCAAGGAGAGAAGCAACTTAGAACTAAGGAGAAACTTCCTGACAGTTGGAACAATTAATCAGTGGAACAACTTGCCTGCAGAAGTTGTGAATGCTCCAACACTGGAAATTTTTAAGAAGACGTTGGATAACAATTTGTCCGAAGTGATGTAGGGTTTCCTGCCTGGGCAGGGGGTTGGTCTAGAAGACCTCCAAGGTCCCTTCCAACTCTGTTATTTTATTCTATTCTATTACATGCATTCTTAAAATAGATTAATGTAGGTAAATTCATTCTTTGAATGTTGGACATTATTGCATTTTCTTTTTAAAAGAGTTTGGGGTCTCAAAATAAATTAGCTTATTTTGCTCAAAGAAGCACGCACGGCTCTTTTTCTCCACAACTGCAAACCTGTGAGGCTGGTGCCACTGAGAAATGGCCAAACAACACCCTGTTGGTTTCTTTGGCTGGAGGTGGGTTTAAATGTAAGCCTCTCTGGTGTCAATTCAATTTACTTTAATTAATACACTACACAATGTATTTCTGTATAATAATTCTCAGAGTGCAACTTTTAGGATTAAAACTGTAACTATTGTACTGTATGCCTGTATGTAGGTGTTGTGGCCCGCCAGTGGCCTACGTGGATCGTGGCTGATCCCGACGACGAGGAGGCTGGTGTGGGGTTGCGCCAGCAGCCTGCGCAGCCGGTGCTCGCGTCAGACAGCGAGGAGGCTGAAGAGGATGTGGTGCCAGAGGCAGAGACTCAGCCAGGGCCTTCAGAACCTCCAGTGGCTCCTTCAAGTGTAGAGAGCGAAGTGGAGGAGCCTCTCCTCAATGCTCAAGCACGCAGGGCTGCCAAAAGGCAGGAGTGGCTACTCAGGAGGAGGAAGTCTCCTCAAGAGTAAGGTTTGAAGATAATTGGCCACTCCCTTAGCCTATTTAAGTAGCAAGTAGTTAGTAATTTCTTGCTGGAAACAACGTGTAATTATTACAGAGCATTTTGGAGAGTGAGTGTCTTATTGTATCTTGTTTTCTGGGCTGGTTGCCAACCTTTGCCGGACTTTGTTTATTCTTGGTACCTTAGAACTTTGATAAGAACTGTTGGTGTGTGTCACAATCCTTGGGAATCAGGAGCTGGGGCAGAACAGTAGGTGAGCATGTGCGTGCGCAAGAAGTAGGGGATTAATTTAAAATCTGAAGAAAATAAAACCCATGAGAGCCTAAATTTCACTTAAGTAGACTATCTGCTGTTCCTCTACCTTGTCCTAATGGAAAGATAAAGAACAATTCATTTGGATGAATTGGATGAACAATTCAGTGGGTGGATGAGTGTAACTTTGAAATAAATACTATTATGAGGAAAATAATTTCCCATCTAGAGCCATCCAGCAGGTCAAAAAAAAAAAAATCAAGATGGTGGATATAATCTTGCATTTGACACACAAAAAAGGGGCTGGGGTCTTATCCAGTGGTGAAATTCATTTTTTTTACTACTTGTCCTGTGGGCGTGTCTTGGTGGGTGTGGTGTGGCTTGGTGGGCATGGTTTGGTGAGTATGGGTAAGGGAAAGGATACTGCAAAAATCCCCATTCCCACCCCACTCTGGGGCCAGCCAAAGGTGGTATTTGCCAGTTCTGCTATTGGTTCTCCAGAACCTGTCAAAACCTGCTGAATAGCACCCCTAGTCTTATCCCATGATCACAGCAGACTTCTTGACTATGTTTTGATACCACCTGCAGAAACCCCTTTTATTAGATGCTGATGGTTTTTGTAGTGGAAAGCTATGCAGCACCCAGCGTTTAAAAAGTGCTTTGTATTTTTTTGCCAGTTTTTCGTGACTTCAAAATTAAGACATAGAAGTATCATTTCTGAACACAGAATGAATTTAAGTGATTTCGAGAATACCGTATTTTTCGGAGTATAAGATGCACCGGAGTATAAGACACACCTTCATTTTTGGGGAGGAAAATAGGGGGGGGGGAATTCTGCCTACCAGGTATTCATCTGGCTAGTCCCAGAACATTAATGGGGTTTTAATGGGGTTTTTAAATTTTCGATTTTATTGATTCTGGGTTTTAAATTGGGAACTTTTCGATTTTGTAGATTTGGGATTTTAAATTGGAAATGCCGATGATTTAATTTATTTTAGTTTTTTCTTAACTTTTGTACTATATGTGTTTTAAGTTTGGCTGTCCACTGCCCTGAGTCCCCCTGGGGAGAAGGGCGGTATATAAGTTGAAATAAAATAAATAAAATAAATAAATAAAATTAGTTCACTCGCTGGTTTTGAAGTTGGGGCTGGTTGGGGCTAAAAAACAGCTTCTAAAGCACAGCTGATTGTCAGAGGGAGCAGCAATTAGAAAAGCAGGCAAAGCATGGAAGATCCCTTCGCTCACATTGGGGCTGAAAAACAGCTTCAAAAGCACAGCTGATCCTTGGAGGGAACTCCAATGACTGAAGCAGGCAAAGCACGGAAGGTGTAAGAGAAGGCAGCAGCTGTTCCGGGTAGCCATTTTGGGCACCGCACGGGGTTACATTCGGAGTATAAGACACACCCAAATTTTCAGCCTCTTTTAGGAGGGAAAAAAGTGTGTCTTATACTCCGAAAATACGGTATTCTACCTGAACATGTATCACCTACACTAAAAAAATTAGAAACACTTACTTGCTCTCCTTTCAAGCCTTCGATCTGTACCTGAAACAAAAAAGATTATCTATAAAAAAAGAAGGGAAAAAAAAATCTGGTGGGGTTTTTTTGGTAGCAAAAATGTATATAAGGAGCATATTTAAGGTCCATATATGACGATAGTGTTTTGTGGGGGGGGGGGAATGAATGAAGGAAGAGAGTGAGAATCATTTGAAGCAGATAAATGTATACCACACATATTATGAAACACTAATGATTCAGGGTCTCAACAATTGTGTGAAAAGTCCCTTGGAAATTACATTTGAGAAACTATTCCTCTCTGACTTGGCACCAGCAATAATGACCACTGTGAGTAGCAAAGCTAAGAGTAAAGTTACAAACAACACATTGGAGTCAGAGATATAAAGCTGAATTGGAAGCAAGTAATGAGTCAGCTAAACTGTTCTATAAAACTACAGATTGGGTTGCACGGAGAATCTTCATAAGTGATCAATCCATCTTAAAAGCTGGAGGGAGGTTAACCTATGAAATCTATTTCGGTTACCTGAAAAAATGGTAATGACTATGAAAAATGAGACCATTTTGTTTTTGAATTGCTACAATAAATGTTCCCTTCAGCCTGTGGCACTTTATACCTACTGAAATAACAATATCAATAATGAAGTTTTAATAGAATTTGTAGGACAACTTCAGAACCCACTGAAAAATGGCTAACGGTGAAAAGTGAATGCATGGTAACGCAGTCAGAGTAGTTCAAAATGTTATCCAACATATATTTTCAAAAGTGACACAGGTCACATGTACAATCTAACCATCATTGTTACCATTAATTATATATTAGGCTGTTTGATATGCATGTGTACAACATAATTGATTTCCCTGTCAGTTTGCAACCTATTTCAGGATTGTAAACTTAATCATAATTGTGATTAATGAACCTTAATCATGAGGATTATGTGTCAGGAATTGGCTTTCACTTCATTATCCCCCATATTAGATCCATCTCATTCTGGGCACCCTTTTTTTTTTGAACTATTACCATCTGGCAGACGGTACAGGATAATAAAAACAAGGACAAATAGGCTGAAAACAGCTTCTATCCCAGGGAAGTAACTATATTGAATTCTACTGTATAGTGCAATATTAATGCAATATCGGGTTTTCAATTCAATTGTATAGAATGTGAAGGATATGTGTTTGTGTTTTATTTTTATAGTTATAGTGTACACTGAAGATGACATTTAATTTGTTGTATGAGGTGCAATGACAATAAAGTCAACTAAAAACTAAAACTAAAAATTATTAGCACAAGCTCTACTCAAGATTTCTTCCTCTTGATCCCCAAATTGCAAAGCATGAAGTTGGACACATTCCAATTTTTTAGCATTAATCCATGGACATGAATATGGCTTCCTTTTATCAAAGATAGGAGATATTCACAAGGGTTATAAATCCCCAATTCCACAATTAGAGGGAAGGAAGAATCAGAGTATTACAACATATGGGGGCAATTTTATCAATGGATAGAGACTGAATATAGACAATAGACAATGTAAAAATAAGAAACATGGGAAAATATGTTGTTATACATTAAATTTAAATGTAAGAAGAAAGATAAATATGTACTAAGAAAATGATGATAAATGTTGAATATGATGGCACAAAAAATTCTATACCCAGATGTTACACTGATTGATTAATGATGAATTGTTTGTTTAAAAATAAAAAAAAAACTTATAAAAAATAAATCCCCAATTCCACACCAATTCCAGAGGAGTCATTTTTCATCATCCCATGCCAAAGCTGTGTATAAAATAAATCTTACTGCTGAGCCTGGTTTACCAGGGGGACCGATATCACCCTATAATTGGAAACAAATCAGAGAAAAATAATTAAATGGATGACCTGTAAGAGTCTCCTACAGCCTGATTAGCTGATTTATATCAGTGTTTCTCAACCTTGGCAATTATAAGATTCTGTGCAGTTTGGAAAAACCCCAAATCCCACTCCTGGCTGGCCCTGCCCACCCTGCCCCTCCCCTCCCACGAGTCCCCCCTCGTGGCCCATTTTGGGTGAAGGTAAGTGCAGGGCGCGCATAGAGGCTCAGGGAGGGCAAAAAACGGGCCTACTGGAAATTCGGGAAGGCCAGAAACGGGCCTGTTTCCAGCCTCCAGAGGGCCTCGGGAGCCTGGGGTGGCCATTTTCACCCTTCTGGAGGCTCGAAAAAAGCCTCCGGAGCCTGGGGAAGACAAAAACACCCCACACACACAACGTGGTGAAGGAGGCTGACTAGGCCACGCCCATCATGGCCGTGCCCACACAGCAACCAGGCAGAGAACCCCTTAATAAAATTTTTGAAGCCCACCCCTGGATTTGATACACCACATAGACTTATCCCACTGGAGAACCCCTGCTGATTTCAGTGGGGAAATAAACAAAAAATGTGCAAAAAAAAAGGAAAATCCTACATCAATTACTTAATCCATGTAGACTTCAGCCACTGTAATGTGCAAAAACTATGATCTGGCCACGAAAAATGTGATTACTCTATTGGCAGCCTAATGAAAACAATTTAAATAATATTGACTATTTGCCTCCAAGTTGATCAGAAACTCTTACTAAGTAGATTTTGTTCCTGATGGTAAATGAAAATGAATGAATAAACTGAATGAACAAATAAATGTATGCCTATAGACAGATACATGCAATATTTGTATAGCGGTTACAAAAATGATGTTGAAGAGATTTGGAGGGACTGCAAACATAGGGCCTGTTTAAAGCAGCAACATCTACAGTATTTTTAAGCCTGAAAACAGAAAATCTTCAGGCATTAGACTGAAAAAGATATTGTTTTAAAAGATCATCTACTTATGCTAGCTGTATCTTTAGTGCATTTTTTTAAAGATGCATCTGCTTTCAAGCTTGCTGTCGCCTACATTCCAATTATTTTAAAAGTAATCTTCAAAGCATGAATAGACATACATCAGTCCTTTATATAATCCTCATTTTACCTTCTCTCCTTGCAGTCCTACAGGTCCAGGTTGACCTGGACTTCCTTTGGCACCCTGAAATAAAAATAACCAGATGTCAAAAAGTGTTCAAGATAGTAATGCTTTAAAATAAAGACAAGGATCAGAAGAGATGAGCATTGGGTCTTCTTAAGAGGCCCAGAAAAGTGACGTTATAGTAGAACTTAAGGTAATATCCTCAGGGCCAACAGTCCAACTGATGAATTCAACAAAAATAGACAACTTCAGGAACTTTAAAATCCCAAAAGCAAACTTTATTGAGTACATCGTTTTGGCACTGATGAATGCAAAACCAGCTCTAACTTTTCCCGCACAATCCCACATAGTTAAAGAATAGATGTCCCCTTTGCTCCCCATGGAATGCGTCATATTAACCCAGGGGTGTCAAACTCTGCAGGCCAGATGCGTCACAAGCTGACCACGCCCACCCCCAGTTTAATGAAGGAAGAAAAAGTTGCAATACATCACGTGATGACAACATGATGCCGTGAGTTTGACACCCCTGCATTAACCAATTATGAATCATTCTTTTGTTTTGAGAACAATCCATGGCTTGACCGACACCTAAAGAAGTGTCCTTGATGGTTACTTGGATCTCACAGTTGAACCTCCACATTCCACCTCACCCCTCCTCTTCCCCCTTCCTTTGGCAAGCTGAAGAATCATAGCATTCACATGAAGCATAATCTATTTCAATATTGACACTCACTCAATATCCCAATTTCAAATCAAAGCTAGGTTAGGTTGCACTGTAAAATTACCTCTTAACATTAAAAAAGGGTTTGTTGTTTCCTATGAAAAGGTGTAAACTTGCCTGCTTTAAAAGTGAGTAATAATATGTGGGGGAAAGTTTTGGTGGAACAAATTTGTCTTAACAGCAGTTTTTAGATGAGAGATTTTTGTTCTTTTAATTTGTTTTTGGAACACACCGGCAAATAAATCAAAACTGCACAACTCACTTTTGAAACTCTATTGTACTGAGACTACTAATTCATCAAGCTTAGACTGGTAAACATGCCTGACTTTCCACTCATCTAACAATATGCAAACTATGTTGATCCAACTAATCAATCATTCTGTATTCCTTAGTGGCCAAGTGGTTCTTTCAGTAAACTCCCAAGCATGGAACATTAATGCCAGAAACATAAAGCTATAAGAATACAAAGAAGTAGTTATGGATAAATCATCCTGGTAAAAGGATGTCCATGAGATCATGAAGAATCAGAAGCATGTATGCTTCTGTTTTGTTCTGCATGTATACCAAATACAGATTATAGAATAACAGAGTTGGAAGGGACCTTGGAGCTCAAGCAGGAGACCCTATACAAGTGATGGCTAACCTTTTTGCCATCGGGTGCCAGATGGGAGTCTAGGAGTCTCTGGAGGTTGGGGACAGCAAAAAATGTCACTTCCTGTCCAACCGGAAGTTGGGAAATGGGCCGTTTCGGGCCTCCGGAGGGCCTCCGAAGGGGTGGGGAAGGCTGTTTTTGCCCTCCCCAGATGCATAGAGAGGCCCTGGAGCCAGGTAAGAAAGAAAAACGGGCCTTCCCCACCCACCCCCCAGCCCTCCGGAGGCAGGAAACAGCCTGTTTCCCTACTTCTGGTGGGCCCAGAAGGCCCGAAAATCAGCTGGCCAGTGCACGCATGCGTGCCAGAGCTGAGCTGGTGTGCCCACTGATATGGCTACACATGCCACCTGTGGCACGTGTGTCATATGTTCGCCATCACGGCCTTATACCATTCCAGACAAATGGCTGTCTAGTCTCTTCTTGAAAACCTCCAGTGATGGAGCACCCAGAATGTCTAAAGGCAAGCCATTCCACTCATTAATTGTTCTCACTAACAGGAAGTTTCTCCTCAATTCTAGGTTGGATCTTTCCTTGATAACCTTCTATCCATTGCTTTTTGTCCCGCCCTCAGATGTTTTGGAGAATAGGTTGGCCTCCTCTTCTCTGTGACAGCCCTTCAAATATTGGAAGATTGCGATTCCTTCTCTTTGTAGAAAAAAAAGTACAAAGCTGATTTGATTATTGGACCTTGGATCCAAATGATTAATTTGTCACCACAGAGGACAAAACCAAAATGTTTGTCCTGCAGGATAGTCACATGTAGACCAGTCTGAAAAATGTTTTCTGAATCTTATTGGAAAGCATGAGGTATGATAAATAGTTAGAGGGAAAACCATTTCTTCAGTTAGCAGTGGTCATTAACTAAAATAAACAGATGTGTTAGAATAGAGTAGAGTAGAGTAGAGTAGAGTAGAGTAGAGTAGAGTAGAGTAGAGTAGAGTAGAGTAGAGTAGGATAGGATAGGATAGGATAGGATAGAATAGAATAGAATAGAATAGAATAGAATAGAATAGAATAGAATAGCCTTCCCCACCCACCCCCCAGCCCTCCGGAGGCAGGAAACAGCCTGTTTCCCTACTTCTGGTGGGCCCAGAAGGCCCGAAAATCAGCTGGCCAGTGCACGCATGCGTGCCAGAGCTGAGCTGGTGTGCCCACTGATATGGCTACACATGCCACCTGTGGCACGTGTGTCATATGTTCGCCATCACGGCCTTATACCATTCCAGACAAATGGCTGTCTAGTCTCTTCTTGAAAACCTCCAGTGATGGAGCACCCAGAATGTCTAAAGGCAAGCCATTCCACTCATTAATTGTTCTCACTAACAGGAAGTTTCTCCTCAATTCTAGGTTGGATCTTTCCTTGATAACCTTCTATCCATTGCTTTTTGTCCCGCCCTCAGATGTTTTGGAGAATAGGTTGGCCTCCTCTTCTCTGTGACAGCCCTTCAAATATTGGAAGATTGCGATTCCTTCTCTTTGTAGAAAAAAAAGTACAAAGCTGATTTGATTATTGGACCTTGGATCCAAATGATTAATTTGTCACCACAGAGGACAAAACCAAAATGTTTGTCCTGCAGGATAGTCACATGTAGACCAGTCTGAAAAATGTTTTCTGAATCTTATTGGAAAGCATGAGGTATGATAAATAGTTAGAGGGAAAACCATTTCTTCAGTTAGCAGTGGTCATTAACTAAAATAAACAGATGTGTTAGAATAGAGTAGAGTAGAGTAGAGTAGAGTAGAGTAGAGTAGAGTAGAGTAGAGTAGAGTAGAGTAGAGTAGGATAGGATAGGATAGGATAGGATAGAATAGAATAGAATAGAATAGAATAGAATAGAATAGAATAGAATAGATAGAATAGAATAGAATAGAATAGAATAGAATAGAATAGAATAGAATTTTTTATTGGCCAAGTGTGATTGGACACACAAGGAATTTGTCTTTGGTGCATATGCTCTCAGTGTACATAAAAGAAAAGATATGTTCATCAAGAATCATAAGGTACAACACTTAATGATAGTCATAGGGAACAAATAAGCAATCAAATCATATTAGGAAACTGTCAATATAAATCATAAGGATACAAGCAACAAAGTTACAGTCATACAGTCATAAGTGGAAGGAGATGGGTGGTGGGAACGATGAGAACGATGAGAAGATTAATAGTAGTGCAGACTTAGTAAATAGTTTGACAGTGTTGAGGGAATTATTTGTTTAGCAGGGTGATGGCGTTTGGGGAAAAAACTGTTCTTGTGTCTAGTTGTTCTGGTGTGCAGTGCTCTATAGCGTCGTTTTGAGGATAGGAGTTGAAACAATTTATGTCCAGGATGTGAGGGACCTCTTTTTGACTCATGCAGTATACAGGTCAATAAAAATTCTAAACAGATGTGTTCTTTTCAACTGTGAGATGGAAGACCTGAAATGAATCAAGTTGTTCATGTGGAACATTTTGTATAGTCCACAATGCTTTTCTGTTGCCCCATCAGGCCACTGGAGGAACCACCATTTTAAATGTAAAGGATGTGTGGTAGAACTTGGTGTCAGGTTTATGCAAAGCATTGCAAGAGCTGATTACCAGTCCTAAATCTTTGTAGTGCATATGCACAACTTGTTCTAAAAAGGATTCTATTTCTTTAACTTAAAAATGAAACACATACCTGTTTTCCATCCAAGCCAGCCTTCCCAGGAAAACCATCTAGGCCACGTTCTCCCTGAACAAACAAACATAAAGGTTCTGTTGGAGATCTCATTCCATGAAGTAGTCTTGGAAAAGCTTTTCATTTTCCAAGGGATAAAATATGGAAGTAGATTGATTTGAACTGCTAGCAAACATTTCTTGTTTGATTTCCTATCGTAGATTCTGAACTCCAACCTGCACTGAATTGTGTTCCTGGTTTGGATTGTTTTCTTCTCTTTTGGCCAGCAGGACACCCAATTACCAGCCCATCTTTGGACAATATTTTATATCTCCAGTCTATTCCCTATATAGTGTTTCTCAAATTAAACCTATGCTTATTTGCTTCATTGCTGAAGAGTGGTGCGGTGGCCTAGAGGTGGAACTCTCGCCTCACAATAAGGAGGCTGTGAGTTTGATCCTAGGTAGAGGCAGATATTTCTCTCTCTGGGCACACTGAGAATATATCTACTGAACAAATCTCCATATTGGCGATAGGAAGGGCATCCGGCCATTAAAACACTCTGTTAGGTCCATTCAGTTGCCCAGACTCCATCCCTCAAGGGATTATGGGGTCATTAAATGAAGATGATGTTTGCTTCAGGGCTGAGATTGAAAACATCCGAAAGGCAGTGAATTAATTATTTAATAAATTTGATCAATTCAAACAATGAACTGATATCTTTATACAGACCATGTTTGGTCAACGACAAGGGTGAAGATTCCTGATCATATTACATGTATGTAGACTGCATAGAATATATTACATCTAACATAAGTTTTAAAATGATCTAACTCAGGTGGACTTCCAGAGAAATGTATTGTCCTAAGTGTAGCATATTTGACATGGAATGTCTATCATGAGCCAATTCTGTTCCAAACTTGTACTCATATTTACATCATATTATTTGACAAATTATTTGTACCTTGTCACCACGTGGTCCTTTTTCTCCTCTTTCCCCTTGCAAACCCTAAAAAAAAGTAAGTAAGTAAGAAATCACAGAAATCATATTGACCCCAATACCTCTGAGCTATTGGCTGGCTAGGAATGTTCACAGAGTGGCTTAATAAATGTTGAGTATCCTTGAAGAAAGAAGATATCTTAGACTCTATTATTGTTGAAATGCCCTTGAGCTTGGTTGTCTTCTTGCAGATGTTTCAAAGAAACTAAGTAACATCATCAGTGCAAAAAGCTCAGAGAGCAGCAAGGATAAAATAAAATAGAATAACACTATACAACATTTTTTTAAAATGTCTATGCTAATTGGTCTTGGAGCATTGATCAACAAACTCAATATTTTGTCTTTAATCTACTTTTTAAAAAATAAACTTTGACAACCAGATAAAGGAAGCTAATGAAAACTGAGTGACCTTCTTCAACAAAAGGCATGACCTCATCTGATGAACAGTGACATTATTCAACAAGCAAAAGCTGACATTATAAAGGAACAAGATGTATAATCCATGTGAGGAGAACCCATAGAATTAGAATGATATTATCAATCCATATGAGCTTTGTTGAGGTCAATATATGTACACTTGCTATGGATAATTTATACAAAATTGACTATCTCCATGAACTTAATTGTGTACAGCAGCTCGCCAGAGGGATAAATCTATGTCCATAAATCCATTGGAGTCAAAGTTTCTCCAAAGAACAGTCTAAATTATTCCTCAACATTTTGTAAAAACTAATATCAGTTAAATGGGATATAGTTACAACCTACCAAAGACAAGCTGAAACCAAAAAGGCTAATTATTATGAAGTTGTTTTATTCCTGAACAAACGTTGTTTCATCGGGGATCTGAACAATTAGGTTACAGCAAATTAAAGCCTAAAAAAAACCATTTATTTCTCATTAAGCAAAAAAAACCCCAAAACACTGTTACACAATGTGTCTGGAATATGATGTACGAATGGGGAAGAGAGGGCATGTCCAAAAGGATACTTACATCTGGCATATGTAATTCCTAATCCTTTTCTATTTTGCCCATTTGGGTTATGCAAATACTCAAACTGGTTCGGACATCTGAAAATTTAATGCAGACTTAAAAGTTCTAAAGATGGTAAAAGAAGCTACAGTAGACAAATACAGTAGTGCCCAAATTATAGAAACCTTTTGGGGAAAGTGTATTTTTGAGGTTTGATGGCTAATAGCACCATCTTTTTTTTTTTGGAGTTTCAAGATAATCATATTCCACTGCTGGAATGGCCTGGGAATAGCCCAGATCTTAACCCAATTGGAAATCTATGGAGCTGACTAAAGAAACTTGTTAGTCAGAAACGACCCAGCAATAAAACCCAGTTAATTGAACCAATCATTTAATCTTGGTTTCACATTAGAACAGCTGCAGAACTAAAAGACTTGGTTCACTCCACGGGAAGATGTTGTAAGGACGTAATTCATGCTAAAGGTTACCCAACTAAATATTAACTGACATGGTGATCATTTTTGTATATCTCTTTTTTTCTAAGGTGATAATTTTTTATATGTTGTTTTTTCTACGTGTTTCACTTTTCTTCTTTATCCTGTAACTGCTATTCTAATAGCAAATCCTTCATAAACGTTATTGCATTACATTCTTGATTAAATTATCTTTCCATTGATATATAAATTTATGGTACTACTCCCCAAAAAAGTGGTGTTATTAGCTAGTTTTAGAAAATACACTTTTCTCAAAAGGTTTTCCACAATTTTGGCCGCTACTGTATGTTACCTCAAGATTGCAAAATTGATTGGCTCAAACACAAATTCCTAAGGAATGATTATGTCCACCGTTGACCTTCTCAGATGCATGACTCATAATGTGAAATTAAAAGGACTTCTGAGTAAATCAGTTCTGCCTTTCTTTAATTCCAAACTTCATGGGATATTAAAGGAGCTTCTTTTCCAGGGCTGGATTATCTTGGGAATTGAATCAGAAGGGCTGCAGATCTCTACCTTTGAGTGGAATTGTTCTACCTTCCTTAACTTGATAACCTAACCAAATATCTGTGTAAAATATGCAGTGCTCTGATTCTGGTTTGAGAATCATGTATCTTCTTGCCAGACAATTGAATTTTAAAAAAGTATACTGCATTCATTTAGAGCAGAGGTCCTCAAACTTGGCAGGTTTAAGACTTATGGACTTCAACTCCCAGAATTCTCCATAGCATAGCTGGCTGGAGAATTCTGGGAGTTGAAGTCCACAAGTCTTAAACCTGCCAAGTTTGAGTACCCCTGATTTAGAATATTAAGTTAATGATGACGACAAATCCTAACTTACAGGTGCTCCAACATAACCTTGACGTCCTGGGGGACCTGAACCCCCTTCTTCTCCCTGGGCAAAAATGAAAGGAAAACAACATCTGAGAAGATAATCAACATTTACGGTAGATTATTTACATGAACAAATGTAAATCCTCTTTAACAGGTTAATTCGACAGTATTGTAAACATCTTGTTAGCTTTCCTGAAAAGCAAATTACTTGAGTGTTAAAGCCAGGTGGCTAATCACCAGTATATTTTTGTGCTTGTGATGAAGCAATTCTGGGTAAATTGATATAAAGATGAAACATCATGATATTGTCCATATGTTGTACCAGATGATGATCAGCTACTTATTCCATCACTGGATAAAGCCATCATTTCCCATCATATGCATGTCACACAATGTGCTTCTGGATTAACTGGATTAATCCGACAAAAAATTCAGGAGGGGCTGCATGTGTTTGGCTCAACTAAAAGAAAGCTCTTAGCTGATTTTCTCTGAAATCACAAGCTTCAGATAATCTAAGAACTAAGACTGAGAAATAAAAAATAGTATGTATTTATATATGTATGTGATGTATGTACTCATTCATTCATTCATTCATTCACTCATTCATTCAAACTTATTTGCTGCCCAAATCCAGAGATACATCCAGAGGGATGTCTCGGGGATTGTGAGTCCTGAAGTCATTTTCCCCCTGGCACCTTCAGGGTTGCCACAGCGGAGATGAGTCAAGCTATGGGAAAAGGAGGGGGGAGGTAGAGATAGCTGGGGGATTGTAGCCATAATAAAATTCTTTCCTCTGAGAACCAAGGACTTTCTCACCAGGTGCAAGGAGGTGGGATCTGAGACCAACTGACCCTTGGAGTATGACCTGATTGGATCATGTGATGGATTGCATGGGTGGGGGAAAGAAAACTTTACTTTTAATGGGGGGGGACCCAAGGGGGGGGGGTTTAGAGTCGGGTTTCCCCAGACATGCCAACATGACATGCCTAATAAATCTATGCTTTGAGGAATATGCTTGCCTTGGAGTTTTGATTCCGTTGTTACTTGGAACCCTGACAGATATCCTGGAAGAAAACAATAGTAACAGGGGTGAAATCCTACCGGTTTGGACCGGTTCGGGGGAACCGCTAGGGATTATGGGCATCAGTTCACCGAACCGGTAGTAATTACCCCTCCTTGGCCCCACCCATGCCCGGCCGGTCACCGCTCACCTCTTCCGGCCGCTCGATATCCCACAGAATTCAATGTTAAATGCAGCAGAGAGAATGCTAACTTTTCTCCCTCCATTCAGAACGGAGCTGCTGCAGCCTGTCCCTTTTAAGGTAGTCCCCAGGAGTGAGGGGGACATGGGGGGAGCATCTGGAATGGAGCCGTTTTTGTGAAAGGCAGGAAAATGGGGAAGGGGATTTTACTGCCTGTCATCCATTCCTCAATCTCAGCACAGACTGAGGGAAGGATGGTAGGCAGGAATATTCCCCTCCCCATTTTCCTGCCATTTGCGACAAGGAGTGGCTGGGAGAGGATGGGCCGTTGAGGAGCTCCTCGATGTGAGTGATGTCAAGTTGGCCACGCCCACCCAGTCACATGACCTCTCCCCCAACAAGTCAGCTCACAAAACCGGTAGGGGAAATTTTTTAATTTCACCCCTGCTTTGACAATAGCAATATCCACCAGATGATATATCCATGAGATCACTAGGATTTCAGTCTTATACATATTGACCAGGAACAATAATTTCCGTGGTCATTTATATAGAAGGAAAGATATATGGAAGATATAAACTTAGTAAATTCGAAGTAGTTAAGATATGAAGGATGGAAAGGGTGGCATGGAAAATTGTTTACATATCGTTGTTCCCAAATTTTTCTATTGCTCATTTGTGTTATTTTTTTCACTAAGAATTTCCAAATTACTTGCCCTTTAAGGTAAATTAATTTCCATATCTTGCATTTTCCATGCTAGAGAACAAACTGAAAGTGTGGCTTGGTCTGGAGATCATGATAAGTGGTCTACAACTCCCTGAGTCAAAACTTAATAAGAAGCAGTATGAGTTTGTATTGACTTATTTAGGTTGCAAAACCATTAATACAGATGCCGGAGTATATTTTGCTGAAACTGTAAAAAAAACAAAAACCTCCAGAAACTTAAATACAAAGGAGATTACAAACAAAATTAGTATGGCTATTAATCTTCAATGACTCAAATATGTTTTTCAGCCAAACAAGCTATTACGATATTTTAGAAATCAAACACAACATTCTCAGTAGAGTCAAGTATTGGCACATTGATAAATGAGCCATCACATTAGTATAAAAGCTGAGTAAGGAAGTAAGGGAATAAGGGGAAAATATGCTGACACCTTTGTAATGCAGTAGTATTACTTTATTGGAGTGAATAAATATTACCTTGCAGCTATTTGGAAAAATAATAGTAGTTAATGGGAAAAAGGGACTATCTTATTTTTTTGTAATATTTTTTTTTATTTTGAATACAAATAATACAAACATATAAATCTAAATTTAAAAAAGGAAAAAAAATACAAATATTACAATGCACTTCCTCCCTCCCAGAGACCATTTTTCCCCTTATGTTTCTTCTTCCATAAAAATTAAAAAAATATGCAATATATTCCAATTGTGCCCTTATCCTCCCCAAAACAACATACTGTATATTCTTGAATAGGTTTATTCCCTTTGCCTTCCACCAACACTGTTTTTATAAAATCCCCCCATATTTCATTAGGCTGCTATATATGTTCTTTGCATTCAATATATGATCAAAGATACTACATTTTCCAGTGAATCAGATTTTAGACAAACTGCTATGTAAGGAATTATCATGTTTCCCCAAAATTGAGACTGGGTCTTGTATTAGTTTTTGCTCCAAAAGATGCATTAGGGCTTATTTTCTGGTTAGGTCTTATTTTGGGTGAAATATGGTACTAAATGCACCCATCTGGCTGACATTATATATACATACACACATACACACATACATACATACATACATACATACATACATACATATATATATTTGTCTTCTTAAGTTTTCGCGGGTGCATATGCAAAAAATTTAAATCTCGGGTGTTTTCCCGCATCATTATAAATAAGTTGGTTAAAATATTTAAAATCCTGGTTAAAAGATTTTAAGCTGGGATTTTAACCAGGATTTTAAATATTTTAACCAACTGATTTATAATGACGTGGGAAAAAACCCGAGATTTTTAATTTTTTGCATATATATATATATCAAGAATGTATTAGATAATATATATAAGTATAAGCATGAATTGAATACATAAAATAGATACAAATAGAAGAAATATTAGGACATGGATGGTAGGCACGCTGGTGCTCTTATGCATGCCCCTTACAGACCTCTTAGGAATGTGGTGAGGTGAACAATAGACAGTTTAAGGTTAAAATTTTGGGGATTTGGGGATGAAACCATAGAGTCAGGTAGTGCATTCCAGGCATTGACCACTCTGTTGCTGAAATCATATTTTCTACAATCGACTTTGGAGCGGTTCACTTTAAGTTTGTATTTATTGTGTGTTCGTGTATTGTTGTGGTGGAAGCTGAAGTAGTCACTGACAGGTAGGACATTGTAGCAGATAATTTTATGAGCTACGCTTAGGTCAGACCGAAGGCAGCGTAGTTCTAAATTTTCTAAGTTCAGAATTTCAAGTCTGGTGGCATAAGGTATTTTGTTGCAAGCAGAGGAGTGGAGGATTCTTCTTGTGAAATATGTCTGGACACGCTCAATTGTATTAATGTTAATTAATCTTAACTGGAGCTTATTTTGGGGGGTAGGGCTTATATCACGAGCATCCTGAAAAGTCATGCTAGGACTTATTTTCCGGTTGGGTTTTATTTTCGGGAAAACATGGGTAGGAGTCTCTCCTGACCAGGAACTGGGTGCATCTGGCATATTTAAGCTGGAAACCACCTTCAATATTATATCCCAAACAACTAAAACTTTCCTGAAGGTCTTGTGAATCTCACTCTTCCATTGTTTAAATAGCCTGAGTGGCGTAGGAGGCTAATGCCTCCTACTAAGGCAGCATTTAACATCCAGCTGTCTGCAATTAAAGTAAGTTCAAATCTCACCAGGCTCAAGGTCGACTCAGCCTTCCATCCTTTCTAAGGTGGGCAAAATGAGGACCCGGTTTGTGGGGGCAATAAGCTGACTTTGTATAAAAATATACAAGAGTATGAAGGCTATTGCTTAACGCATTGTAAGCCGCCCTGAGTCTCCGGAGAAGGGCGGCATATAAAAATAAAAAAATAAATAAATAAATAAATAAATAAATAAATAAATAAATAAATATAAATATAAATATAAATATAAATATAAATATAAATATAAATATAAATATTCATATACCTTTGGGCCAGATGGTCCAGGAAGGCCAGTTGCTCCAGGAAGACCAGGTTCTCCCTAAAAGAGAAGGCAAAATAATATTCATTGCAAAGACTTGCTGTGGACACTTTAGGAACCACAGTATACGGAAAACTCATAAACTGGTTTATGTATGAAACCAAAAGTGATGCTTATTTTGAGAGAAATGCAAAGTTTTCACACAATTACTCCAAGTTTTCTGGAAGAGAGAACTTCACTAGTTTTGTCTATGGAGATTCTCAGTCATCCAGGTATGGTTGTTCCAAAGGTGCTTTTTCAAAAAACTTGGACTTTTTTCTTTGAAGACATTTTGCTTCTCATCCAAAAGCTTCAGTTCTAAGAAGCAAAACATGTTCAAAGAAAGACATTTTGAATAAGAGGTCTTCAAAAACATCTTCTCTCACCCTAGATGTCTAGAAAAAAATGATCTCTTCACATCAAACAAGGATGTGCATTTTTTTAAGATCTTCTGGTTGCTAAGTCCTGTTTTGCAAACTTTAAAGTTATGGTTTAATCGAAGTGTCAATGGTAAAATATGATTTCAAGGTATGCACTTTAAAAATCAATCCTTCTTAATATCTTTTATTATAAATTTGTCGGTCTTCATCCTGTTCTCACATACCATTACATCAGGTCATATCTTGGAATATGGAAGTCTACATCTCAGGGAAAGAGGATTCACTGACTTCAATAATCCAAATTTATTTGGTACCTTAGTGATTAAGAGCTATGGTGGTATAGTGGTTAGAATGTAGTATTGCAGGCTAATTCTGCCGACTGCCAGCAGTTCGTTTCTGACTGGCTCAAGCTTGACTCAACCTTCCATCCTTCCGAGGTGGGTAAAATGAGGACCCAGATTGTTGAGGGCAATATCATGACTCTGTAAATTGCTTAGAGAGAGCTGAAAAGCACTATGAAGCACTATATAAGATTAAGTACTATTGCTATGATGCTGTGTTTATAAGAGCCGAGGTGGCACAGTGGTTAGAGTGCAGTATTGCAGGCTACTACAGCTGACTGCTAGCTGCAGTTCGGCAGTTCAAATCTCACCAGGCTCAAGATTGACTCAGTCTTCCATCTTTCCGAGGTAAGTAAAATGAGGAGCCAGATTGTTGGGGGCAATAGGCTGATTCTGTAAACTGCTTAGAGAGGGCCATAAAAGCACTATGAAGCAGTATATACGTCTAAGTGCTACTGCTATTGCTATTGTCGACTGGAAGGTTGGCAATTTGAGACCCTACCATCATGCGGTATGAGCTCCCGTTACTTGCCCCAGCTGCTGCCAACCTATCAGTTCTAAAGCATGCAAATGTGAGTATATAAATAGGTACCACTTCGGTAGGAAGATAACAGTGGTCCATGCCTCTTGGCATATAGTCATGCTGACCACATGACCATGGAAGCGTTTTCAGACAATGCTAGCTCCCTCAGCTAAGAAACAGAGATAGTGTCCTAGAATTGGACCGTACTGGACAGGGGGAACATTTACCTTAAAAAAAGTACTATTGCTGAAGAAGATTGCTTGCACACTTGTAGACATAGAAGTGGATAATTATTGTTTTCAGATCCCACCAGAATTCCTGTGTTTCCACTCATCAGATTTCAGCTGGCAAAGTTTTGTTTTGCAGAGAAATAAATTGCTGTCTTTTGTTGAACTGTTTTGCTCAACTTCTCCTGTGATATGTCTAGCATTTTAATGGATGACAACTGGAATTCCTCCTTGGAGCTTCACAGAACAGATCATCTCTAAGAAGTCTGTTTGCTCCCTTGGCCCAAAGATAGGATTGTTGAGGTTAATAACCTGCTTTTTGTTTTATTTTGTTTTGTTTTCTTACATTTGGAACCACAACATTAATCCCCTGGATGTGTTCCTTTCAATGAAGATTGCTCCAAACACGTGGTTTACGCTACAATGGAAAGAGGATTAAAAAGAGAGGAGGAAAAAAGCTTACAGTTTCTCCTTTGGCTCCATCGCTCCCTGGGACGCCAGCCGTACCAATGGAACCCTAAAAGAATACAGATTACGACAGCAAAATGAATGGGAAATCATAATCATATTTAAAAACAGCATTGGCTAAAAGCAGGAAAACCTGAATAATAAAAGAGACAAATCTAGGCACTCTCACCTTGAGCCATATTAATTTATTATTAATATTTTATACTTTTATTATAATATAATTTTATAATATTTATAATTATTATAATTATCAATTTGTGATCTCAAAGGTGCTATATAATCCATTCCAAAAGACGGGGATTAAGCAGTGAATTAATTATTTGATATGTGCTGTTGGAGTAATGTACAGTAATGTCAATTTCCAAACTCAAAAGGGTTCCGGGACTAGTTTATAAATAACTAATTGAAATTTATTTCTTAATGAAGAGATCTACTAATACATGGGCATACAGTGTTTTTGTTTTTTTTTTCAAAATCCACTTGAATGTACTTTGAAATTTTTCATGCTCTCTGATGCTTGGTTGTTTGCAGACATTTCCAAACAATGTTTGCAGACATTTCATTACTCAACTGGGTAGCTTGCCCTTTCAGTTTTGGGGATAGAATAATAGAGTTGGAAGGGACCTTGGAAGTCATCTAGATCAACCCCCTGCTCAAGCAGGAGAGCCTATATTATCCAGACAAGTGGCTGTCCTGTCTCTTCTTAAAAGCTTCCAGTGATGGAGCACCCACCACTTCTGGAGGCAAGTTGTTCCACTGATTAATTGTTCTAACTGTCAGGAAATTTCTCCTAAGTTCTACGTTGCTTCTCTCCTTTATTAGTTTTCATCCATTCTTTCTTGTCTTGCTTTCTGGTGCTTTGGAAAATAGGTTGACCCCCTCTTCTTTGTGGCAGCCCCTCAAATATTGGAACAGTGCCATATCATGTGGTGTGGTTTCCATCCTCCTCCTTTTCATACTCCACTAAAATTGTCAGAGCATACTAGACAGACAGACAGACAGACAGACAAACAGACAGATATGGCAGTAAACCTCACACTGATTATGTTCAAATATCTGCAAATAACCAAGCTCAGGGAACAGCAAGGATTCTACAGTTCAACCCTGAGCTCAAATATTCTCATCTACTAAAGGCTCTTTGACATATATTGGTTGTAGTTTGGAAAAAGTTCAGTTGCCAGAATTCCTATAATAACAAAATACCAGAGTTGGAAGGGACCTTGGAGGTCTTCTAGTCCAACCCCCTACTTAGGCAGGAAACCCTACACCACTTCAGACAAATGGTTATCCAACATCTTCTTAAAAAGTTCCATTGTTGGAGCATTCACAACTTCTGCAGGCAAGTTGTTCACTGATTAATTGTTCTAACTGTCAGGAAATTTCTCCTAAGTTCTAAGTTGCTTCTCTCCTTGATTAGTTTCCAGCCATTGCCTCTTGTCCTGCCCTCAGGTGCTTTGGAGAATAGCTTGACTCCCTCTTCTTTGGGGCAGCCCTTGAGATATTGGAACACTGCTATCATGTCTCTAATCCCCTCTCTTTTTTCTAACTAAAACTCACTAAAGAGATTATGTGAGAACAGTGCTTGAAGGATTTCTAGGTTCAGCAAATGCAAGAGAGCTGATGTTTATGATAAACTGGTAGAAAGCCACTTCCCTCTTATCTAAACCATGAGCAAGTCAAGATAAACGATTGCTCATGTCTCAGTACCCTTAAAAATGCCATCGGATTTGTTCAATTTTCTTCTCTTTTCCTTTCTCCACACTTCCCCTGACTAAGAGAAATAAAATATTAAAAAGGCAATTAGATTATAATCTCTGTGTTCCTGAGATGCTTAAAAAGCCCAGTAAAAATCTCTAATGTTCTGTAATGATAACAGCCAAGAAATATTTTAGCACTCAAGTAGTAGTTTTTTTAGAACTAGTTCCATAGCACTTCATATATCTTTTCCTCCTTTTTCTTTTCAAGCTATCTTGGGCCAAAACGTTTCAATGAACAAATATTAAATCAGATCCAATAAATTAATGAAGTGGGAAATGGAAGACTTTATATTTAAGCTTCAGAATATCCAAATACGTAGATAGTATACTGCCCCAACCAAATTGGGGGCAATATGCTGACTTTGTAAACTGCTTAGAGAGTGCTGTAAACAACTATGAAGTTGTATATCAGTCTAAGTGTTATTACTATTGCTTATCCAGATCTGCAAATTTATTGAACATGTTATTATGATTCAAGCAGCTGACCACCAAGATTATGAATTAAGTTTTCAATTTCTATTGAATGTTCTATTATGTCATACTTGTTCAATGTTCATTTTTTTTTGCATTTGATTGAACTGCAGAAAAAGTCATATAAAATCACAGCTGTTACAATCACTCTCGGTATTCATTTTTATGCCCCGGAAATTTTATTTTAATTATTTCATTTCATTATTTCATTTCATTTCATTATTTCATTTCATTTCATTTCATTTCATTTCATTTCATTTCATTTCATTTTATTTTATTTTATTTTATTTTATTTTATAGATGGTTACCTTTTCTCCTCTCTCGCCCATTAAGCCAGGTAAACCTTGGGGTCCCTTTTCACCCTAAAAAAGCAGAATGGAAAATATTTGCATAAAATGTAGCATTCTCTTAAAATAGGTAAAAGGAATACAAGCATTAAAATCCACAAGGGATCCTGTTGATACTTTTGAAAAGGAACTTAATCGCAGGGTTGATTAACAAGGTAAATTTCTCAGTTTCTTAAGATTTGTATGCCAATTTTTGCTCGAAAAAAAATCCTGCAAGGAAATTTTTCTACCATATCAAAGCAACCAGTAGATGTCAGTACATTACTATGAAAGATTCTTTGCTTTCCTGGGAAGGATGAAAAATCAGAATAAAATATTGCAGGCCCCTCTAAAGCCAAGAAAAGCCAAATAAACTTGTAAATCCATCTGCTCTCCCTGAAATTCCTGTGGTGGCTAAGAAATCAGCTGTTGAGACAGGCAATTACGGGATCTCAAAACAATGATATGCTCAGTATTTGGGGGCAGTGAATAAAACAGAAACCCTGTAATTGCTGTGTTCCAAAAGGAAAAGAAAAGAAAACAAAAATCTTAGTTTTCTCATCTGGTCATGAAGGGACAAGAGAACTGGCTGTCAGGCCTGGAAGCCATCTTTCGTATCAGGCTTCCAGCAGGCCTGACACTGGCATTCTGAGGCCTTTTAAAGACAGGTCTTTTTCACAGTGTGAAGTAGCATAGGATGAAGGTAACAGTAACAGAGTTGGAAGGGATCTTGGAGGTCATTTAGTCCAACCCCCCTGATCACCCAGGAGACCTATACTAGGGATTCGAACCGCCGACCTTTCTGATCAACAGGCTCAAGGTTTTCTGCCTGTCATTCCTTTGAGTCAAAATGCAAGATGAAATAAAAGGGGGAAAAATTAAGTAATGATGTACCACGAGTTCTTTGCCTTCGTAGAAAAAATAGGGAGCAAAAGAGATCTGAATTTGTGGAAATTAAGACCCTGGTGGCGCAGTGGACTAAACTGCTGCTGTTAAAGTAGTACTTAGCTGCCAGCTGTCTGCAATTACTGCAAGTTCAAATCTCACCAGGCTCAAGGTTGGCTCAGCCTTCCATCCTTCCGAGGTAGGTAAAATGAGGACCCAGTTTGTGGGGGCGATAAGCTGACTTTGTATAAAATAGAACACTGGTCAGGGGAGGCCAAAAAGCCCTACTAAGCAGGTATATACAAAAGTATGAAGGCTATTGCTTAATGCATTGTAAGCCGCCCTGAGTCTCCAGAGAAGGGCGGTATATATAAATTGAACTAATAAATAAATAACAAATAAATGGTGCTGAATTTAGGAGACAACTAAGCCATGAGGACTTCAGGCACAGCTTTTTACTCCTGACATGACAGACAAAGAGACAAACAGACATCCTGGCTGGCAGAGAAGGGAGAGGATGTGACTTTCAAGACGTTACATGAAGTACACCGGGGTCGTATTATCATATGTGGTGGACATGTATAGAAGTGAAAAAAAAGTATTGGGCAAGAATTTGAATGTAGTTGGAGAAGATGCCGCAGCAACATATTGATTTAAAACCTGAATTGTTCTTGTTGGGTATCTTACCAGGGAAATATAGTAAAGAAAATGCATGTTTGATCATTCATGTAATAACTGTGGCTAGAATTGTATTTGCACAAAATTGGAAAGTTGAAGAAATCCCTAAAGATGATTAAGAAAATATTAGATTGTGAAGAAATGAGTAGATTAACCCTAGCAATTAAAGGAAAGGGAGAATCTGATGATTATAATATATGGGGGTTATTTTATCATTGGTTAGAAAATGAATATGGATAAAAAGTATAAAATTAAATAAATTAAGGAAGAGAAATGTTATGTTAGGAGATATGTTAAGTTATAATATTAAAATAAAAATAGATGTACAATATATAAAGAATTTGATGGTAAGCTATAACTATTACGACACAAAAAAAATTGTACTCAGACGACACACTGATTAATGAACAATGAAATGTTTGTTTTAAAAGGAAAAGTAAATAAAAAACTTTTACAAAAAAAGAGAGACTTTATATGAAGCATCATGATCCAAGCTCCATTCCTTTTTTTTTTTTTTGTAGAAAATTAGCACCCACCCCTCTCCTAGAAGAATGAAATATTTTAGGAAATATTAAAAAGGCAGAATATTTCCCCTAAAAGAGAAATAGAAATCTTAAGGGAGACAGAAACTCAGAGCTTCAGCTCTCTGCCCCCAGCAGATATTTGGTGCCCGTTGAGAAAGACTGGGCCAGCCTATCTACAAAACAAAAGACCTCAGCTCCAGGGTGATGGGATTAGGACATGGCCCTCCAGGACATATGGGATTATCTAGCAGCAGGGGTTACTGCATTGCAAAATCACCTGGGGACATTATATCAGCCCAAGGTTCAACTAAACTTGATTCAGACAATCATGACTCCACATGGGACAGCAACCAATAGAATACATATTCTTGCACAGGAACAGGAAGCTCAAATTCAAACCCCAAGAGAGGATGTAAATACCTCTCACACTCCAAACCCATGTGGTCAGCTTCCCAGGACCTCAAACCCATGTGGTCCTGTCCATCAATAAACCATCTTTCCAATCAGCCTCCATGTTTCCAGTGTCTTTCTCCCCACTTGGAAATGAACCAGATGGATATTCCTTCCAAGAACATATATGTGTCTCTCACACACATACAAATATGGTAGACCTTGGACTGTGATGTTGCACTCTCCATCTTGCAGATTTTAATCCATGAATAGATAGGGAGATGGGTAGAAGAGTAGATAGATAGCTGGTTGGGCAGGTAAATGGTGGATGGATGGATGGATGGATGGATGGATGGATGAGGGATGGAGAGAGAGAGGGAGAATGCTTGGGGGAACAATGAAGTCTTAAAGGTAATTCCAAATGCCAAGAGGGTAAGGGCCTTTTGGATATCTGGGGAACGCTATTCTATAGGGCAGATACCATTACTGAAAAAGTTCACACCCTAGATCCTGTCAGTTGATATCATTTATTAGAGGGGATGTAGAAAACACCCAAACTATCCAATTTGGTGGGATTGGCAGATATCCTATGAGAGTGGTGGTCCATTAATAATATCTGGCCTCGTGCCAGGTGGAGTTTTGAAGGTGCTAATCAGGATTTTGAATTTGCACCTGGAATGAAACCGGGAGACACACGAAATTAACACAAACTAGACCATATCCTCAAGATGTTCTTCAACTTATATTTTAATGATACCTTTTGTCCTTTTTCTGCTCGTCCAAATGTTTCCCCACCCTGAAAAGAGAAATTAATAAAACCAGGGTCAGCAGATGCAATAAAGATATGAAAGATCAGAAATAATGCTAAATAATAATAGCTTTATCAAGCCATGGAATAGCACACTGATTAATCAAACACATTCAATTAATAAATCATTGTATCTTCTGCTAGTATCAAGGTTGTAAAGCATGAATCAGATTGTATGGAAGATACTAACCAAGCTGACAAGAAAAGGTCTCTAGTATTATGACTTTAACTTGAATCAAGAGGACACTCCATCAAACTGATGGGCTTCAGCTTCCATAATCCCTAGCTAATGTAGTTTAGTTGTAGGGGGAAGAGATAGTTTCTTTAATACAATTGGATAACAACCAAATTGACAGTGTGGTCTAGAACTTAACAATTGACAGCCTCATCTTTATTAGCCCTGCCATTTAATTGCTTTGAAACTGGGAAGGATCAGAACGCTATTTTATATTTCACAATTATAACAAGTGGCTTTTAAAAGATAGCTGAGGTAAATATTTTATGAAGGGTTGCACGACTTTAGATAAATGTCCTGGTAGATGAGATCTGAAACATTCTAATTAGAATTTCGCCTGCAAGAAAGGAGGCAGATTCAAGGACAATCTCTCTAATTTTGTGGAAGTCGATATTGTTCTGATCTAGGCTCCCTTAAAAAGCAGGAAGCAGAGTCTTGGTCCCGGCAAAACCTCTTTTATTTACACGACACTGAATTCCTTTCATTCACAGCCAGCAAGGCCTGTCCAAACAGTTTTTCAAAGGAATATTTATCGACACAGACCTTATCTCGCTTGGAAAGCTTCCAGGTAACTAGTTTCCAAATGCAGTACAAGGCAAAACTTGGCACAGAGTCTCTTAGAGTCAGAGAACAAACAAATTGTTTCCTGCAAAAGCCCACTCCCTGTTCGCTCCTCTTTTGTTTCCTATGGGAGGGGCCAATCATCTCCAAGGTGTGGTTTTACTCCCAAGTCGACCCTGCTTTCTTAGTTGGTCTTGTCTTCTGGCAGTTCTGTGCATGCGCACATTGGGAACAGGCTCCAGCTGTTCCTCTGCCTCACTGCTCTCTAGCTCCCTTTCTGCCTCTGATGCAGAGCCCTTGTCCGAACTTTCCCCAGTCCCCAGGACTGGCCCATATTCCTCTCCAACCTACTCACTGTCCAACTATACTGCCAGCTCTGCTGGCTGCCGGCGGGCCACAACAGATATTATCTCTGCTTCCATTTTTTTTTAAGCTAGTTCTTTAGATCCCTTCAGAAATAATTCACAACAAAACTTTGGCTGTAGTGAGATGTTGAATAAGGGAAAACACACGTATGTGAACACATTGATTGATGTCTCTTCCAACCAAGATTTCTCCATATGGATAGGCAAAGATCTAAATCAGGGGTGTCCAACCTTAACAACTTTAAGACCCGTGGACTTCAACTCTCACAATGGCTGGCTGGGGAATTCTGGGAGTTGAAGTCCACAAATCTTAAAGTTGCCAAAGTTGGAGATCCCGGATCTAAATAGAATGTATAACTATGTTTAGATGACAATGACTTTGGCTCTCTGAAGAGGAAGTTTTTACCATCTGCTTTCTCTATGATGAGAAGGTCAGGCATGTTACTGTGGGCAGAGTTCATGACACCACTTACAGATCCCTTCCATACTAATTATTTTAAAATATTCAACCGGAGTCTTCAAAATCTGGATTTAGAATTTTGGTTTAAGTTAGTCCATCAGGACCTATTCTGATTTTTTTAAAACTGCATGAGTTTTCTCACAAATATATGATTACATTAGGATAAAAAAAAAAAAAGAACATTGAGGGTCTTATAAATTTTCTTACTGGTTCTCCTTTGTCTCCTTTTGGGCCAGAAGGTCCAACTGGTCCAATGTCTCCCTTGACAAAAATAAAGTTATGTTAGCAAGAAGGAAATGGTTTTTCCCCACTGACTTTTATTACCATAGCCAGGTTTTTTTTTTTTAAAAAGTAAAAACTTAATGGTGAAAGATGCATTTCTTTATCTAACATGGAAAGGAAGGAAGTGAGGGAGGGAGGGAGGAGGAGGAGGAGGAGAAGGAAATTATGGGGTTGTTGTTGATGCTCTTTGAGCTTGGTTGTTTTCTTGCGACGTTTCATTACCCAAATGGGAAACACCATCAGTGTTGAAATGTAG